TCGAAGAGCACAGCGGTCCAGCACCTTGGGTCTCAAACCCGGTGCTCACACCAAAAGACAATGGTAATATCAGAGTAACCATAGATCTTAGAGCTGTAAACAAAGCAATCAAAGCGACAAACATCCAATTCCGCGGGTGGAAGACATCAAAGCCAAGCTGTCTGGGTGTGGCAGTTTCAGCAAACTAGACTTCAAATCAGCCTTCCACCAACTTCTCCTAGATGAGAGTTCACGCATTGCAACAGTATTCCATGCTGAACAGCGTCTGATGCGATACAGAAAACTAACAATGGGAGCTAAACCGGCATCAGGCGAATTAACTAAAGCGCTGATCCCAGTCTTCGCTAACATCAAGGGTGTACATATCATTCATGACGATTTATAGTGGCAGGCAAAGATAAAATAGAGCACGACAAATCCTTGCACGAAGCGCTCAATAAAATACATCAAGTTGGCATGACACTCACCCAGACAAATGCATTTTTCGCAAATCAGAAATCCCGTTCTGGGGCATGATCGTTACAAAAAATGGGGTTCGGCCAGACCCAGTCAAAGTGGAGTCACTTAAAAAAGCCAACAAAACCTCAGTCAAAAGATGAAGTCATGTTCCTTCTTGTGCTTTGTACAATCATTTGGTGACTTCATTCCACACTTGTCAAGCAAGACCACACATCTGCGCAGCCTAACAAAGAAACACAAAGAATTTAGGTGGTCATCACAAATGCAACAAAGAATTCAAAGCTCTAAACAATCTTGCAAGCAGACACAGAGCTAAGATATTTTGACATAAATTCCTTAACCTTCGTGTTCGTGGATGCCCATACATCTGGCATCTCAGCTATCCTCGCCCAAGGAAAAAGCATCCAGGAATCCAAGCAGTAGCGTTTGCAAGCCGTGCAACTAAGCCGGAAGAACAACGCTACCCTCAACTCGATCTCGAAGCACTAGCTGTTGATTTTGCTTTGCGACGATTTCGCAACTATATCGCTGGAGGCCCACCAGTGAAAATCATCACAGACCATAAGCCACTGGTCAGCATTTTTAGCAATTCGCGCAAAGGCTCAATCAGAACCGACAGAATCAAAATGAGACATCAAGACATACTGTACGAAGTTCAATGGGAGCCAGGCAAGCACAATCCAGCAGATTATCTCTCACGACACTCAACTCCCTTCCATGAAACACAGCCGAAGAGTGGCAGAAAGAGGCTGGAGAGCTTGAAGGACTGTATACTGGCTTCAGTACGGGCCTTACATCGAAGCAATATCTATGTCAACCATCGCGCAAGAGACGAGCAAAGATAGAGTTTTGCGGAAGCTAAAAAAATACATTGTCAAAGGACAGATTCCTGAGCACAAATCGAGCTTTAACGAGTACCGGAAATTCCAGGATCAGCTAACACTCGTTGATGGACTCATTATGAAGCAAGACAAGATAGTGTTGCCAGAGACACTCTGGGAAAAAGCCATTGAAAAAGCACATCAAGGAGGCCACCCAGGGATTAATATTCTCAAGCGACGAATTCGCAGCCATTTCTGGATTCCAGGCTTAAACAAGCTTGCAGAAAACAAGGTAAAAAATTGTGAAATGTGCCAACAATTCACTAATAAGACAACCAAACAGCCACTGAAGTCAATCATTCCATCCAGATCAGCATGGGAAGAAGTCAGCATAGACCTTTTTGGCCCTATGCCAGAATCACAAACATGTGGTGGTAATACAAGACATGAAGACGCGATTCCCCAAATGCAAAAATTGTGAATTCCACAGCAGCACGTCATGTCATACCAGCTATAGAGGAAACATACACCTACTATGGGCAACCTAACACACATAGAACGGACAATGGACCACCATTCAACTCCAGAGAGTTCAAGGAATTTTCAGATAGACGTGGCATTACTCATCAGACATCCTACCCTTATCACCCTCAAGCTAACCCGGTGGAAACACTGATGAAACCTCTCGGTAAAGCAATGAAAATCGCACATGCTGAGGGCAGGGACAAGACCAAAGCCCTAAACAACTTTCTGACAGGATTTCGATCTACCCCTCACATTGCCACGGGGCAATCACCAGGAAACCTTATGTTCAGAGGTGGCTACCAACAAGATTTTCCCCGCAAAGTACTCACTCCACAAGAAGTTCAAGATGCGGAATCTCTGGACATACAGCAGAAACTGGAGCGTCAAAGTTCCATCAACAGCTCTATCAAAGAACACCTTCACAGTTCAGATATGGCGATATGGTACTGATGCGAAACAATAACGCTAAGAAAATTCGACCCAATCTTCGGTCCAGATGTTCTCAAAGTCATCAACATTGGCTGTAATGGACTGGCACTAGAGCGTCAGTCTGATGGCAAAAGACTTCGAAGACATTTCGACGATGTGAAGCCATATTTCTCCGCACCACAACGTTCACGACTTTCTGCCCAAAAACCAGACACAACCTCCTAGCTGGTGGCAATGGGATGATATGGCTCAGACTGACAGCAATCCCATTTCATTGGATACCCAATACCCAGAATACCAGGTGGATCACAGGCCACAGTCACACCCTGCGGTGCCACGAGCACTGAGTCGCTTAGCTGACTTCAACAATCCAGGGTACACAGAAATGTATGACTATTGAAACGAGTATAAAAGAGGGGAGTAGTGATATGTCCCAAAAGATTCACTATCACCCTAAAATACAGTGTGACTCAGTGTACTGTAAAGTGCTTTATTGTGCTAATATTGTGTACAGTGTTTTAATATTATTTTATATGTACAGTAACACATAATTTCATTTCAATCTTCTTTTCCAACATGTATCCTTTCAGTAACACAACATTATGGCACTTGTGCCATGCCTTGACCTTTGCACCCCTCCACCTGTACATGGCAATGAGCTTCCTGTCTGCCGGTACTCTGGTACTAGACTAGCCTTGTGCACTGAACAATCTGCTTTAACTATTAACCTGTAAATTACAGATAAAACAGTAGTTTACTGCAGTTAGGATTATATTCTTTGTTACTGATAATAAAAGCTCAATTCTACATCTGTTGGTCTGTTCTTAGTCAAGCCAGGCTATCTGTCAGGAAGCAATCAAGCAAGCACAGCCCTGAACTTATTATCTTGACTCATGATAAATTAGAATGCTTGTATTTAAATGTAAGATTTGAAAAAATAACAGCAATCCCAACTTTCTATACTTCTATAATTAACTCATTCAAAGATATTCAACTAGAAAGAAGTCATCCATTATATGCAAATGAGGTTAAAAATGAAATATTGTGGTATAATCCTTTAATTCCTGATCAAAATTTTCATTTCTCAACTAAATGGATCCAAGCAAAGGTCATTTCGGTGGCAGATGTTTTAAATAATACTCCTTATACATTGGCAAGTAGGATATACTCCATTTCTCAAATTAGGGATAGCCGAAGAAGACAATATTATTTAAATAAATTTTCCAACGAAAGTCAACAAGTTTGGAACAGATTACCTTTGAATTGGAAAGAGATCTTAGCAAATAACCATAATATAGAGGAAAATAGACCTGAAATTTATAGATATGTTGGTTCTGAAGAATTAACTACAAAAAAAATAAGTAACTTACTAAAAAGTATGAAAATTAGAGAAATTGCTACACGACATGACATTCATGTAGCACAAAAATATAATTTGAATATACCAATTAATTGGATGAATATTTGGAAATGCAAAATACCTAACAAGTATAAAATCTTGAGCTGGAAAATTTCTCATAATGGGTTACCAACGGGTGATAAATTGAAACATTGGTTTAACAATGAAAATGGATTATGTGTATTGTGTAATAGATATGAGGAAACATGTATGCACTTATTTTGTAATTGTGAGTGGGTAATCGACTTTTGGGAATGGAGTAACATAGAATGGAATAGGGAGAAAATTATTTCTAATAATTTTCAAAGTGATGCTAAACTGTTAATAACCCATTGTGGAAAGTCAGCCATATGGGAATATAGGAATAAAGTAAAATATGACAATATATATCAGATGCAATGTGATATACGTGCTATTTTAAAATGTAAGATTCTGGGCGTTATTAAATTAATGTCTGATGTTGATAGACAAGATCTTCTCAATGAAGAAATAGTGGATAACCTACTCATAAAATCTATAATGATTTGAGAATATTTTGGTTTACATAGGTGGTAAACATAAGCATAAATTGTTGTATTTTCTATAGGATATGTTTATTTGGGTGTCTGATGGATAATTTTTTATGTTAGAGTTGAATAATAACTTGGACAGGAAATAGGAAAATCCTATTAGCATGATAGGTGTTCAAATTTGCTGTCTAATATTTATAAATTTTGCTTTTCCATGCTAATATAAAATAAATTTAATAACATTCACGATGATGACAATTGGGACAACAATCAACTAAATCAATTGGAACTACAAACAATGAATTGCTGATATTGAATATGTGAATGTAAATGTATGGGTATTGTATATTTAAATTGTAAAATGACTTTTCTTCATTTAAACGGAATTCAAACCATGCGATTGTATTCCGATATCAATTACTGTAACCAAAATTGGAAATACACATAAATAATATTAATTCACTTTCATTTGGACAAAAATTTTATAAATAATTGAATTTCATATTGGCACTGGAATTCTATTTGGCAAAAAAAAAAAAAAAAAAAAAAAAACTTTTTAGTGCGTTCAGACGGTACCGGTAATGTCGGGATGTACCGCAGTGCTGTGGTAAGTAATTTCAGTAGCTACAGATACGGAGTATCAGCCAAAACTAATAATATGCGAAATAGGTGTTCTTGTTATTCAAAATATTAGGTGTTGTGTAATTCCATGAATTTGTTATTTTAATATTTAAATAAGATAATTTTATTTCGACTCCATAATTACCATAAAAGGCCATAAAATGAGTGATAAAAAATAAATAAATAGAAACTGATTATGAAATCAGGAAAGCAAACAAAACCTTGGATAAGGTTTAAAACGTCTGAACCAACAGAATATAAGATGGAAGGTATTGCCAATTTATTTGTGTTTTGGTTGACATATTATAAACTCGCTTTGTCTGGAATTCCTGATTACCGTTTGTAACTGGACTTATTAAATAGCAGAATAGACATGCGTTTACTGATTTATGATCTGCCCATTTTCCCATTGAAAACTTATTTGACTTACTAGGTTCATTATACAGTTATAAGTTAAATAAAAAAAGAGATTCGTGAACTAAATTATTTGAGCATGGTTGTAGGCTCAATTGTTTATCATCTGTTTATCTGAGAACTAGACTCTTTTCAAAATAATGGATGGTCAAGTGAGACATTATGAACTGCTCGAAAAGCTTCAACAGTTAGTAAAAAGCCTGGACTTTAAGACCCAGCAGCGTCTTCCGTATGACCTCCTTGCTAATTTAGCATCAACGTTACGAGACAGTGCAATTTTCACGATTGTTGATGATTTGGAGGAAATTCAGCATTTAACAGAAAAAAATTTGTATACACAAAGACAAAAAATATTAGAGGAGCATAAGACTTTGATCAAAAATTTGAAAAAGAAACATGAAGATGATTTACGGACTTGCAAACGTCATAATCTTGCCATTTTACAAAAAGAACATGAAAAGCAGTTAATTGAGTTGGAAAAACGATTAAAAACGGAACTAACACAATTTGATAATAAAATTTTGACTCAAATTGATCAGAAAGTTGTTGTGCAGCAAGCAACTTTAAAAAGTGCTGGAGTTCCAGGATTCTTTGTTACGAATGATGATCAAGAAATAAAATTACAGATGACTCTTCTCCATTTGATAAAATTGGTGAGAACGTCTGAGTAATCGTATCGCTCTTTTTTATCAGGGTATCCTAGTTTTTTTATGTAATAGTCAGCTCCTCAGAAAAGCAGTTTACAACATAGAGGAAGGATAGCGAGTTAGTCTCGCACAACCCAAGTCATAATAGTCAGTATGTCGGGACTATTTTGTCACTGAGAATTACACACTGAAGATTACAAATCCACATCACTAGAGTGTAATAACATCTACTATCCAGTTCATTCAAATGTGTAGTGCAGTGGCTTCAACATATAAGTGAATGCTTATGCAGTATCTTGTTTAAAGCAAAAGTATAATGCACCTTATTAAATCCTTATTGAATATATTTTTTTCGTGAAAATGATTGCATTTTTTCCTTTTATGACACATTCTCTAATTTACAACAAAAATAATTTGAAAAAAAAAAATTCATTCGAAAGCAAAATTGTTGGTGGCCACGGGTATTCTACAAATCTTATCGATTGGGTTATTGGTATTGCTATTAACTATGAATTTAGCAGTCTAATGTTATTGTCACCTCCTGATAATCTCAAGCTTCGTCACTGCCGCAGTGGTCTGGCGTGTTTTCTCTCTTCTGTAATTCAAATTAATAACAATAGAACTGACTTAATATCGTATTCAGATTAGAAATGTTGAACAGTATTGTGTCGGATATTTTTGTTCATGATTTTGCACTTGATAATAATTGAGAAGAGCATAGAGATATTATTACTGAGAAAGAAAGGATGCGAGTACGGGTATCGCATTTCTAAGATTTATCTACACAAATTATCTTCTTGCTTACCTTTGCAATTACTGTATTTCATTTACCTTTTTTATTACGGACTTATAATGAACAGACCTATAACGAAATATGCACATTGTGATTTTTTATTTACAGTGTTACAATTTATAACGTAGTTATGAATATTTGTTCCCTAGTTTGATGACACTGAGGTCACCTGTATAAATATAAATAAAAGAACTTGTTCCTGTTTGATATTTAGTATGGCCGAATCATCTGAATCCACCTCCGATATCCTATCATTGCCTGTAACTGAGGTGAGAGAAGTTGAGATTGATATAAGTCAGAATAATCGACTTATCCCTGGCCGATCGAAAGCTGCCGATGCGGTTTGTCTGGAGTCCGGTTGCGGATTCAGATGTTCTCGTATACCTGGGCTGCGAAAACATCTTCAAACAGTGCATGGATTTGCTCAACCGAAAAGTACTTTTCGATTTCGTCTAGAAGAAGATTTCTTTGAATGGTTGAGTAGAATTGAAGATAAAAATCACTGTTCGTACATGAGAAGACGAGGTTGGCAAACAAACAAAAATGAAAGCAAAACAACTAGTTATTATTGTCATCGGGGTGGGTTGTACATCAGCTCTGCATCGAAGAAACAAACCAAACAACAAGGTACTTGCAAGACTGGCGTTGAATGTACGTCTTCGTTAAAAGTGACATCGTGGCCGATGCACAATAATCTCATAGAAGTTGAAGCTTATTTAGAACATTATGGACATAGTTTTGAACTTGGACATACACGAATACATTGGCGAGATCGCAAGGAAATTGAATTGAAGTTAAAAAGTGGAATGAGCCGCCATAAAATTCTTGACGAAATCAGGGGAAGTTTGGACCAAAGTTCGGGGTTGAGTAGAGTACATCTCGTTTCGTTACAAGATATTTACAACATTGAGAAAAAATGTGGCATCAGGGCCAGTCGTGGTCGCTATTGTAGTGAATCTGGCATCACAGCTCAAGCATGGATAGAAGGAATGCAACATAGTGAGGATAACCCCGTGTTGTTAATCAAGTACCAGCAGGAATCCGCAACAGAGAAATATTCCAGTTTAAGAGAAGATGATTTTTTACTTATTTTGCAAACTCCTCTTCAATCAAAAATGTTACAAAAACATGGTCCTAGGCAATTTATGTGTGTTGATGCTACAAATGGAAGTCCATCTGCTGCAGATGTGAATGTGAAAGATAATCATGCTTTTCAGCTTTTTGCATTAGAGGTTCTCATACCGGATGAGAATCACAATAAAGAATCTTATCCAGTTGCTTGGTGTGTATCCAACAGAAAAGATGGAGAAGTTTTGAGAATATTTTTTGAATGCATAAAAGAAAATTTACATGGATTTACTTTAACGCCTGGTTATCTGTTCGTACCTCCTGTTGGTGTCTCGGGCGGTCATGACTGGTTTCAAATTTGGTGTTCTACGTTCGGTGCTGGACCGAGGAAGCTCCTATCGAGCTGGCATGTGTTAGATGAATGGAAGTCTGTTTTACAAAGTAAATGCGCTGCTACATTTCACTTGGATTCCGAAAGGAGTAGAGTGATTACTAACTTTGAAACCGTGCTCAGAGAAACATCCGGATACCACTTTATTAAACTAATTAATGAATGTTTGGCAGATTTAAAATCAAATTATATGACAGAACCGTTAGCGTCATATTTTGAATCAAACTATATGTCTCAAGCTGAATTATGGGCTTCAGCCTACAGAACAGACGCAGCTAATTCAGCAGACTCGATTCTTGATATATTTCATTCACGATTTTCGAAGCATATTTATCATGAAGCGCTAAAAAGAAAACAATTGGATATTCTAGTAAAGACATTGATGAAATATACAAGAGATAATGTATTAATGAAACTACGAAATTTACACAAAGGGAAAAATGAATTTCATCATAGAACAGTAACAGGAGTAATACACAACGAAAGCATGGCTCTGTCTTTGGGTTCTGTATCTGCTGTGAATGGGAAAACTAACCAATGGACTGTAACAGCCTTCACTCATTCTGTAGATGAACAAATTTCTCAGATTAAAAAAGTTTCTGTGAATCTTACAGTTACTATAAAAACAGAGCGCTGCTGCACAGCGAGATTGCGATGTTCGTTGAGATGCAGTGACTGCTCTGCCTGTTCTCATCAAATGACATGTTCGTGTAATATTGACAATGAAGAGGAGATTAAAACCAGTGCACAACCAATGTGTGTCCATATGCACCAAGTTTGTCGCTATCTTATCAAAGAACATAATAAAAGTGTTAATGATTTTATAACACCACCGTTACTACTGAGATCACAGCCTGTTGAAGCTCCGCCTCTGACAGTTCTGACTAAACCAATTGTGCAACCATGCGTGAAGCCAGAATCAGATTCTGTCACTGATATTATTATAACCATGGAGAATTATGATGATGCCATTTCAGGCAGTCTGGAAGAAGATAATAAATCAAATGATAAAGAAACACAGCAGGATTCAGAAATCATAAATAAACAAGTTAATGAACAACCCAAGTGTCTTGGATCTGCTAGCACGAAGCTATTGACACTATCAGTTCTCCGAGACCGTGACGAATCGGAAGACCCTTGCAAAAAAATAATGGAGATTAATAATGCAAGGAAAGTTATTAAATTGGAATCAAACTCTAAGACTTATATTGTGCCTTCAAAGTTTATAACAAAAATAATAAATAAATGAATAAATAATATATTTTCGATCAAACTGTTAAAAAATTAACAATGTAGGCAATTGATCAGCTAGGTAAAATATGGGAATGTGTAAAAATTATTTTAAAAATTTACTATTTTTTTCATTTGAAAGATTTTCATTAGGCTAGTTATGGAAGTGTTATACCTAATTATTATGGAATTTCGAGTTAAAATCTTTGGTCTAAATCGCATGTTCACCTTAGCAATTGTTCTTGCATATCGACAATCATACTATCATTGTGATATTTCAAGGTGGTCATCAAGATGGCTGGATCTCCTACTTCATAACATGTATTGAATGGTAAACTATTCATAGATGAGCTTCTGAATTTAATTGATACAGAAAATAAGTGCTGACAACTAATTTAATTTTATGATACATAATAATTCAATAAACAAAGAAATTGTTGAATTGCATTTTGTATATAGACATTCAACTGCAGATAACTTGGCCTGGTTGGTTCACTGTATTCATAATCTCTCTCTTCAGTGTTGAAGAGTTTTATATATTTTATATTATGTTCAAGTTTGTTATATTTTATTTTAGGTAATTTCAACAATTTATTTTCTGTGCCCATTTGTTTCCTGTGGCAATAATTCTCATTAGTTGACCACTTCTCATTATTGATAAAGATAAAACAGCTTTTTATTACATTATTTTCAAATTTTTTTTTATCGGACTATAATTTTCAGTGATATTAAATGCTTGGTTTGTTGGTATTATAATTGGTGCTTCAGAAGTGTGTGTACCAATATGGAGGTAACTTATTTTGTTCGCCTCTTTACATCAAGTTGTGTTAAGGGACTGAAACTCGTGGGCAGGGGGTATGTTCACTTGGCTTACACAGACAGTGTCCAAACTCGAAACAGAACTAAAATAAAGAAAATCTGAATAAAATTATGCCCTAACCTGGTACACATACTACGGGAGTACCTTATAATTTGTGGTGATAATAACTGGTGTGTTTTTTGTCAAATGTTGGACCACGTTTATTAGCATTTGTTTGCATTAGTCAAGAAGGTTATTGGGTGTCCATAAAGTCCCTTTACAATTTCAATTTTGTTATGAAGTCAGTTCTCAATATATCTTAATTAACCAGGTTTGTCGTTTTTTAATCAGTAACTGTTCAAGTATTTTTACTGCATTTAATACATCTGTGATTGCCAAAACAATATCTATAAATTCCCTTCACAATTTAAAAAATTTCAAGACTTTATGGACACCCTATATATTGTATTATATTAAATTAACTTAGCTCAAGCCACACCTCTGTACTCTATAGCAGGGCTACTCAACTATTTTCACCGAAGGTCTGTTTACGAAACTTCAAAATTACTGGGGTCCGGACATTATAGGAAAATTATTTCATCAAATAAACGAAACTTCGAATGCAATATTAAATTAAATACAAGAGCAATGAATGGCTCTCAAATATGGACACAAATATCGTACATCGGTACCAGTACGACAAACTGTATAGCTGTGTATTTAAATTGTATCAAAATCATCTAAAACTATGAAACGGTGCTTATGCTGCCAAAATAAACAAGCAGACGCCGTCCAAATTTTATGGTCAAAAGGTCGGGATTCGGACCGCGCTCCGCCAGTTGAATAGCCCTGTTCTCTAGCTTTGATTGTCATTTTTTCTCATATTGGCAGACTCAAAAGTGTCATTGTACCATTACATCAGATAGGCACTGTTGTTCTTTCATTACCTGTTCAGTTTATAATAATGAAATGTATTTTTACAGGTAGTCTTGAAATGTAAAAATAATGTCTGGTAAACCGGATCAGTCCAAAACTGGCATCAGCCCTGCGAAACTTGTGTCAATGTACAAATGCATGAACGATTTGAGATTACAAAACATATTTTGTGATGTCACAATCAAAGTTAAGGACAAAGAAATCCACGCTCATGGGGGAGTACTGTGCGCACATTCTCACTATTTCAAAGATCTGCTGAAAAAATGTAATATTGGGGGTGAAAAAGTACTCGTTCTTGAAAAATTGGAACCCGAGATTGTGCGCAGCTGCATCGATTTCATGTATACGGGAGAAGTCGAGCTCAATGATGATAATTTAGACGAAATCACTGAAGCGGCACATCTTTTTGGGTTGAAAGAGATTGAAAAAATGTCTGCAAAAATTTTCATCAAAGATATGGATGTATACAATGGAATGGCCATAAGACGAGTTGGCAGGCGATACCATTGGGATGATATCGTGGAACAGACGGAGAGGTTTTTGAAATCGAATTGCATTAAAGTACTCATGACGGATGTTTTTGTGATTTATTCAAAGGATGAATTGGTTTGGCTTTTGGACAATAAACAACTGAGTCACCCACTTGAGGAAATGCAAATTTGGGCTTCGATTATAAAGTGGACGGAACACCACATGGATCAGAGAGAACCATATTTATTTGAGCTCCTACAAAAAATAACTCTCGATAATCTGTCAGTAGCGTTTATGAATGACAGCATTCGTCGGGAACCGATGGTTATGCGATCCCAAGAATGCATGAAATATCTCTTGCAACATTTATTTGCCAGGATTTCTAACAGTTCCGGACCTGATGCTCAACTGAGAGAAAAAATTATGAATGAAATGAACCATTGACTCTGAAATTCAAGTTAATTAAATTGCACTATTTTTTATTTGGATTAAAATTATGCAGAAATAGAATTCGTCAAGTTAAATTTCTTGGTAATTTGAGAAATAATTTTATTGTTGTTCATTGTTTGCATAATTTCTTTTCTTCAGGTTTCCAAAATTAGCTACCTACATATAGAATTTACTATTTAGTAAAACAAGATTGAACTTATTTACATTTGAAAATGAATTATTAGTTTGAGAATTCAGGTCATGAAACTAAATGTTATTGATAAAACTAATTTTCTGTTCAAATTTTTCCCCATATAAGGTAATTTTATCAACCAATTACCCTGTTATTTTTGTTGTTGATAGTTGAGTGTGTGTCATCCCCGATATTCTTTGCAACCATTTATTTTGTGTTCAGAATAATACACATTCTCTGTTTGCCAATTGCTTTAAATTTTTTTTTTAATTTTCATTGATAAATGATGAGGCATAATATGCTGTTTCATCCCTATGTCACACAACTGTGTACTTTTCTAGCTTTATTCAAATGAATTTCCATGAAGTTGACTAGTTAACCATTCCCAGCCCTAGAATTCAGATGTTGTGTATCCAATGGCGATTAGGATCGACTCTCTTTTTGAGATTCTTGTTCAAAGGCTTCCTTTATCGAATGCTTTTACTGTACAGCACGGTTGTTTTTGTAAATTGCTTTCAAACCTGTTTCATTTATTCATTTTAATATCAATTTGATTAGAAGTGGCTTATTCCTGCAAGTTTCAAGTTTTTCTTACGTTTTGTGAATATTCTATTATGTTAGCAAGTTGATTATTAATTATAATGTGATTTTAATATGATTTAATATTTTGAGGATTAGCTGATTAACAATTAATTCTCAATATCCAGTATGTCCAATTATTTTTAATTGGCTAACACCATTTTGACTAAAAACGCGTGTTCCCAATTTGATTTCTATTGTACAGTGAGTCTATAAAGTCATTTTACAATTTAAGAAATTAATTACAAAGTAAAATAATAAATATTTAAATGATAAGGTGGCTTTATGGACACAGCGCCTTGTATATTTGAAATCGAGAGCTTTTAAAATTTTTGATAAGTATTTTCAATATATTCTAAAATTTTCATTGATTCAATAGTCAACATTTGTAACAGAAATGATTATATATATGACTTAGGTGTAAAAGTTCAATTTCCTAATATGATTGCCAGTTTTATACAGAAATATAGCTTAAAAATATCTCGCAATACAATTTGGGCTATTGGTTTTATCCATTCTGTGGCAGAAAGTACTCGGCATTTTGTTTTGTCAAATAATATTGGAAAAATATGTTTTTATTTATCAATGCTGATTGAGTTTTTTACATGTTGGAATATAGCTGTTGTTTCATTGCTTATGGTAGTTATTAATGTGCTCTGTATTGTTTGTCAATTAGCTTGTTAACTTGTTAATTAGATTCGGTGTTAATTATGGCAGTGATATTTGATTCAAGAGTCTTGCTACACACTAACACAATGTATTTCTGTAACGTTTCATCTGACCGGAGTGGGACTTCTTTAGGCAAGCATTTTTCAACTATGATAAGAAACGCGATAGCATGTACATAAATAATTGTAAGCAATTGTTGAGTTAGTTTTCAATAGAGGGACATGACATTCCCTAACTGGTAACGTAATAGGTTAGTTTTGCACTAAAAAGTAACATCAAAATGCAATTAAAAATAAATTAGCTGAATGTTTTCTTCCCTCTCTTTCTATTTATTGCTGTTCATTTCACTACATAATCTGCTTCTTATGACTGACTAATTATCCAAGACTAATTCACCATGTCCCATAGTAATCCCATAGGGCATCTTGTGATGTGGTTTTATTGCCAAACAAATGCAGCTGGCCTATGAGTTGTAAAGTTGTAGTATTTGTATGTTCTGAATGGTTTGTGACAGTTTTACATAGTTTGTATTGTAGTTTTAGAAGGGATTTTACATTTTTTTTTATTTGTAGAAATGATCTATGTGTAGTATTGTAGTGATCTTTAGCTGAAAGATATATATTGAAATGAGTTGTCATGGGAAAATGACTAGCAACTGATATTTTGTGATATACCGTATATCTTCGTATGTAGGCCGAGTTTAAAACTCAAAAAAAATATGCTGAACTAAAGGGTCGGCTAATACGTTCTTAACTCTGATTGCATTAATTCTCTTCTGAAAGCATTTGCTGTGATAGTTGCGTACGGCGTGTAACGATTTGTAGGTTTGGCTTATATGTGATTTTTCATTAATTCACCATTTTAGGGGGCGACTTATATGCGGGGATATATGTTACTTGTTGAATGGTTAGTGCATGCTTCTCCACAGAAAGCTTATCAAAAAGCCAAATTTGCAGTTTTGATTTAAATTTGAAAGTTTTTATGGAAATAATTTGAAGTAACTTTAGATCGTTGTTTGAACTGAAAGCGATAAAAATATAAAAAATTTTGAAATTTTTATGCAAATTTCAGGAAATAATTGTGAATTTCACGCAGAGGCCCGCAAGCCTTATCTTCGGTTGTCAAAAAAAGTGAGATTGACTTTCCAAGGACCAAGTGACTCCCCTTTCCCCATGATTGTATTTTGTTTATTTGTTATTTTACAATTTTATTGTTGTTTTGATTGATTCCCATTCATTCATGTAATACAATGCTGTATTGTTTGCTTTTATCTATGAATTCAAAGAGATGCCTCATGTTCTTAGTTAATTCAAGGAATATTTTTTTATGTACGATATATTCTCCTAGATTATAGTAGGACAATTATTGATGACTGTTTGATATTGTATCCCAAATTTGGCTCATTTTACTCATGATTCACTCAAATCATTTTTCTGTGACACTCAAGTGGGTTTAGCCTGACCCTATAAATTATGTTTGGAAATTTTAGTTTGGAACGGACATTTCATAAGGTGTTCTTCACTCTAAATAGTGCTCTATATGAGTAGCCAATGATATTTATGAAAATGCTATTTTTAGGAAGGACTAGCCCTTTTTAGTAATGAAGTCTGTTATGCTGATTGTGCGTAGACATTTTCTGACATTTGATAGAAAGCAGAAATGGCATTCAATGTCAAGTGTGTCACGTAGGCTTCTGAATGGCAAGATGTTCAAGCCAAGTATATTTGAAAAATATGTTTTTCGTCATCTCATTTATAAGTCTGCATTTGTGAACAGTTCACTAGTTATACTTGAACCCGTCTTTAACTCTCAAAGCTATTTAATTATCAATATGCTTCATTTAAGTTTGAATGTTTATTGACTTGACTCTGTCAATTCTAAAATTGAAATATATAAAAATCTACTGGTCAAGGTATTTCTGCATAAAAGAACAAAAGCATGGCATCTTATTGGTTAATGTTGAGCCGATAACTATGCAGTAAGCACTAGTTAATTCTGGCACTAAAGCTCGACAAAAAATTCCAGATAACAATATTTCAGACACATCGAGTATTGAGCTTGTTTATTTATTATAGTAGAGTATGATTATCGAATTTTTTGAAATTATTTGATTCAGTCGCAAGGGAAACCGTCCTTCTTTAGATGCTGGAAAAGCTTTGCTTCTATGCTGTAGAAAACTCTTTACAATGCTGATATGTGCTTTTAGCTTCTTTCAATTATTTGTGATTGATGTTCCATTTACTTTATTAACTTGTCTACAAGTAAATATGAAAATAGTTCAGTTGCAACTAAACTTTGCAATTTTCGAGGTATGATCGCCAATTTGTTTTTTACAGTCATGATTTTCCTCTCCTTGTATAGTCTGATTTCAACAATGTATTTGATTTGTTATGTTGAAGAATTTTTTCAAGATTCATAAACAATTTTGACCAATTCAATTTAAAATTGATGATATTCACAGAAAAAATTTTGGAAGATTCGTAAATTTGAAAATGCTGTTTTTTGCGAAAATTTTGCCGTGGAATCAAGCTTTCTTAAAATTTCATGGATTTAAATTTGCCTTTCATCATAATTTTTAGAAAAAAGAAAAATTTTAAAATATTTTCCAAATATTATTTCAGAGCATCATGCCATCTTTCTAAATTTCATTGTAGTTATTTGTGTTCTTGTACAGAATATTCGCGTGATTCATTTTATTTTTGTTACTATTTTTCTTGTTGTTCTGTTGACAATATCATGTTATATTTTCATTCTCATAATTGTGTATGCTTAGCAAATTTGCTTTTAATGTATATGTATGATAATGCGTTTTCTTCAGTTGTATACAAATATTAGATATACCCTGAACTATCAGTATGAATGTATATATTCGAAAGTGTGTCATTCTACTTTTTGAAATTTTCAAACTATCGTCCATGGAATAGGGAACTATGAGAGTTTATTTTCAGCCAAGTTAATACAGTTAATACCAGTTTAAAATGACTCATTTTCAAAATGAAGTTCTGTTTTACCAAGAAATTGCCACTTTTCTCACTGAATTTACAGTTTGTGATAAATTACGAAGTAATGGTTCCTATTATAAAACGACCCTGGTTCCAAACTTTTAGTTGAAGGGAATCTTTACTCTTTAAAAAATTCAAATTTGAATAACGGAAACTTTGATGTATGCATGCCTTCGCTAGTTGTCTTTTGAGAATGCTAGTCAGTTGAATGCTTTTTGCTTATTCGAAATTTCGACTACGACCTTCTGATTTAGGAAGGTCTTGAAATATTACTCAAGTTTCAATATCCATTTTAATATTCAGCTCCAGAGCTGTACTTCTAAATTTGACCAGATTTTATAGTAACCACATGCATAACTGGTGAGAAACAAACATTATAGGTGTTTTCTAGGATTCGAATGTCCATTCATGCTGACTTTGCCATGGATATACACATTCGAAACTTTGGCAATACTTATATCATTCGCATCATACAAGTTGTGCTCGTAGTATTCATTTTTTGATCCTTAATTGTGTTATTATGTTTCCATGTCATGAATTGCTATTTACAGAACATACCCCTTATATTGTGGGTTCTCAACTAGGTGTATTACCACCCCTGGGAATAAATCTGACCTGCATCAGTTGGGGGAGGGGGGTGCCAACTTAAATTAAGAAAACCTGTTGAATACGATGCCAATTGCAATGTCTTCTGTTGCATAATAGATGATATTGTGCTCCCAATATGGAGAGACTGTTTAGACTAGCGCCATTTTTCATATTTCAATTACATTACTCTGGAATAGAGAGTACACAGTTTGGAAGAAATTTTTCTTGTTAAATCTGCATGTGCTAAATGAAAGAATGGTTTATTCTGCTTTATATAAATCGTGTTTGATTTATAAGAGAACATTTTCTGATAAGAGTACAACTGTCTGAATATTCGTTTTGTCAAGTTAATTCTCGTATTATGATATCAAGTTGGATCCACTGAATTTATTGTACCTATTTTGTAATTTATTTGGGTGATGTGTGATTTGACCTTTGCACTGTGACCCGCTGACCTTTTGTATATTTTAATTAAATCACAGTTAGTATAATCTATGATCCCAAGCATTGGGATGATACCGGCTAGAGTAACAATGTAGATCAATGACTGACAACTTCATTTTGTGTAACCATTGGACCACCTAAGCCTCGTTCAAAATGAGCTACGGCAGGTAAGCTTCTTTAATTTTTTCAATATCTTGTCGGATTGCAATCGGCGCTTCCGAAGTTTGTGTACCAATATGAGGGTATCGGTAACTACCGTAATTTTGTTTGCCTATTTTTCATCAAGTCTATGGGCAGGGGGGATTTTTACTTGGCTAACACAGACAGTCCTCTAAGGAAAATCGGAATAAAATTATGGCCTAACCATTATCTGGTACACATACTACTGAAGTACCTTGCAATCTTTATCAACACAGTAAGTGAATATCTCATTTGTTATTGAATTCATTAACTGCAATTCTAGGATGAACATGTAATGGCATAGATCAGGGTGGTCCAAACTCAGGCCCGCGGGCTTGTGGCCCGCAGCTTCATTTTCTGCGGCCCGCGTCGCATTCGGAGAGTAATCATTTTTGTGTTGTTTCGTCATAAAATTAACCAGAAAAATCTTTTGACCTATTGTTACATCAATAATGTCACTGAGTTGACTAGTGTTATGGCTAGCTGAGGCAACTAACGAAGTTGAATGATGGGCTTGGCAGTCTAAATTGTTATCTGGCTTCATATCGTTTTGGTCGAGAATATATGCTAACAATTTTGCATTATAGAAAACTTAAAATCGAATGCGGATTCTATTAGCCTAGGTTGGCGCTATGCCTGATAACTAAATAATAATGTTAGGGCCGAACAATATAACTCATGCCTGGTGTTTTTTGAAACCAGCATCAATAGTATTACAAAAAATGTTGCCTATATATCAGAAAGTTTATTAATTACCCTTCTGTACCTCAAATTATGTAACCAATCAATCTGTAGTTATATGTAAGTTATTTTGTAAACATGAGTTTGAGAATGAAACAAATCTTTAACTGGATGTGGAAGGGAAAATACCACAATTCTTTCTTGATATGTCTGCAAGTTGTGTCGATGAAAAAACAATTGAATTTTAAACGGCATTTTAGAATCTTGTAAGCAATGAGCATTTTCCAAAGTTAAGATTTTGCATTGAAAACCTATTGATGTTCGAAAGCACGTACATTTTTTGCGAAAGCATTTTTTTCGTGATGAAGAGTTTGAAATCTTGCAATATATGTAGGTATGGAGACTTTTGCAGGTTTTAGTAAATTTCTGTCATGGTTTTTGCATGGGTCAGCTCTATAAATGACAAATACTGATCAATGTGTTTGCACAATAAAAGTGTTTGTATTGTATTGCACTGTTTACTTATTCTTAGTACTATTATGGCCCGCGAACTATGCAAAGATAGTTTTGTGGCTCGCGGAGCCGACTACTTTGGACCACCCTGGCATAGATAATCACCATGCGGTTCGGTACTCCCGTAGTGTGTGTTAGGGTTTGGCCATAATTTTATTCCGATTTTCCTTATTTTGGTTCTATCACGAGTTCGGGTACTGTGTGTGTTAGCCAAGTGAATATACCCCTGGCCATAGGTTTCAGTCCCTTCACACAACTTGATGTAAACAGGCGAACAAAATTAGTTACCGGTACCCCCAAATTGGTACACACCCTCCTGGAGCGCCTTCGATTAATTATGAGTCAGTGTCGGAGAACACTTAGTCCTCAAACATTTCTGGCACAACTATAATATATTATGTTTGTCAAATATCTTCATTTCAAATTTTTTTTATCTGGAAATCAATTCTATTGATTGATTCATTAATAACTCATTGATGGCAAAGTTGAAACTTCTGTAAAGTTGATTTTTCTTTGAACTGTTCAGGTATTATTCTGGTGGCAGCTATTCTAGGAGTCATCTTGAACCATCTGGTTCAACGTAAGTACTTTTCCTTCAACATTTATGGATTATTTTTAAATAAAATCTTTGTTATTGAAGTAGATAAATATAACATTGAGTGTTAATATTACTATTATTCAACTACTGTAAGTCGATCAATTTTGACATTTTTTTTGAAATTTTAGCTCTGGCTAAAGCAAAAACTGCTGCAGTCAAAGACGAGAAGGCTGAATGGCCATGCTTAATGTAACATTGTCTAATTAGTGTAAACTTGGTAAACCATTCAAATCAAAACAAATTGCATAATTGGAAGCAGGGGTTTCGAATAGTCTCAACAGACTCTTATTTCATTGCACATTCTTTATGAGGTACTCTCGTAATATATGTACCAGGTCAGGGTTAGGCCATAATTTTATTCAGATTTTCCTTATTTTGGTTCTATCACAAGTTCGGGGACTCTCTGTGTTAGCCATGTGAATATGCCCCCTGCCCATTAGGTTTCAGTCCCTTTACACAACTTGATGTAAAGTAGGCGAACAAAATTAGTTACCTCCATATTGGTACATACACATCTGGAGTGCCCTTTGGCCTTTATATATTTCAATTCCAACTCTAGTAATACGGCTCTTGATTAGCTGTGAATTGGCTATTGAAGTAAAAATGTTGATAAAGTTCAATCAAATTGAAAGAAGATTTATCCAGTTTTGAAGTTCAGCAAAAATCTCGATTGATTTGTGAGAATTCTAACGCAAAGCATCATCTTAAACAATTGCAGGTTGTTCAGCACAAAATACACAAGTGCTAACTATGGATCGAGTTCAAGAAAAGTCTTGCCAGATAAATTTGACTATCCTGATAGGAGAGCTGTAGGATCTCGTTCAATGTTGGAAAGGTATTTTGTTTTGGGTTTTCCTCAAGGCACATTTTCAAGTTCCTTTATATTTATTTATACCTAGAGATACTTATGTCCTAATAGTAAATGAACATCGTTCAATTCTAACTTACATTGATTTTAAATATTTTAAATTTACTTTATTTTATCTATATCATAAGACATCTTGATTCAAAAAATAGAATTCTTCATGAAAAAACCTATTTGGATTGGAGTGTTTTTATTCCATTTAATAATAATGTATGTAAATTGTTTTGATTCAATCTATGTCCTATCAATAAAATCTATTATATATACACTACACCAGGTAAAAACAATCACAATATTTCTTCCTTGAACCGAAACAAATTTCAAATTTTCTGTATTCATATAATCATATTATATTGTCAATGTTTTCTTTATTTGTATTTAACATTCTATTATTTTTCTATCAGTAGTCCAAAGTTTAATTCATACAATGATACTCCCATCTACTTACCATCAAGATATGGAAGAGCAGTAAGTTATTAAAATTTAGAGATTCATCACTTCTAATTATGTTTGGTGAACTAACTAACAATTTTGTCTTCGGCTCCTTTTCTTATTGAGTGGGATTTTGATTTAACTTTATCCAATAGTTTTTGTGTTGAATTGAGTATATTCGAGTAATTATAAGTGTTATCTTAAAATATTTTACCAACTTGTAAAAATTGTGGTCAAATGGAATTTGCTTTTAATCTTAGTGTAGTTAATTATGTCCCACATATTAGCAATGCAGCCGGATGAGGGCACTTTTAGAGCTTCAATATTGAGCCTGAAACAGGCAATGGTATTTGCTAGATAAATCCATGACCTGCTTCAAACTTTTAATTTATAAAAAAACAGCTGAAAACCAAATTTTTCTTTTCAACATTCGCTTTCTTGTCTTGAAAGTTGAAATCATCATTTTGTTGTTATTGTGAATTTTCTGCATTATAACGTGGGCTATTCTAAAGTAACAGAAGGTTATGGGAATATTAAAATGTGACAAAAGAATTCTTTTATGCTAAAATAATTCGATAGTCTACTGTATAAATATCTCCACATGCGCCATATAATTACTAAATTTTTTTCAAAGAAAACAAAAGATATCGTTAGACCTTCAACTAGGAGCAGGCAAGCTACTCAATCCATGACAAGAGAAACTACACGTCGATCCAGAAATGATCGTGACTCTTCGTTACCACGTTCTCGCAAAAATACTGGCATAGAATACCCAGAACTTTCTAGCATCCCTGTAACTTCCTATCGTCCGCTACCTGAATTTCAAACTATTACTTCAAATTATAATAAAAGGACTTCACAAAGGAAAGCTTCAATATCATCAAATAAATCTTACTCTAATAGTAATGGATATAATAGCAGTAGCTCTTACCTTCACAATGGATCATACGATCATTATTCAAATGGATACTCCCCGAAGATAGAAGTTAAAAGAAACATTCACAATTGTAAGTATTCAAAGATGTTTTCTAATTATTGTCCTGAATTGATTTATTCATATTTACATGTAGCCTAACTGTTACGATCTCATGCATTTTTTCACTTAAAAGATTTTTTTTCATTCGTTTTACTCCACAAACGAAGCAGCCATAGTGAACTATAATTTTTCATAAGACATATTTATAAGCCTTTTACTCTGAACAGGGCTCTTTACAAGTTACTATAGTTTGGGAAGACCAGAATCTTTCTCATTTGGCATAGCCCAAATTTATTTTGGCATAGCCCAAATTTATTACACCCTGGATGAGATGATGGGCATGGGATTGGAACCCGCGATTTTGAATCAGATTTTCTAATATAGTTTTTTCATTGGACCTATTCATAACCTTTCACTTCAAACAAGCAAGCTTTGTCAGTTAAGGTGCCTCTATACTTTGGAAAGACCAGAATCGTTCCAGTTTCGCCGTTGCCCTCCTAATTTAATACACATTTGATGAGGTGGTGGGCATGGGATTTGAACTCAAGATTTTCAATCGGCAATGCCAACATAGCTATGTCTAACATTTCAAGGTCAGGACTGTCAGAATTTTATGGTCTGGTCTTTCCAGAAATAATGTTTTGACATTTTTGTATGCGCACTTCCATTATTCCATAGCCGGCCACTGATTATTCGTTAATCAAGATAGCGCTATTCGGATTGTTTATTATGTCGTTACAGTTCTTTTCAAGTGCAAATATGAGTAAATGCCTAAATAACCATTGAAACTATAAGATTCATTCAATGAAAGGAAACCTTCACATAACGAAAGAGGGGCCAATGATCCAAAATAAAGAATCAGGTGCGGTCTAAATCAAATACCCGAAAGGTCCGGATTTATACTGCGGTCCACCAGTTGAGTAGCCCTGCGCTAGTTCATTGCACTCATCAATTATCAGTAACGGTCAAAATTCCGGTTTTCCCTCAGATCACTTTTGGAGGAATTTTATACAAGCAGCCATAATATGGTGCTAGCAACTTTTTACAGTCTGTAATTGTATACTTAGCTTGACTCAACCCCACCTGAGTAGTAAAACCTGAGTACGATGGTAGGAATCCTGAAATGAACTTTGCCCTTTCATGATGTCATAGTATCTTAATCAATGACCACCGGTCCATGGCACCAAAATCATTTTATTTTGTCATGAATTATGTTCAATTGACTGGCAGTCATATCTTTATATTTAAAAAAAAGAAAAGTGACAGGATTCACTGCATTGCTATTTAAAATATGAACATATTATACCAGACCACACATCATTATTGACATTTTCAATGCAACATAGCATATTTATCACCTTTACTGTATGTGTGACATCAGCTGCTATCACTTAATTTAAGTGTTGATTGATTCTGTATCATGGTACATTCATTTCATTGAGTCATTTGTTGAGTAATGGAGGATGATTTTGCTATTGTAGCAAAGGACTGATTTGGTCTTAGTTTGAGCTGTGATGCTCTGTGTGAAATGTTGAATTGATATCAGTAAGGATTGAATAGAGAATAAATTTTAGGCTTGAAGTTGATGGTCTGTCTGATGTTTTAATATTTAATTGTTAGTTTGGAGGTATCACAGTAAGATGAAAATTTTTTTTCCAGTTTATTGCCAAGAATATCATTTAAAGATATTAACGAGAATATCGGACAGAGACTGATATCAATCGGAAGTTAGGGGATCCCCAAAACATCGCCCTTACTCCATAGTCATAGTCATATCACTAATTAATTTATAACTCGCTAATTATACAACATAATTCATCCAAAATCAATAGGCTTCTGGTTCGAGATATGATGAATGCACATGCAAAATCTGGAGCAGATTCAATCTCGCTTTCGTGAGATATCGCGTACATCTAACAGACAGACAGACAAATACCTATCAACATACTTACCGATCAAGATCGATAAGTAATGAATACTGATTTTGTGATTAAACTAGTGCCCACTGAATCAAATCTGATTGAAGCTGTTTTAGGTAATGGAATACTAAGCAAATGAGTGTACTTCAGTAATAATTGGTAATAATTGCATTCATAATAGGGCCATTCAATAAAAATAAATTTGAGCATCCAATTTTAGGAAAATGTGTTACCAGACTGAAAAAGTTTTGGAACTCTGGAATACATATAAAAAATAACCAATATGAGGATGGGTATTACATATTTATTTCAAAGGGAGAAGAAACACAATAAAATGTCCAGCCATGGATTCTCATCCGACTGCCAGTCCATGTTGAGTATAGGAGTAGTTAGTTAACTGGTAATCTGTTTCAAATGCATGAACTTGATAGTAGGGGAACATTGAGGAGTCCAGCAATCCACTCATACATAATTTTCCCCACAGGATTTGAATTTACAAATCAACCCATTGAGGTAATGAAAGATACGCTGGAAAGGGTATTCCTAACCCTTAGCAGCAGGAAACGCCAACCACCTAGTTCCAGATTTTCCATTCTTCTTAGTCTATGAAACATTATTGAGAAGCTGATCAATAATAAATGTTTCATTGAATTAGGCGCTTTTATTTAAAAGTAATATTGCTCAATGACAATATCTCATTCATTTCTTGGTGCTATTAGTAATAGCTACCATCAGTCAGCATCATGCAGCAGCATTATGTATCATAGTCAATTCATAATATAATATGATGCAAAGATTAATAATCATCACTTATTGTTAATCAATGAATATTGATTGATGTAAGAAGTCTTTGGTTTGATGCCGGTCAATACATTATGCTTATTGGCAGCCAGGTATTTTGATGTTAGTTGTATAATAAGACTTGGGGTTATGTTTTTTTGGTTTCAAGTTTCTGAATTCATATTTAGTGCAGTGATATTACAATCAGGAATGTTCTCAAATTTAATATGCAATATGCTTATTGACACCCAGTTATTCTAATAGCGCATGATTGCCAGCCTACCAGATATTTTCATGTTGATGTTATATAATATAGTAGAAAAACTGGTGTTAGTGAGGAGATTTATTTGGATAGGTTTGACATTTTGTACAGAAAAACTTGATCTTTACTACCGGTATATCATTTAGTGCACCAAGATTTGATTTGGTTTCAAATTTGAATGGTATTTCAATCGAAAATATTCGCTAATTTACTATCTGATGGTCCACACATTCTCCAAATTTTGGAATTGATATTTAAGACACCAAAATTTGGTTTGGTTCCAAATTATATGGTCTTGTCATTGAAGAATATTTACAAAATTAATATTTAATGTTGCTAAAATTTATTATTCGATATATATTTGATATTATGACATCTCAAGTCTGGTCAATTACTATCTAATACTGAAAGATTTTAGTTATACAAGGGTTAATTTCAAATTGTTGTTTCAATTGCAAAAGTGTGGAGGGAGTTACTTAGTTTTAATATTACTGGTGCAAGTATACTATTACTATAGCAAGGATTTAGATGACTGAATGTACACCAGTAAGCTTTTTTAGGTTTAATAGTATTACATTACACTTTTAGATACCAGCACAGAAAGAGTGATACAGTAGGCTACCTAACATTTAAATCTAATGTTTATGACAGAACTGTATTGTCTGTATGAAGTCATGACAGTAAATAATTTAGTCAGTCAATGGACCAGGAAAACTTTTTTATTTATCTTTTAGGTATTGTAATTCTGAGATACTAGTTCAAAAATTCATTATAATTGTTTATATTTGATCAGTCTAAACAAGGCAGTTTCTAAATAAAATTTAGTCTTCCATCAATCTGTATTCACTAGCGCACAAGTTTGCACATACAGACTTCCTCTGCGTCTTGCTAGCTATTGGCATTTTAGTGGTGACCTAATATCATTGCTCAGTCATCAATCTTCTTAATTTCTGAAATGAATGGGACCTTTCAAAATTTTCTTTTAAAATAGCAATAATATGTATTTAGGGCAATAACTTATTCCTTAAAAGTACAGTTTTTCTCCCACATTGAATTTCATGTTTTCTTTTCCAACAAAATTTTTTGGAATATCTAGTAAGCCTTTGACATTGATGGAGTACTGATAACTGTCAAAATTTACTTTTCTATGACCTGTGTAACAAGTTTATTTGTTATTAATTATTAATATTTTAGATGTTAGAAGTTGAGTGTTAAATAATGTAAACATGTCACTTCGTAATTTATTGTAAATATTTGATGGATTATTAGTCTGGAAGTTGAACGAACGCATTCAGAATTAAAAATGCATGATAAAGTCACAGAATCATGTAATGGTGGTGTTATTACTCATATTTATGCAGGTAATTATTATAAAGAACTCTATTTGTTTAGTCTTATTGATAATAGCCCATGAATACAATGAAAAGTATTTGAAAATAAAGCCTGCTAAATATTTTGCCTAGTGGTCAAACTTGACTATGTGGGCATCGCTGAGGAAAAATTTTTGAATCTGTTGCTAACTACCTTACTCAGTGTGTAATGTGTAATATATTGGGAAACATTCATGTATTTTCTAGGCTGGAACTATAAATTGATGGGATGCTTCCACTCACTTCTTTTTTTTTTTTTCATTGGCCTTCGCTACCTTGGTTTCTTTCACATTCCCTACCTTTTTGCTAGTTTTCTTGATGACTCCAACAGCAACCGTCTGTCCTAATTCTAGTAGCTTTCCACACATCTGTGACTATATGTACTGGTTCAGAGCAGTAATGTCAAATTTGGCAAACAATAATATTCATTTGGGAATGGTTTGAACTTTGAACACAGCCTTGCAACCCATCTTCTACAATTTGTCTATGGAAAATCTGTGTTATTCATTACAAGTTTGAAGCATCTGTTTGTACCATAAATCTCACTCGCTATGGACCATTACCAACTATTTGTCCGATCAGTTGCTTGAACATTGGTACGATCGCCCAATAGTTACAGCCAGTGGTGGGATTCTGAATTTTTTGTCAGCCGGTTCCATCACAAAAGTCATATTTTTCAGTCGGTTCAGTTACAAACAGAACATTGACAGTAATAAGTAAAGCTAACCGGTTCGCTGATCTCATAATATTCCTTGAGACGGTCCTATAGAACCGGTGTGAACCGACTGAATCCCACCACTGGTTACAGCGTTAGATTCAACTTCGTGGCATGGCAAATTACACATCTCAGGTTCAGATCCCATGCTCACCATTTGACCCAGCGCGTGAGAAATTGGTTAGGCAATGCCGAATCGAGTAGTAGTAGTTCTTTACATTTTGTTAGGTATCAGTAGCCAGAGGGATGGTTTTGAGAATCGGGACCTCAACCCCCCCAACCCCCCTCCCCCCATTTCTGTATAATACATAGCAATTTTTCGTTGCTTGAAACACTTTTTAGACCCTCGTGACTAATGAAAGCAATTGTTTTCTGACCTGCTAGCTGTTATGGTCTAACTTGGCAAATAGAAATTTTAGACCTTCCCCCTCCCCTTTTCAAATTTGTGGCTACGCCCTTGACAGTAGGTGCTTGTAATAGGGCCTTGTTCATAGTGAAAAACTTGACTGAATTTTGTTGTTGGAGGGCTTAGTTCTTTATTAAATGTTGAAAAATCTTTTATTAATACAACTGGACAATGAGTCCATCCACTGCTGATTCGCTCAGCGTCATTTTGAGCCATTCCAGATGTTGTCAAGGGTGTCCTTGTTTGATCAAATATCTGTCCATATGGCTTTATGTATGGGCCATGATCAACAAAAATGTTTAAAATTATAATATACAGGATGGTCGCTAGAAAAACAGAAAATTTGTCAAACAAACATATTTATTTTTACAAAAAGAATAATTTTTACAAAATTTTTTGAAGGCCTTCTTTCATGATGTTGAAGTCAAAATATAACTTATGTAAATATAACTAAAACAATCTAGAACCAAATAGAAATAAAAACGTATCAGAAAAGAAATTAGTAAGCACGCATTATTCGTGATATCATGTGACCTTCAAATTTTCTGCTTTTCTAGCGACCAACCCATATATTTAGTAAGTTTGAATTTAGAATGAACATCAATTTAATTAGTTTTCCTATGTCTAAATACGGTAGCTAACTTGGAAATTAGAACTTACATCTGTAGGTGCAAGTAACATATTATAGAAATTTATTTTTTATTTTTTAAGAATATTTGCTCAATGTAAGGTCGTGTTCATTTACTTAGAAGCAAAGTAGACTCATCTCTGAATAAAATTCAACCACTGAAACGCCAAAGCTTCTGAAAATATATAATTATGGCTGTGCATTGCACTATAGCAAATCCCATGAATATTAACTTTTTTTTTCTCTATTTTTCAGCAAATCGTCAAATATCAGGTGAGCAATTGTTCAATTGATCCAATTCTTTTTTGAAATTGTTTTCACATTGGCAATCACACATGGTAGATTCATTATTCTGTTAGTATTTACAAGTAATAGTGATAATCAGTTGGTAATGATTTTTCTTATAATGTACGATTATAAGACACCCTAATCACAGGGTGAATAATATAGCCTCACATCTGATTACTAGTTCAAGTGGCTTTCCGGAAGTATGTGTACCAATATGGAGGTAACTAATTTTGTTCAGCTATTTTACATCAATTTGTGTAAATGGAATGGAACCTATGGACAGGGGGATGGATATTCACTTGGATAAAACAGACAATTCCCGAACTCGTAATAGAACTAAAATAAGGAAAATTGGAATAAAATTATAGACTAACCCTAACGTGGTACGCATACTTCGGGAGTACCGTTCATGTAACAAATACTGTTTTCAATGAATAAGCTGAGACCAATTTTCGGCACCGAAATATAAATAAAGCCCAATAAAGCAAAACAGAGAAATTGTGTTATTTTTTCTCTGTCAGTTTCTCCCAGGAACGGCAATTCCTGAAAAAACTGACAGGGAAGACATGTTATTGTCCCCCTTTTTGGTATTTTCTGGTCCAAATCTAATATTAAGCCGTTACCAGAAAAAGTAAAATAAGCCGAGCCACCCACCAAGCAGACCCCAGAAAATCAGGCTCGAAAGTTGGCCTATCAGCATGATAATATGGGACTAAAATAACCATTTTAGTTGCATTTATCCTTATGATGGATGTGCCAGTAGTTAGTTACGTGAGCCACTTACAAATTATCGTCTCCCATGGGATTCGTACATACTGTAATCAGTGCTGTGCCAAGGATATTCCAGACTCTATTGAGTCACCAATAGACAGGATGTTAATAAATTCCTATTACAATTTTCAATTTGCTATGGAGTCGGTTCTCAATAGATCTTAAACAGGTTTGTTTTATTTTAGTCAGTGTTTATTCAAGTTATTTCACTTCATTTAATACAACTATAGGCTGTAGGCCAACAAACTATATACCGGCGGATCCCAATTTCCAACCTTTATGGCTTGTGGTTTGTGGCCCTTTGCTAGCACTCATTGACTCCTATGTTTATCATTCCATTTGTATTTAGAGTGTCATTGTGATTGGTAAATTCCAAATCCCATTATGTTCCAACAATTTATGTCAATGAAACTGGGAAGAACAGGAATTTTTTGGTAAGGGCAATAGGGTGAAATCAGTTCAGGAGGAGCGTAAGGTCAGTTGTGCGCCCAGCATTGTGGCCCCTGTCTAGCCCATCTTTGGCTTCCATATAGTGAACACAAGATCGGGTGGTATTGTCTCTAGGTATAAATCCTTCAGCTTGTATTATTGTCCATTGATTTAATTCTTTGTTATACATTTCCATTGTGCTGGTAAATGTGTAGCTTATAACTACACCTGTGCGCCCTCCAATTACATATAAATTTTCATCAATCGCACATGCACTGTGATTGACCCGTGGTACACGCAGGTCTGCTTTTTTGGACCATATATTTGTATCTGGGTCATATTGAATAACTCTGCTTGATGCTAATGGTCCACATAGCGTGTTTCCTACCTTCGTACCTCCAATTACGTAAACTTGATTGTCTACGACAGCAGTTGTTCCACATTGTGGTCCAATCAAAACACTAGCCTTTTCTTCCCATGTTCGTGTTTTTGGATCAAATTTTTTGTGTTGTCAAGTTGTAAAAAATCACTGATTGCATATATATTTTCGTTAGTTGCGGCAATGATGAATATACCGAAGCCACACGAAGGCAGTGTGTTGTCCCAGGTATTTTGGATTGGATCGTAACAAGACATCTTTTCGGTAGAAAGGAGATAAATTTTATTTTGAAACGTGAAGGCTTCATAATAACTTGCTAGGGGAGATGACAAGATTGATTTTTTTTCCCAATGTTTTCCAAAAAAAATCCTCCTATTTTCAAGTTGAAAAATTCCGCAGTCACCAAATATGCATAGCTTTTGATTCAATGTAGAGATATATTTAGGTGAGCATTTCTTGAATTCTGGTAGTTGATGATATTGGTTGGTCCACATGTTTAAAGCTTTTATTTTTCCCGTTTCTTTATCTAGGCATACAATATGAGGGACTATGTTTTTATCTACAATGTGACTTCTGAGAAGGTTGAGCTTTTCGGAGAGTTATTAGTTGTTTGTTTGTCATTTGTCATTTCTATTTCTCTTTGTCCACTGATAAAATTAGAAATTATCTTCTGACAATTACGAGATTTTGCCAAATTTTCAGACTGGACTTTTTCCTTGATAAAGTCTAGCGTGAGTATGGATTTCATCGTGTTTTACCCACTTGACAGCTGCATGCCACTTCAAACATTCTGTAGATGGATTGCCCGTGGCAGATTGTAGCGCTCAAAAAAATGTCTTCGCTATCTATGTCGAGAAATTCATCTTTTTGGAAAAGTTTTTCGAAATTTTCTGTCATGAAATGTTTCAACAAATTTTCAATCTGTTTGTTGTCACATGATAAATTATTTTCCGCGGCTTTTTTGAAATCCCAAAAATTTTTATAATTGAGATTAGCACTGAGATTTTGCACATCACAAAGTAATATTTTTAATATAAACTCCTTGCAGTTCTTGTGGTTTTGTACTATTGGGTCTTGTAATACATCATTGAGTAAAAAACTGTATGGGCTGTCGTTGATTTTAATAACATTCATAAAAGCAGGGAAATAGGCATCAATTTCTTCCGAGCATCTTGGCCTTAACCAGGTAGTAATCGCTTTCCATGGCGTTTGATATGTAGATGCGTTACATCTATGTGATGCTATGATTTCATAGAAAGCTTTGGGGGATATTATCGTAAAATCTTTGGTAGAAATAACAGCATTGAAATTTTGATGAATATATTGTTCAGCATAATATTTGAGACATCCATCAAACTTTCGGCCAATTTCGAGTGTTTTGCAACAGTTTTCTACACTGATATCGATTTTTAACTCATTTGTGCATTGGTATTTTAACTCTTTGAAATTCAGCAAGCAAGAAGCATGAAGAACCTCTTCAATCTCATTTGTTTTGATTTTCAAAATTCCTGTATAAATATAATCAATGCAGGATTCAACAGCCTTTGAGCTAACAACTTCTATCTCCAAAAATCCTCTCTTAATCACTTCATCTGTAAGTGATCGTTTCAAACCCCATGATGCGGCTGCAAGGATATTACGGTGCACCGGAAATGTTTTTTCACCGACTTTGATTGCAAAATCACATGCATATTCTGTTTTCATCATGTCTTTGATATTACAGAGAAGATTTTTAGCATAATATCACTGGCTTCCAAAATTCTCTGGTGTTTTTCTGGAGTATTCGACATTTTCATACACGCTGCTCGATTTTATTTATAAATTTAAAAAAATTGGTGAGGAAATATTCTGTTTACAAAAATAGCTTCAGAAATAATATATTTTTCGTATTTTTCGTATATTGCAAACCCTGGTTTATTTTACTTTGATAAATTGTGTAGGTACCAGTAGACAGTGGAACCTACACATTCTCCAATTTTGACGCTGTCATGAGTCATTGCACAGTATCATTTTCATAGCTCCTTAGATGCAACTTGGAGATTTCTTCCTGGTAGACATGGGCATATTCTTTTTCTGCATATCCTTCTGACTGGCACTGGAATAACTTTCTCTCATTTTTGTTACAACCCAGCCACCGGAGATACATGACATACTATATCCTATCTATAAATTATACTGTCTGAGTACAAAGTCTGATAATATGCTTGAGAATCGCCACGAAGGTTTTCGAGACTGGTACCCAGTGTTGGATTAAGGTTAATTATTGACACCATGGTGTGTTTAAATTGCACTTTAATTGATAGGTAAAAGAAAGGAATTAAGTAACACAAATCTTGTAATTTAGAAGGTATTGGTTTGGATTGTGAATGCTCATATTATATATTATCCAAAAAAATAGTTGAGAATAAAGATTTTAACTTCAAAGTTAGTTTTATTTAAAGTAAAAAATTCGGTACTGCCGTAGTATGTGAACCAAGATGGCAGCCACCGGAACGTAGTATGTGTACCAGATTAGGGTTAGGCGATAGTTTTATTCCAATTTTCCTTATTTTAGTTCTATCAAGAGTTCCGGGGCTCTAGATTTTCTTTTGCAAGAGAAAGTTATTGGGCCACAGAATTTTTGTGCTTTGGAAGCGGGCTACGAGTGAAAAAAGGTTGCGAACCACTGATCTAGGCCATCTTTTTGGTTGGCGATTCAAGTATATTACGTCGCATATTACATAACTTTTGTAAACTCACCCGAGACGTATTAAATTGCAATGTCGAACCGGAAAGTTTCGGGCTCTTCCAAATATACTATCTCCGGTGCTCCCGTAGTATGTGCACCAAGATGACTGACACCGGTACGTAGTATGTGTACCAGGTTAGGGTTAGGACATAATTTTGTTATAATTTTCCTTATTTTGGTTCTATTACGAGTTCGGGGACTAGCCAGATGAGTTCTGTAGTATTTGTACCTGAAATTAGTGCCTAATGCTAACCTGGTACACATTCTACGTTCCGGTTTCCGCCATCTTGGTTTTCATACGACATGAGTACCCTATTTCCTCATGTATCAGTGACATCTTGTACAAAGTTAAAAAGTGCTTATGGAAATGTTTTTATACTTTGCAGTAGATGATGTTAAAACGGATACTTACTCACCGGTGTTTGCGCAGAATCGGACAAGCAACAACAATAATAAGGATTATGAAAGTGGTTCAAGCTCCTCAACAAGATCTTCTATAAATGGAAGAAGGGAAGATAATATGGTGAGTGGATAAGATATTTTACTTCCAGCGGATGAGGGTGTTTCAAACATTTTAAGTGAATTTGAAGTCTGAGATGTTGGTAAAAACATTGAAAATTAATTTATAAATTTCTGATAGTTTTCAAAATTTAATTTGAATTTGCAGCTAGCGCTTTTAATAATCCAGATTTGAAGCCACAGTCTTTTTTTTTATAACTATCTCACATAATTCAGTGCATTGGCTGGTTGAGGCGAGAAAGGTTTGATATGATATGTATAAGTCACATATACGGTAAATGGCTGCTTGTTTGTGACTTTGTTTAGAGCAGAGTTTCTCAAATTAGGCCTTTAGGAATTCCATAAAAAAATGCTGTCAATTGGTACTATGAATAGAAAAACATTCAAACCAAAACTAAGTATTTTCATTGAAGAGCATGGGGCCAAAAAGTGCTGAGAGTTTTTAAAAGGGGGCCTGAAACTTGTCATGGCATTTAAAAACCACTAGTTTAGATTATAGGTGTTTAATAATGCTCCTTAAGAATTTACTTTTTGTTTCACCAATGCTGATATTTTTGGTAATACAACCAGTCATAAAGACATGCAGGGAAATCGTGGAAATTGCTGTTATATTCTCCACAATGTTCAATTGATTTTTTGTGAAAAGTAATTTTCCAAAGTGCAATTCAAATATCTAAAGCAATCAGCTTCGACACACTAATACGATGTGCTTTTACTATTGATTGGGAATGAGTTTGCTGTGTCTAATCTTTGGAAAGTTTCTTTTAATTAATTATTGCACATTTATAGTAGTAGGTCATTTAAGTTCTAGAGTAATGAAATTGTAACCATCATACATGCTGTCCAAAGTGAATTGAAAGTTTGATTGATGGTTTTTATGATTTTTAAAGATAATTTAGGGCAATTTAAGAATCTTGTTAAACAATAACTTAAATATGTTACTGTAACATTTTGCTTGACCAGAGTTGGACTATAATTCAACCACCAGTCTATGGTCACTTGAAACTTTTACAAAACTGAACATACTGGGTGTCCATAAAGTCTTAAAATTCTTTAAAATTGCAAAGAAAATTTATTGATATCATAATTATATTGTTTTGGCCCTCACAGATGTATCAAATTAAGTAAAAATATTTAAACGACAGAGACTGATTAAAATACAACAAACCTGGTTAAGATATATTGAGAACTGACTACAAAACAATTTGAAATTGTAAAGGGACTTTATAGACACCCTGTATATGCTGTTGTCACACATTGTTATACCCTCTGTGTATATGTCCTTTTCCCACTGCTCTCTCTCCTGGAATAAATATGGAAATCCTGCATTTGTGTACAATACCAATGCCAGATTTTAAACCTTTTAAAATTTTCTTTTGAATGACTTTATGACATCACAATGCTAGTGAATCCAAATTTCAATCTAAATGAAACAAGAGTTTTTGATGGATTTTATTGTTCTTTATACTTTGTAAAATGGGTTGAAAATTAGGAATCTGTGAAGCTAGACTCTGGCATGTTTTGGCAATGCCAATTCACCATGAGAGAGATCCCTGGAGTCGTACAAGTGTTAAAAATCTCCCATCGACCAGAAGCAGACAACGTTTTAGAAATTCTGGGGTTGATTATCAGGTTTTTCTCAACTTTTTTGCTGTTGTTTTCATTATGAAAAGAAATAGCAACTTTTTTAGTTTAGGAAAATTGATTAAGATAGTTAGTAGTCTTTTCTTAATTAATTCTGTTTTTACCTGTTATCTATTATTAATTTTTTTTAACAGGTTAGTTCAACGTCAAGCAGTAGAGATGTAGGACATAATGGATACAGTAATAGAAATTCTGTGAGTAAATACTTTATTATATTGTTGCTCATTTGTCAATAAAATTACAGCGCTCCAGAAGTATGTGTACCAATATGGAGGTAACTAATTTTGTTTGCCTACTTTACATCAAGTTGTGTAAAGGGATTGAAATCTATGGGCAGGTGGTATATTCACTTGGCTATCACAAACAGTCTCCAGACTCGCAGTAGAACTAAAATAAGGAAAATCAGAATAAAATTATGGTCTAACCCTAACCTGGTACACATACTACAGGAGTACCGAGATGACATATTTTGTAATGAATTTTCAATTGATTATCAGCACTTGAAAATGTTTGGAGTCACTTTTGCTGTTTTATTTTAACTCATGGGAACATATTTATATGATGTTAATAAGGGAATACTTGTATATGGTATATGACATCTTGACCTTTGTGTCCTTATATTTGATTATTGCTTTCTCATACTTTACTCATAATAATAATTTCAGGTAACTTCAACATCCAGTGGTCGAGATAGTCTTGTTGATGCAAATGCAGGCCTTGTTGGTCTGAAGAATATTGGAAACACAGTGAGTGGTTTAGTATTTATTTATGCTGGTTATTACGTCTTGATCTTGATCGGTAAGTTTGTTGATAGGTATTTGTCTGTCTGTTTGTTTGTTTGTCTGATAGATACACGCGATATCTCACGAAAGCGAGGATGAATCCGCTCCAAAATCTGCATATGCATTCATCATATCTCGGATCAGAAGCCAATTGATTTTGGATGAATTATGTTGTATAATTAGTGAGTTAATAATTAATTAGTGATGGGACAGGCGTTGTCACTAATGAGTAAGAGCGAAAGATACACGCCGCTAGATCGATAAGTCGGCGGTCTCTGATCGCTATCCAGTTTGTATTTCATTTTGTTTGATATTCTAGTAATATTATAAAAAACATCCATTTTACATTTTTTACTCAGAGCAACGCCCTGCAAAAGCATTCACTGATATGCAAGGAGCTACTTTATTTTTGGAAGTATTAGAATCTTCTCGGTTTGGCACAGCTTACCCACTTTATTACACCCTGGGTGGAGGGTATGGATTTTAAACTTAGACGTAATTGAACCTTAGTGTAATCTGCGACATCGTCATAATTAAGAATTCTTATTAATTGTTGGATTGTTCTATAAAATCCATATTTCATTAAACAATGCTAACAAAAAACATCTTTAAAGTTATTTCAAATCAAAATCAATATTTTCTATCTTGTGTTACTTTTGTCGAAAAAATAATCAGTCCACTTTGTTATTCAGTGTGAAAACTGAACTGGAAAAAATCAGAACCTATTACAGCCAAATATCCTTAGAAAGTTCAAAGCAGTGCTGGGTCCTATACCCAAGACACGATTTGAGTCGAGTTCGTTCGCCAAGTTCAGTGAATTTCCAAGCTGAGTTTCACGGACAGTTTGTTGAGTATATAACGGAGTCATCTGAGTTGGTATTTCGACTGAAGAGTCCAACTTGCGTCAAGTCACTGTCTCGAGCCTTGCCCACACTAATTTTATTGCAAAAATTTTAAGACTCATAAATATTTCTACAGTGTTTCATGAATTCCATTATTCAATGTCTCTCGAACACCAAGTCACTTCGAGATTATTGTCTCAACAAGCATTATCTTAACGACATTAACAACAAAAGTTCATCTTCGGCAAAAGAAAAACTGGTTGAAGGTGAGACATATTTGATAACTTTTCACATTCTAATTTATAAAATTGATAGGCCTATTGTCATACGATGGGATTCCAGACTTGATAAAATGTTATCTAGAACTGTTAGTGTATGGTGTTAGAATCATCATTGCCATCATGATACTGTATATACTAGAGTTTCTTAAACTGAGTCCAATCCTTGGGGAATCGCAGAGCCATTCTATAGGAGTCATGAGTAAAGATCTTCATTTGTTACCATTGATTAGTTTAATAGAATTTGTTTAATTCTTTGACTCAGAGCAAAAAATTCAATTCATTCAATAGTTAGTTCATTCTTGACTGCTTTTACATGACAAATTTTGAATTAAAATTTTTGTCCTTCAGCTTTCTCTGATATAATTCGTCAGATCTGGCATCCCTCGTCAGGAGGAAGCCCTATTTCAACTTCGGCGTTCAAATCAAAAATTCAGAAATTCTCAAATAGATTCAGTGGATATGAGTAAGTAGAAAGACTTTATGAGGACATTCAATATGATAATATACCTTTTTAGAGTACTTAACAATGAATGGCCTTATTACTCAACACTTGAATTTAAAAAAAAAATTTGTTTTTAAAATGCAACCGAAACTATGGAGTCAATAAAATTTCGTGTTCTGTTTCAGTTTATGAGCTATCCAGGCAACCAGTTTCCGAATCTAGGACCTAGATAAATAAATTGGCGCCAATTCCCATTTTGAGACGACAAATTTTTTACAACTAAGACTGAAACTTAGTATTTGCAAGCCTTATATACCTTTGGTTTAAAAGTATGATCGCAATTTTTCTGATATCCTGACCTGCATAGTTGAAAGAGGTGACATGCTGGCAAAGCTCTAAACCGGGATAAAACGCGCTGCTTTCAAAATCATGACTCTTCATTCTTAATTGCGAACTCTTACCAGATAATGAATGTAATCAGTATTTTGAAACTCATTCTATTGAACTTGTTCTGAAATTAATAAATGCTTGTTGATTTGTATTTTGAATTCAGTATTCTTACTGTATAAGTTAATTCCTTGGATTCTTTCCCGTCTCTATGTTTGAGTTTTTTTATACAAATTAATTAGTTTGATTTGTTTTATCCAGGCAGCAAGACAGTCAAGAATTCATGAGGTTTCTCATCGAAGGATTACATGAAGATGTCAATAAAGTAACAAAGAAACACAAGGATTCAATACCCAACTATGATTCACTGTGGTGAGTTTGATTCGAAGCAAATAGAGCAATGGTTTATATAGATTTTTCGTACATTGAAAATTAAGTTTATATGAACCTAGCTGCTTATAATATTTAGTATTTCTGTGATTTTAAATCCTCTTATTAATTAGTAAATTAATTGTGAAAAAATAGAGCACTAATTCGATTACAAATTAAAGATGAATAAAGCACAAGAAGCGGCGATCGAAAATCACAACACTATTGTACAATAAATTTAAATAGTATTCACAATGGTTGACTTAAGATGATGCAAACCTGCCCCCTATCCTGGTACAATACTATTATACTTATTCCTTTATTTTACCTGGTTCCTGCGGGGCTCAATATTTCATCCGAATTTTGCTGTTCTTTACTGTTGAATTAATGGAACACTGTTAAATGGCATCTAGTACACATCTCCATAATAAATGATTTCTGGTACAATTCGTTTAACATTTGTCAGGGAAATTGCTGACAATGTGGTAGGTATTCATGTCTATAAATTTTTTTCATATAAATTTCCAGCATAAGAACTGTAATTTTTTGGAAATATATTCGTAGTCGTATATTATATATTTGACTGAAAAGTACGGTATCCGGTCAGTGCAATTAAGCAATTTTCATATAAATCACTCATAAGCAACCCTCACATTATTTATTTTTACCCCTTTGAGTATAATTGAGTGGTAAGTTAACACTACGAATGTCTCACATCCTTCTTTTATTTTTAGTGATGAAAGTAAAGCAAGAAAGACATGGGATTTCTACCTCAGTAAAGACAACAGTTTTATTGTTGATTTATTCATGGGACAACTAAGATCTTCATTAAAATGTGAAGAATGTGGAAATGTCTCCACGACCTTTGACCCTTTTTGGGACTTGTCACTACCCATACCCAAGGTTAGTATAATAATGATATAAATAAAATATCAATGAGTGTGCTGCTGTTGAACTTAAAAAAATAGTTGAGCTAGATCGACACGAAATTACTCAGGATAGGATTTCCCATATTTTGTCTGTGAGAGAATGAAGGGTACTCCCTGAGTGTATGTGAACCAGGTTAGGGTTAGGCCATAATTTTATTCCAATTTTTCCTATTTTAGTTTTATTACGAGTTCGGGGACCTGCCAAGTGACTCCCGTAGTATTTTTGTACCTAAAATTATGGCCCAACCCTAACCTGGTAGTGCTGGTACAAATGCTACTTTCCAGTGTCCGCCCTCTTGGTTCACATACTTTGGGAGTACCGAATAAAATATCAATGAATGTGCTGCTGTTAAACTTTGAAAAATAGTTGAGCTAGATAGACACGATATTACTCAGGATAGAATTTCCCATATTTTATTTGTGGGAGAATGTAGGGGGGCTGAATCATGTGGTGACTGTATTTTGCTATTTCAGATTGCCTTGTTTTCATCAAGTGATTTCCTTTGGCATTATTGAATATATCATCACAGTAAAACCAAAGTAGCCTAATATTTTTAGCCTATATTTTTTTTTTCTGTAATGAACTTTTTCAATCTACTGTTATTATAGGCCATAGCCCCAAAACCATCTTTTGGTTTTGGTTTCAAAGCTGTTTTGATTTAAGGAGGTTCTCTTGTTCATTTTTAGGTTTTGCTGTTAGAACCAAACTATTACTGAATTGCTATTTTCTCAAAACTCTCGTGTCATTAGTTTGGTTCTACTGCATCTATATTATGTTTTTGAATATACATATTAACATAGCATAGCCATAGTGAAAGTCCATACATCTCTAATAAATGACTTCTTTGCTATCCTGAACCCGCCGCTCCCAGAGTATGTGAACCAAGAGGGCGAACACCCGAACGTAGTATGTGTACCATGTTAGGGTCAGACCATAATTTTATTCCAATTTTCCTTATTTTAGTTCTCTTACGAGTTCGAGGACAGGCCAAGTGACTCTCGTAGTATTTGTACCTGAAATTATGGCATACCCCTAACCTTTCTATACATACTACGTTCCAGCGTCCGCAATCTTGGTTCATATACTACGGGAGTACACTCAACCCAGCATGAATTGGGAACCGACAAGTAGCTGTGGCTTGCTATGGGATTTATCATCCTATCCACTTTCATACTCCTTATTTTTGTAGAGTTCAAGCTACAGTTTAGATAAAATCAATCTTCAACAATGTCTCGATAATTTTACAAGGGAAGAAATATTGGACAGAGATGAAAGACCGGTAAGTAATGAAGAGGTATTACCGTAGTCAAAATTAAATCAAGAATACATTGGATAGCTGAATAGTCAAACAATTGTTTCAAAAGTTAAAAGCTGGAATTTTTTTTTTATACGATCTGAAATAAATTTGTTAGGAGGTTTATAAGTCAATGGCTGTTCCTTCGACCCTTGATCCCAGAATTATTTTTTTTTTAACACGATACCATTGGAAAACTTTAAATGCCTTTTTTTTAATAAAGTGCATTTGCTAGATCATTTAAACAGTAATACATTTTCAGAGGGGCAACCTGGCTTCAATGAAATAGGTCTAGGGGCTAACTTTAGATATGTATGCCCCAGCTTTTTGAATCATTTTTTGATTATTGCAACTAAATACAAACACTTCTGAAGATAAAATGACTGTGACAAATTTGATTTGTATCCGAATATATCACATAATATCACAAAATGCTGACGAATAGCAGTCAAAACTGTGAAAATGACACAATGTTCACAATCATGCTCGAAAATCTAATCAAATCATAATTGTTGAGAAACATCCAAGGGACTGTGATATATTTTTGACGTAGATTAAAAAAGAGATTGGTATGTTAGCATACCCAACGGTCTACTATGGGTAAACCCGCTTGGGCAGGTTTTTTCAACCAGCAACACTAATTTGGTAACCCATGGATCATATCTCAACATATTGTCATACATTCACTGTACGACTTCTGTTAGAAGATGAACCTCTTGTTGGAAAAGAACTTAACTATAATGTTTCACAAATATCTATTTTTATGTTTTTTCAGACATGTGACTATTGCAAAGCTCGCAGAAGAATGACCAAAAAGTTTACAATATATAAGTTTCCGAAAATATTGGTTATTCGTATCCTTTGCAAAAATGTTTCATTCAATAGATTGACTAATGCTCTTCTGTTGATGATGGCTATTAATGCCTTGTAGAAGCATTCCCTAACAATTCCCTAACAGACGTTCCTAACAATTGATTGTGCTATTCTGTCCAGTGTTAATGTGTCGCAGTTGCGTCACTCGCTAGTTTGTTCTGTTGCCGTAACATCTATGTGTGTGTTATGCTGGTGTAATAAAAAAGTGGAAGCATATTCAGTTGAACCCTTATTCTATAATAATAGCTTGGGTGTTGAACTTAACCTATAACCAAGACATTATTAACATGATGGCGGCGGTGAGATTCAAGATAGTTTTTACCATTGAAATATGATAAATTAGTTTGTTTATACAAAGTTTTTCATTTGGTGAGCAAGGACACAAAACTTATTTAAAACATAAAGAAACCTGCTTAAAACGAAGCATATTGAAGGTCGTGTTTTAGAGAAATTTTTTACAGAAATTGCTTGTTACTTAGCTCAGAGATGAGTCTCTGAATGGGTGCCCGAGACCTTGTTTTGAGTAAATTTCGTTTGATAATCCATAAGTGTTAGCAATATTTATTTCTCCTGCACTTGGTGTATTAATATCTTCCTATGCTTTCCTTAATAACTACTTCAAATAAGATTTAAAAAGGTTTAATGAAGGTCAACGATATCGACAAAAACTGTCAAATGAAGTTGATTTTCCAAGTAGATTGGAAATAACAAGCCCTGTGTGTAAGTATATCTTGAACATTTGGAATTTAGAGTTTTGATTATTTTTGTATATAGTAGTTCAAGCTTCAACCCATCAAGAAATGCCCAATTTTATCCCACTGCTGACTTGAATTCGGACTTGCAACCAAAAAATTAACTCTACAAGACTCGCTCTAATACTTCACTCTGTATATATATCCATCGATTTGCACCGAAGCTACAATGTTTGAAAGTAATGGAAATGGCATTGCCTACCAAATCATTACAACCGGTTCTATTTTGGTATTTTACACTGTTTTTATCATACATAGTGCCATGCTTTTTACTCTGAACTCTGAAGCACTTTACAGGCAGCCATTGATCCATAAAAAGCTACTATTTTAATGAGAACCAAACTTTTTCTGGATTAGCATTGCATACATTCTGGGTAATGTGCGGTGTTGGGCACTTTTTCTCTGAGGAGTATGTAATCTGTTTAGGATCTTTTTTCATGATATGCTGCAATTAAGGTCTGTTAACCTCCTTTGAGCTATATGCTTTCATATCTGCCTTTGTATTGGTAAACTATCCTATTGAATATAGGTGGGAGCTGACCTCAATGACCGTATGGGCGTATCACTCCCTCTTGTCCACACCAAAACAATTTTATTGCTGTTGCTATTTTATTGATGACTGTATTTTTTGGTTGGCGAAATAATAAACTCTCTCTTCCTATCTCTATTTGTTTCAGCCACTGCACCAGCATCATTCAACTTATATGCTGTGTCAAACCATAGTGGTTCATGCTATGGTGGACATTACACTGCGTACTGCAAACATGTTGAGAGTGGGAAATGGTATTCTTTCAATGACTCACTGTGAGCAGAATTATCTTTTATATTTCAAATGTGTTGGTACTTATATACGCAGGGGGGGTTGTCTTCTTTTACTGTAAAATTTTGTTATGTAACAATTTTATCATTTCATATGCTTACTGGGAATTCTGACATATCAAGGGTTTCAAAACAAAAGAGAAAATTCTGTACTTGGAAATTCTCTGCCTTCCGAGCTGAGTGGCCCATATTCTTCATACGGCTCATTTAGTTTTTAATATAAATATTAATGAACCTAGGTGTATAGGAGTTTGGATCTGTTGAATTAAACATCAGTTCTGTTTCAAACTAATGTTGTCAATCAGTAAATCTGATTTTCTTATATATTTAGAAATTGAATTTCCATCCGATATACGCACGTTACGACATATTTATCACTTACAATATTTGTTGATTTGACGTCAATCTCACATCAGCGAAAATAGTAAACAACCTTTATTATAGCCATGAGGTCATTTAAAACGTCTGTAAGCCCGCTATTACAGTACCCGAGAGAGTTTCAAAATGCTGCTCACGTAATTCGACTCGTCAATGGTTTATTTTATAGAATACCGGTGTCCCAATAGGATTAGGGAACATTTCGAAACATCATCGAGGATTATAGTCACTTATTTTTTTTCCACAGGGTGTCAGCAATGAGCTCATCTTCCGTCCAATCCAAAGAAGCTTACGTACTTTTTTACGAAAATTTGAAATCGTCAAGGAGTCACTTGTGATCGTTTTATACACTCCTATATGTATTTATTTCTCTTAAGTTTTATGAAAAGGCAAGAATATATAGCCCAAGCGGCAAGAAATATCTGAATACCGTATGAACAGCAAGAGCTCTGAAATTTTTTTGTCTTGTTTTGCTGTTTGCATCTGGTAATTAGTCTAAATTTATTGACACCATCATCATGCATGGCCATCCTTCACTTCTAAACAAATTGCAATGCTTCTGCAAGGCTTCGGAAGCACTACTTCTGATACTGATAGAGGACAGGGGCTTAGGGACAAGAATATCCTACGTTGGGTGATTTTGCAGGTTTTATAGCATTGGACCATAATGAATAATTGCCTCATTTGGCGATGTTTAGAATTTAAGTTAGATTGTGATTATGTGAAAATTATTGTTATTATTGCTGAATTTTTTTGAAAGTGTCGTGTCACAGGGCTTGATATTTCACTTACAATCCATGTTAACCTGTGAACTGCTGAGAAAGCCATAACATTGTTAGAAATTACATCCAGGCTCATATGTACCACTGCAAGAAGCACAGACTTTGGAATATGCTTTTTTAATTAGGGATTTATTCCTATTTGTGCCAAATTTGTCCCAGTTTGTATTATTATGTTCTATGATACGTTGAAATATTGGGATTTCCTCTAAAAATGTTCTAAACGTCTTATCAGCCGGTTGTTTCGCCTCATGTTTGGATCTAATTTAATAAAAAGAATTGAAAAAAGTAATAATTCTAAAGTGCATCAATATAGTATGCACAGATTTATGTTGAAAACCTTTTCTATAATTATCATTTTGATGCTGTGGATCTATTTTAACCATAAACACATTTTGAATTTTAAAAATTGTGAAGTTCTCATGACTCATGTATGACTCTTTATTTAGCTAGTGTCTGCGTTCTAAATTATTTTAAGATCAAACAAAAGTTGAAATCTACATTGTTGATTGTATTGCTCAATTTTATTCATAAAATATTCAAATTTCAAGATTATCTAATTCTTATGCTCTTAAGCATTTGTGATATTGTTTATAAAACTCGTTAACATCCTATTTAAAAATAACACCAAGAAGGTATCAGCCTCGATATGTAGCCAACTCAAATCCATTTTTGTTTGTTCAACTTTTTTTTATTCATTATAACGACGTTAAATATCAGTGGTAATTCATCCTTTGCCACAACAGATCTGCAGAGACAAAAAGGCATTATATGCCATGAAAATCTGATTTGATTTGTCATGAAACATGCTCAATGTTTGTGGCAAATTTTCCTTTTTATAGTTAGAATCATCGGTACTCCCTTAGTATGTGAACCAAGATGGCGGATACCGGAACATAGTATATGTATTACCAGGTTAGGGCATAATTTTATGTACAAATACTACAGGAGTCACTTGGCTAGTCACAGAACTTGTAATAGAACTAAAATAAGGAAAATTGGAATAAAATTACGGCCTAACCCTAACACGGTACACATACTATGATACCACCTTGGTCCACATACTTTGGGAGTACCGATTCATCCGACTTAGTGTTAAATAAATTTTCAGATATTTTATATTTGGTCTTTAATGTATTGGCTACCTTTGCGCATTTTTTTCGTAAATTACACATTAATTATCAATTGTATTTGAAATGTTAGTTTCCCAAATATTTAATATTTTTTTACTGTGGTAGAGAAATAGTTTTACGTACTGTTTATATTTATTGAATTATTTGTTTAAATTATACAAACTGTGAACCAGCACTTACTATAGGCTATAGGACATCCTATATTTTTGTACAAATGCATGTCATAATATCGTTTATTTTCAGAGTACAAAATTTACTAAATTTGGTTTCTCACAGAGGGTAAAAACTCAATAGGGGTAATGTTATATCAACTTTTGGCCCTAACTTGGCAAGGGTATATCACTTGAATCTTTGTATATTTGAAATATATTTGCGCACTACTGAAAAAGGTGGTTAAAAACTTTATATAGGTTATGTTTTATAAACTTCTTGCCCTACTTTGCCCACTTGGTTCTTTTTTAGTCTCTGTTGACCGTAATATATTTGAATTTCATTTGCACACTAAAATTACCTAGTTCTAAATTGCACACAGATAAAAATAATTACACTTTTTCGATATGTTTATCCTAAACATTGATTTTATTCATCACTAAAACATTTCCTGTCACTCAATCAGATCTGAACTTTCACCTTTTCATATCCAAGGTACCAACGATTTTTTTTGTGAAATTTTCATTTTAGTTCTCTACTGGTATGTTTTTGTATATAGAACATAACAGTGTGTGGTAGAAATTGCTAAACCCCGAAACGTGAGTCAAGTCAATTGCTGTCCTGACTCCCTAAGTCTATCTACCGGTTTAATAAGTACGAGTCATTTCATCTAGATGACTGAAATAATTTTGAGTATTTGAAAAATTGCTGCGTCTCCGACACTGTAACCAAAACTCTTGAACTTGGTATATAATTTATTTGCGTCTCTCGGAATACTCGCTTTATTTCGGTTTCTTCAATCCAGACTGGTGATGGATACTTTTGCATTAAACATAATTTTTCGAATGGGAAATTTGCGATATTTTTTTCACCGGGCAGTAAAAATCACCCACATTCTCATGTCATCCCCACTCCATGGCATATATAACATTTTTATGGAAATTTTGAATCTTTTTAAATCGATTTCCTTGTTTTGATGATTATGGTTGAATTTTTATTGTATTAAAGTGGTTTTAAAAGGTGTTTTATGTCAACTGTGCTAAATTTTAAAAATTTAGATTTTAGTTTTATATTTAAGACAAGATTTTTTATTCATGATTAGATTAATTAGATTTTTAAATCCTAGCATTCATGTAGGAGAGGTTTGAAAACATGAGTTGAAGTTATAATTAGTGCTTAATGAGTATAAAATTTGGTTACGATATTCAAATTATATTTGATTATGATGCGCAGATTGTATTTTTTGTATTGTTCTTTGATTTTATAATCGGAATTGTAAAAATGGAACTCTGTAATACCAATCAATGACTCAAAGAGATCTTTGGACAAATTTTGGAACATGCATTCGGGAACTTTTTTGTCCTATACTTTCTATCCACGCATTCTATATATCTCCTGGATTAAAATGATCCTCTTTTCGTGACAAGAGCTGTTTTCATGAAGCCGCTTTCCACAGTCTTGCTGCACTTCACAAAAAATGTTTTGGACTTTGTGTGTATAAATATAAGGCATGTCTCTCCATATAATGACCATGCTTGCAATCGATCTATACTCAGTTCTCTGCAGGGTACTCCTGAAGTATGCGCACCAAGATGTCGTATAACCTGAACCCTAACCTGAGTTAGGGTTGTGCGCGATCTTGGTGCGCATACTTCAGGAGGTCCCTCTGCAGTCTTGTCAAATAGAAAACTCATCACCGATATATTAATGTTGAACTTGCTTCCATAGATATCAGGGTGTCCTTACACTTGAAAATTTCGTTTTTGAGCGTGGGCGGGGATAGATCGAAGGCATGAATATCGATAGTCCAACCTTGGGTGCAAAATGTTTTGCCCGGGTGTCTAGTTTTAAATAAAATGAATGATTGCAGATAAATTTATTCTTAACTCGCTTCCATGGATCAGTTTCACCTACTATGTTGCACGTTGTCTCGTCTCAAATTCTTTGAAATTTTATATTTTTGCTTGAAAATTCACGCTTGTTTTTTCATATATTAGATGAAGTTTATATAATGAATAAATGATGACAAATAACAGCATTGTGATTAACTATAATTCATTCAGTGAGTATTAGGATAGGGTTTGTAATATTTCATATTCGGGGAAAGAAAAGACGATATGACAGGTGGGCCATACCGCAGGGTTATCATATTTTTGTGACCCCAAAGCGGGACGCCTCCAAAAGCTGTGGTTTTTCAACTTTAAATTTACCGATTTTACATTAAAGTTCATGCGCTGTCTGTCTAAATATCGGATATCCACCTTCAGTAATTGGTAATGTTCGTGTATTGGGCTGACTGGTTCAACGCCAAAGCGGGACTTTTGGCTGACCGGCCGGGACAAGACGTTGGAGAGTGGGACTGTCCCTCCTAAAACGGGACGTATGGTAAGCCTAGCCACACGACAGATTTGGTATGAGAATAACGAGCCCTGTAATGATAACAGGCCACGTTGGCTAAGTAAACCCGATATTGGAGTTTGAAGGGAATTATTAAAATGAGGTTCGTCCCCTAAGTTTTAGAGTCCGTATTTATGTTTGAAGATAAGCTGACAATTATTAATGGAGGTTATTGTGGAGTGCATGCACAAGACCCTACTGGCTAATACCATAATGGTAAGTAAAACGTTGGGGACAGTAATCTACGATAAAGTACCGAGCGACGAGTTCATGAATTGCCTCACATATAATTATCTCCTGCGGAGAGTAATCATTGGTAGTTGGTACAAAGTTCCAACTCCCTAATTTCGATAGTGCAATCTGCGGCCCAGCATATTATACGAGAAGCAACAAGGTGTTCATTGCAAGTATATTATTCATGAAGTGTAGCTTACGTAAATAGTGACCTTGAATGGAATTTTTCAACTTTAAACAAATCATTGGTAGCAATCAATCGATTTCTCGTTTGTGTTATCGAGGATCTGGAAAAAGAAAATATCAGGTCAGGTCACGCTCGCGACCGTTGTCCACTGGCTCTATTATAGTCACTTTGGTTGAAGCGAGCGATTGCTGGTTACAGCAGATCGTCTCGAGATATTTTATGTATTTTTTTCCTCAATTTATTTAAACTTAGTTCGTTTTTTTGTTTTTTATATTATAGTGTTAGACTTATTTATAGGTGCCGCTGCTCGATAACCAGTATTGGTTTCTCGCGTCTCCTTCACCCTGAAATATGGCCAATTTATAATTTAATTTATTGCAATTTGTATGTTTGTGCCTATTTTAAGTATGGTGAGAAATAAACTACTGATTACTGATTTCTGGGCGAGTGCCGCCGCGAGTTCATGTAAACTTGACAACGCGTTGCTTTTGAAACAACAAATCGCAAAGCTAGCAGAAATAAGGATTATCCAGTGAGGTAATACTTTCAACTCTCTATAATCCCATCAAGAGGTCCTCGCTGTCCGCTTACAAACAAGAATTTAACGTAACTGGCTAGGGCTAGGCGATGTGTCGCATCGTGCTAAGTGTCAGGAGTAAGCTCGCCGCTGTACCTTTGGTTACCCTACGTAGGTTCGAATCATACGCTGGGTTAATTAATTATGTGCGAGAGGATGGCTGGACTCCTCGTCGCCGTAGGGTGGTTCACCATGCAGCTTCCTCCGCCATCAAGTCCATACTTCTGAAAACAAATAACTGGCTAACTAATCCCATACCTGACATGGACTGGTAACCGGACGAGAGGCCGTCGTCCGCCATATGATTAAGCCGCCTAATCTTCTTTTCTCTTCCCCAGGATAAATATATATATATATGTAAATAAGTTCGGCAACCTACGGCCCGCACACCTAACAAGTATAAAAGTATACAAATTACTTGTTTAATGAGCCTATAATTTAATTATAATTAGATAAATAGCAACAAAACGCAGAAAATGTGATGCTAAGTGCAAAGGGTTCAATGGCGCCGAAAATATTGAAATGGTATTTTTTGAGATGCGATAAGGAAATAAATCTATATTCTATTCGAGAGATGTATGACTGATTAATATTTATTATAAGCAAATATTATTCGTCGGTTTTCAACTTTCTAAATATACGTGCGGCCTGCTAACGACTTGCAACCCTTAATATTGGCCCGCGAGCGACAAAAGGATCCCTATGTACAATTTCACTATCCAGCGATCCTGGCTCGCCTGCCAACACACAAATGAGAGCACAAGTTTTGTTCTAGTTAATATTATATTGAACGGAACAATCATGAAAACATTACAATGAGCATGCATTATTTTTTGATCAAACTTTTAGTACGATTATGATAACGAGTGATTATTTATAACATGCTTATGGTTGCAATCTAAGTAAATAACCCAAAGCCCTTGATGTACGTATAGATATCGTAAGAATATGAGCACAATTCGATTGAGCAAGGGTTAAAATTCACTATGGCTTCGAATGCCTGGAGTCAAACTTTTAGAGTATTGAAGATGCTACATTCCAAAGACAACTTGGAAATGGTAAAATTCTTAATCAACACAAAAAGTCAAACAATATCAAAATCAATAATAATAGAATTTGTAAGTGAATGTTCCCATCCCAATTGTGTGTAAATTTGAGCATTGCTGAGAATCAGAACAAATAAAAAAAAAATTGCACAATTTAATCAGGAACACGCAGATATACATAAGCAATATACAATATCACAGGGATCTTCGAAGTGGGAACAATTTTACAAGGAAAAGGCCATTTCTGAGCAATCTCTTGTTAACTAAAATCAACAGCTCTTATAAGATTTCTTTGGTTCTAATTACTAGTGAGTACATATTCAAATTTCATTATAATTCATGAAACTGTTTTTCCCGGAAAATAACGCCATTGAAATGACAACTTCCGAGAGCAATATTTTTTCGTTCCACCAAGAAAAAAAAAAGTTCTCACAAAAGCAGAATGATGCATGGCAATTGAAAGGTGGAACTCTAGTACATATTAGATCAGGAAAATATTCAGGATAGTATAATTTTCAACACAGATGTAAATACTGTTTATATATACTTTAATACCAATGTCAACAAAACAGAAACAGGCAAATTATATAAGGCATAACTACAATTACATCTTATTAGTTGCAAGAAAGGAACTGAATAGATACTTAAAATGGAATTATTTGAAAATTAGGAAAATATTTCAAATTCACTTCCCTCAAGGATTGAAAGAGCAGTCAATGTACATAACCGTTTATGAGAAAAAAAATTGAATGAAGAACAAAAATTCTACTAAATGATAGGTTTGAATAGGTATGGTCAAGTGCCAGGTTCCCTAAATGGCTTTCCCCAGTTGGGTGTACTAAAAAATGTTTTGGCAGCTATATATTCAGGTAATAATTAACACACTCTAAATTAAAAATAGCTCAAAAAGTCGTGAACACACAACAATATCACAGGCGATCAGTGTATGAAGTGAAGCATGGATGGCAACTTCAACCGAAATGTTGCCTCATGGATGAATATCTGAAGCTCATTCCTGTTAAAGAAACGTTATTTATAAAAGATAATCTAGTATTATTTTGTTTAAACTTTTCAGGAAAATTAGCACATGTCCAAAAACGGAGTTTAGTTGATAAATGATTACACAAAATTAATTTGAAAATATATTACAATAGGTAGTATATACTATTCTGAATGATTGAATTGGGAAATATTTATCAGCATTGCAGATTTCAAGGGACATAACAATGATTCTATATATCCTTGTATACAAATGATTAAGTATATTTTAAAAAGAGTATACCATCATACACACGCAAAAACAAATCACCGTATTTCTCCACATATAATACGCACATTCACAGTCAAATAAAGTCTTTAGAATAAGGGATGCGTGTTATACAAGGAGAAATACGGTACTCTCCAAAGCAAAAACACCACCACATAAATAGCTATTGTTCGAATTAAAGCAAAAATTATAATCCCGCTTGCTAGATCAGGATGTGCAATTTCACTACAAATTTATCACAACAATTACAACAGGAGTGTGCAACCTTTCATCTACGCACCTTTATTTAACATAGGCTTTCGAGCAGTTGCAGAGACTGCAGGCACAAAAATTTTGGTTATCGAACTCATGACATGAGTTTTTTTGCACTAGCTATTTGTTATCAGTTTGGACTCTGATATAGGCTTTGCAACGAAAGGTATTGGAATTACTACCAGATTAAACCGGCACTTAGGATAGGATAGGATTTAGGATAGGATTTACATATTTATCCCGGGGGAGAGGAAAGCCGATAAGACGGTTTGATCATAGATATGACACGTACCAGATTGAACCAAATTAAAAATTCGTTTTACGGGCCGCACACCATTCAAAATAGGACTTCTCCCAGGTCGCACAATTTTTGCTTGTGGGCCGGATTTGGCCCGCAAGCCGCAGGTTACACCCCCCTGAATTACACTACAAAGCTCAATTCAGCTTGCAGCAGCAGCTTTAATTACAAGAAAATAGCAGACAATAAGCAAAAGCAGATGTTTCTAATTAATTAAAATTTAAAATATCCACAAATTGTTGACAGGATTATTTATAATAAAGATTGCAATGCTGAGTAATTATGAAAAAAAATCACAGAATGTTCCCAATTATGCTAAATAATTATTATATTGAGTGAATTAATATAGAACACAGTTATCAAGATGGGTGAACATCAGTTCAACCAAATGTACAAAATAGTTATTGACTGAGTTAATATGGCTCAAAAAATACAATGAAACAATCAAAGAATACACTCAAATGAGTTATTATCGAGAACTCTATAATCAGCATCTTTAATTTTGGTAAATTTATTGCAGTAAGCTTAAGCATTTATGCTATTATGTCATGAGTGGATGCGGTTAATTATATTTGTCAAAATTAAAAATATTCGGAGATTGGAGTGTTTAGGCTAGAGAAACAACAATGAAACTACTTATTTGTATTCCCTCTTCAAGTTTTAAAACGAATCTGGTAATTTTGCCAATTTATGAAATCGAAATTTACAAAGTGATGAATAAACTGAATAGTTAGTTAATAGTCCAAAATTAAACAACAATTAAAACTCCCTTTAAGAAATACTGATATAATAGGCATGCTGCAGGATGGCTATACAATCAAACAATTATCAAGTAAAATTATTTACACAATTGAGATACATACAATTAATAATATACATAAGAAGACAAAATATTGTCTTATTTGTGAAGCAGATTTTCTCAAGAAAAAATACACAGAAAAAGATTTATGAAACCTCTGAATTCTATCTTAATGAAAACAGTCATGTAGTTCAAATGTATGAAAAATTATGGATTGAATCTACATTAAATATATTCGAATATTTTAACAGAGTCCTTGGAAATTGCCAGCATATTGCATCAATCTTCAAATATAACACACTTCAACTTGAGATATTTCAGACTTGAAAAAATCTGAAACCACCAATAAACTAAATATTTCTAATCTTTGTAAAACATGGCCTACTTTGATTTTAGGTTTTATAATGGAAATTATCAGTTTTAAAATGTCCTTTCCGGGCTTTTATCTCAACTTTCAAAAATTGTTGAGCATAAATTGGTATTACCGTAATTGATTGATAGGTCATGTAAGTAATTGATACCATCAATTTGTTTTCAAAACCTATATAAAACTTGCACTGGCCTTAGAATGGGAGGGGGATGCAAACAAACGTAAGAGAGTGTCGAAACATCCGTTTTGAACAAGAGCTAAAACCGTTAAGTGATATTGTTTGAGCTGATGGTATAAATAAGCTGATGGTAGTCAAATATGTTTACTATAAGACGATTGCAATATCGTAGAAAACCTTGAATAGTATTGGAGCTTCTGTGGAGGTATTGGTATCTCAGAATAAATACTGTCAATAATTATCAAAATAAATATGCAATGTTTTACAGGAAACCAGTGGGGTACCTGCAGTTTAATATCATCCTTATACAACTAATCATGTTTCATGGATGAACCAATGACTTATGATAACTTTGTCATGACACTGTGACATGATAGGTTTGTTTCAAATTTCCGAGCCCGAGTAATATTTTCTTTACTTATTTCAGATTACTGGTCTTATCATGGTTATAAATACTCCCCATTGCATTTCACTAAATTTTAGAAATTTAACATTGGGTTCCACTATTATATCCCGACATGCACATTGAATGAAAGCCTCAATAATTTGATGGAAATATAAGAACAAAATTATTGAATAAAGCAGAACTTTGAAAACTCAATGCTTTCTATATATTGTTTTTTTCCTCATTTTCATGCTTGATAATGGGGATAGATGCAGTTTGTTAACGCAAGCAAGCTCATTTATTTCTTTTCCCTGTTACTCACATATTCCTGCCCACTTAAATCTGTATACTCCTGAAGTCAGATAAGAGACTCAAACCACTATTTTAATTTAATGTGCTGATTTAGAATATTATATTTGATTGAAAAGTATGTTCACACACATAAAACTGTGCTAAAATATCAAGAACAAACAGCTTTCAGCTTCTCTCTGCTGGATCTTTGACTCAAACTGAACTACAACCTCAAGCAACAGCAATCATGATTCTTTTCTCCTTGACCTCCTGACAATGGAATGAATAATTATTTAAACACACTCACTGGACCAAAATTACATAAATGAGGGAACTCTGAGTTTCTTTTTCCACTGTTTCACTCAAATTTACAGACTCCGAATCTTTATCTCATTAATATATTTACGAATTTAGTGATAGGTGACAGCTTGGCTGCTATTATCGAATATATTTCACTTATTTTTGCAGCTCTGAATAAAAATACACTGGAATATTCCAAATTAATATTTGTGTCATTTACTATTCCGCAACTGATAAAATGAAAATTTGTTATGAATCATAATTCCGTAAGTATATTCAATAAATATTGTTTTTGTCCATAGATACATGAAGCAGGATTTATCAATTATTTGTTCATTTTAAACTCTGAGATTACAACTTAAGCGGATTCAGATGGCAAAACGAAATATAGTGTCTGGCATATCCCTGGGGAGTAGGAATGGTATGTAATGCACTTGACTCAACTCCTATTACAACACAAACTTTGATACTGATCTGGGAATATAATAGAGTCATTCGTACTTCTGCAGCACGGTTTAAAAAGCATTCTATTTAATTTTTTAAAGTGCAAAAATTATCTTTCAACTCAATATCCTGCTTGATTTTCATTACTTTTCTAATTCTACTTACTCTGTATTACCAAATATTGTAAAAATTTAACCGATATGCATTATAAAAACAAACTTGGGGTTGGAAGATGAAATGCTACTGCAATCAAATACGAAGAAACAGAGTACTAAAGCCTTGATATTTTTTTTAAAAAAACAACATTACTCAGGCCTACTGTTATATTGAAATTAAAATTAATTCAGAAAGTTACAACTGAGAATTTTGGAATATGGATAATCTAGGATTACAGTACAAAAATATTGATCCAAAATATTCTTTCTGATATTACACTAATAATAATAAAAAGTGTACAATAAAAAAGTATGTTTTATGATTTAATGTTGGCTTTTTAGGTAAAAGTTTTCTAGGGCATACATCTGAACTGTTTGACCTTAATATTGATCTGACCTTTACAGGAAATTACCAACAATGTTTTCCTGGTATTTGCAAACATGCCAAACTCGAGCATTGCCTAACGACTGCAGATCGTAATAAATGACAGAGTTCCCCTGAAATAGTATACCAGAAATGGTACCAAAACAATATACGGTATCGATAAATTCCCTTTGCAATTTGAAAAAATTTCAAGACTTTACAGACAACCTACAAATTAGCGTTTGCTTGCTCAAAGCCATGTACAAATTGATTCATGTAAACTTTTCAAGAGTATTTCCATGCCACCAATGGTAACAAATAAGGTTGATAATAATTCTTCATCATATTAAGCCAATTGCTGGGGTTGCTAGACCAGAGCCTAGTTTAGCTTGAGCATGTGAGATAGCAACAATTACAAAATATCACAGCAAAGAATTTGATTGATAATTTGACAGATTACTGGGAAGTGAGTCACAACATTTGAACAGCTGCAACCAACTAGAGCTTCTGATATGATGGATCATTTGCATATAATGTCAACATCTCAAAATGCATTGGTTTATATTGCACACAATGCAGTGAAATATATTGATCATAGCCTAGTCTACAAAATCAATATAATAATGAAACTTATTTGGTGAAGCCATTGTTTAAAAACGGATATAATTATCCTTTAGGGTTGAGAAACAGTTAGAGTGTACCAAATGAATGGATGCAACAGTATAAAATTCCTTATCTGTAATATAGATTTTCAAATCGCAATAAATCCAGAACTAGTGTGTATATTGATGCAAATACATGTCCATTTTTTCAATCAGTTCTAACTTAATTTTAACAGAATGTTTGCAGTTTGATATTACATTTTTTTCCACAGTTAATTGAATTTTTAATATATTCTTACCTTGCCATTTAGAACTATGCAATATTGTGAAATTTGGTATAAATAGTTGGTTGTAAAAACTAGCGACTATAAAAACTAATGGTAAAAAATGTCAAATGGGATACATTTCATCAGAAAAATGTTTAGATTTTTTCAATAAATCATGTTTTTCAATTATTATTGAGTTCAAATCAGTGGTGGGATTCAAATTTTTTGTTAGCCGGTTCCATCACAAAAGTCATATTTTTCAGTCGGTTCTGTTACAAAAAGTCATTGACAGTAACCAGTAATGCTAACCGGTTCGCTGGTCTCATAAAATCCTGTGAGACAGTTCCATAGACCCGGTGCGAACCGGCTGAATCCCACCACTGGTTCAAATATTGATGAAGAAGAATTAAAAAGAAGAGGGGGGAAGCCACGACTTGCTCCAGCATTTTTCTGGTTACAATAAAATTCAGAGGTTTCAAACACCGCAATTACAAAATTACACAAAGCAGTGCATAACTACCAAAGCGTTGAACTATTGCATGCACAAAAATTACACCCATTAGTGTTCTTTTTTACTCTTTTTACTAAAATGCAAACCGTGATGACTTTTCTTACTTTCTCTCTGAGGTGGTGTATCCTTCTTCCCTTTTTGAGCAGCGTTCCAGTCACGTCGCATTTTATCCAGAATAACTTTGGCATATTCTTCATTGTGGAAAGTGACAATTCTGTGAGGTGATTTTGACCCGAACAGTTTCTTCGTTTTTGCGCCGACTATCTTAATGCCTTCTTTTGCCATGTGCGGCTCTTCGACGATATCGGCGTAAAGAAAATGCCAAGCACTGTTCCATTGCCCAAATATTTCACCGCAATGAACTTCAATGATCGCCTTGTCAGTCAAAAGCAAGAACGATTTATTATCTTTATCCATAGAAGCGTGTTCAATGTATTTCGCACCTTCTGCGAATTTTCCTTTTTCAACATCTAGAAGAATTGCTTTCCCTTGTGCCTTCTTCAACTTATAAGGTTGCAATATACCTGTGTCTTCATTGATCCATCTCGCAGGTCGCATACGTTTGACATCCTCACTCATATCCGCTAGTTTTTGAATTCCTTCAAATGTATTACTTGCAAGATCGATAATCCCACTCGCAGGACGAGCTACAATTCCAACAAGACCTTTTCCCATTCCCTTGAAGAAACCGGCTGCCCCCTCCTTTTTAGCCCCTTCCATGGGTTTTGTAACAACCCCAGTAACACCGCCAACGAACCCCATCACAAATCCTTTACCACCACGAGCAAGACCTTCTTTCAAATCTGTCGGCTTGTTTTTCTGCATTTGTCGTTTCTTCTTGTACTCATCATCCATAGTAAGAGAGGCAACTCCTTTCCCAAGTGCGCCAGTGACTCTCGATACCGCACCTGCAGCCCCTCCGACAGTATGCCCCAAAAGGCTCATTGCCCCAAGAGCTAGACCCTCTGCAAACTCTCCTGGTCCTTGTATCATACCCTGGTACGGCTCATAAAATAGGTCAGTCACCCCTTCTGCAATTCCCATCACAAGACCATATGGATTTCCAATAACATCAAGACCAAATACAAGAACATATAATTGTTTAATAGCCTGTCCAGCATAATGCATTGTGATTGCGCTCTGGAATTGCACAGAATTGAAAAACTGATATTGCCGTTCAAAATATCCTAGTTTGAATACAACATCATCGATATCAGATACCGTCACCCCAACAGATTTAAGCACAACAGCAAGAGCGTTAAACGGTAGAACAACAACATTAGTTTGTTGGTCTCCTTCCCCACCAGATGTATTTTGCATTGAAAATGAAACATGTACTTTGATTGGTGATAGATGCAAAACATCATAAAAGGCAATTCCAGAATCATCAGCCATAACGTCTTCTGATTGGTCTTCAATTTTCTTTGCATTTGTGATGTCATAGTTGAAATATTTCAAATCTCTTTGCGGTGTTGACTTCACCTCGTCAGCACCAAAGACAGGTAATAATGCTGAGATAAATCCCATGTCCAATTTAACACTAAATTCCTGCACAAGAACTTTAAAATATTTGATGTGTGTAAAAGTTTGGTGTTCACTTGTTCGCTGCATCAAACTAACTTCAACAAACGGCTTTGGACTGCTATCAATGGCAATCGTTTTTGGGAGCGGAATTGGATTTAAAACGACGGGGAACACTGCTGCAGATAACTGGTTATCAACTTGAACTCGGTTGATTTTCGCATGAACCATTACTTGGTGGTCACTAACTGTATATTGAAGCCATATTCCAGGAGCGAAGAATCGTCTAAGTTCGGCTTTGTGCGGTTTCACAACTCTCATTTTTGACATGTCAAACTCATATTTATCATGCTCAACGATGTTTATAGTTTGATTTGTTTTTTGATAATTTTGTTCTAAAACTGTTCCATACTTCAATGGCAAAGCAGTCCAACGTTTTTTAGGCTTTTCCTCCCACACTATACCAGAGCTTGTGATTGCCATATACATGACTTCACGTTTTGCTTTTGTATCTGTGATAGAGCATGAAAGACCTTGTAGCGAAACATTTACTTCCATGTTCGCTTGCTCAGTGCCAAGACCTTGTTCAACAGCATCCGCACATTTTTTGTTCTCAGTAAAAAGCAGTACTCGTTGTAATCCATCAATAAATACAGCGTAGTATACGACTCTCTCTTTACCATCAATTTTAAATTTCATTTCTCCAGCAATCTCATGAACAACACCATGAGTAATTTCTTTACCACCTTCCTGTATCTTCCAAGTGATTTCACGTTTTGATGTCGGTTCTGGCCATAAGTAATGATCGACATTTCCAGATGTTAAAGCAGTTTTTGCGACGCCCTTTACTTGACTGTAACCTATGTTAAGATTGTTAGTGTCGTTTACAAGCAGCACAGCAGACGAACCAACATAGTAATTCTTAATTGTCACTGTCACAGAAGATTCTGTAACAGAAATATCAATAAAAAGTGGAATTTCTCCAACTTTAACCAAAACTCCACTGTCAAGTTTGGAATATCGAATTTTTGTAGAGACGCTTTCACTATTCCCTTTGAGTCTTAAGTGTATCTGGTCAGTTTTCGACTCTGGCCAAAAAAAGCATTTGCTTTGCGAATTTAGCACAACTGGAGTTCCTGTGTCATTCCCGACTTCAAAAATTTCCAAATTGTGTGAAGATTTATTCATAATTGTATAGTAACTGCTAAAAGTAACAATTTTCGTCAATCCAAAGCTTGTCAAAGTAATCTTTGTGCCAATTATATAGTTGAATGTTTTAGTTTTGCATGTGATGGTGCCGTTACTGCCAACAGCATCAATAGAAAAGCTGTCACTGAAATTGGAATTACAGACTCTGAGCTGGAGTTTATTCTTCTGCAAAAATGATTTTGACGTGAAAGAGAAGAGAATGAAATCCTGTTTTTCTTCTGGATGTTGGGATATGTTATCTTCGCCAGCTTTGTAATCTAGCGGAAAACCAGTCTCGTTAACCATCCAGTAGGGGGAGTAAAGAGTCATTTTCATATAACCATCTGTGTAGGTAACTTGTTTTCCAAGAACCATATAATTGCCTTGATCATCTTTAAAAGTCCAAACAGATAATTCAGGCAAATCTGGTTCCAATATCACCTCACCAGTCCAGGTTTTATCCAAATATTGAATTTTCACTTTAACCGTAGAATGCTTCAATTCTGCATTATAAACTTGATTTCCATGGCCCGCAGTAAGCGGTTTGAATTCTCCTGGTTTTTCATTAGCAAGCCGACTAGCAATGCAGTATTCAATATCGTAGGGTAAATAATTGCGAAACAAAGCAATCGGACGAACATGAATTTCATAACAAGTATCGTTTTCATGTTTTGAAGCGACTTGCTCGCTCACGACTTCTATGTTTAGATTAACCCCATTTCCATTTGGATACCCGGGTTCACACTTAATTACAGTCTCAAGAGAAAATTCATCCATGTTTGCCAACTTTTTCCAATCAATTTCAGCCTTTTTGACGCTGACACTTGAATGGTATGGTTGGATAAAAAGTTTCTCTCCTTCAGTGAATTTTGTAGGTAGCGGGAAGGTGTCTTCCGGTGCAATTTCACCTATGAGTTCGTCACTGGCATTTAGGATTTGTACAGGGATAGAAATGTGATTGTTTATTACAAGAGGAGATCGTAGAGTAACTGTACGTATTCCTCCATTACTTTCAACCAAGCAGACAACATTAACACTCTTTTGTTCATGTTTGAGTGTATGCATTTTTGTTCCGGTTTTGGAAATATCAAAAATGGCTGATTCGCCGCTTCCGGGTATAGCGATGCGAATTTCAGCCCCATCGCTTTCTCGCGATCTTTCTTGACTAGACAGCAACTCCCAGACTCCTAAATTATCATCTTCTTTGAAATCAACAGCCAGGAAACCCTTGTATTCGAGGGTATAGATATCGTTAGTTTTGTTAGATCCCCCTTGAGCTACAACTTTAAGATCCGAACCTAGACTAATATTCAAAGGTTGGTTTAACATGTTATGTATTTTTGCTTCGCCTGAAATATGATCTGCAATTCCATCCACTTCTTCCATCCCTTTTTTGTTCTTTTTCTTTTCGCTTTTGGTCATGGCAGCGTCACTGAAAGCTCTCGCGAGACTGTTAATTACTTTCAAAGCATCGTTAGTAATGGTTGTGTGCAATATTTTACCGGATGTAACAGACACTGACATAAGTGGTGGCAAATCTTCTTCAATTGAATTTGAAGTAACAGAATCTAATCTTCTATTTTCATCAGCTGCGTTTTGTTGAATGTTAGCCTCTACCATCCATAATTCATATTTAGAATCAAATCCTCCAGGATTCGACTCTACTGGTTCAACCAAAGGTTCCCACACAGATAACGATTCATTGAAATACACAACGCCAAGTGCAAGTTTAAAATTGCCTTCCATTTGACCTCCACTCCAATTTTTGACCTCTCCATTCACTTTCAGCTCTGTAATAAGCAGAGGTACCGTGTGTTGGCCTTGCCCACTTTCAAGTTGAATCATAATGTTCGGCACGGAGAGTTTCAACATCTCTGACATCTTTTTCTCTCCGGTTCCAACTTTGTCTAACATGGCAGATAATCGCTTAGTCTTCAGCTCATCTTCAGGACTTTCAATAAACCAAAAATGCATGTCAGCAATTTTCTTTGTATCCCAGATATCGATTTTCGCTTGTGTTGAAGCAACTCTGAGCGAAGTTTCAGATTTGCTTTCAGTCGATAAGACTGCAACTGCCTCGGCAATCGTAGTAATCACCATTGGAGTTGCCGTTATTTGAATCTTTGTTATGACAACGCTGAATTCCTGAACAGTGTCTGATATCAATGCATTTACGTTAATATCACACGGCGCAATTACTTTTTTATACTCATCTGTGATATTCTGTATAGCAGTAAACGGACAGCAAATAAGTTGTAAGCTAGAAACTGCACCTGACAGTTTCTGCTCTCTGCCGCTTTCACTTATGTCCACTTTTGCATCAAGACGCATGCTCAGTACAAGTGCTTGGCAGTTACTAGAAGTAATGTCAGTAACAAGTATAATATCTGGCTGGTAGAGTTTGAAAGCAATATGAATTGCCTTTGATTTTCCATCTGAAGTTTCAGGTTCATGTGGCCGTGGTACAACAGTTGTTGCCTCAGAAAGTAGAGACTCTTTGCTTTCAGCTTTCTTTATAGTTTCCTCAATGGCTACTTCAGTAACAGGCTGCTTAGATGCAGTATCTTTCGGCAAAGCATCAAGAAAGAAATTTGTAATTTTCAAAATAAATTCCAAGCATAAAATGATCTGTAAACTACCGATAGTAGCATCAATATTCATAGATCCATCAGCTTTCTGCACAAGATTAGCATGAACGACGTATTTATAAGTTTCGGGTGATTGTTGTCTGTTTAATTTCCGAGTTATATGTTTCGTGATGCCAGCTTGATGAGTGGAGCGCATATCTTCAAGAGTGATATCTCCCAAGCGTACATTAAGATCCATAGATTCGTCAGAGCCCATTCGTAAGTTCAAACCTAAAGTCGTAATGACAAATTCTGCCAGGGAGTGTTCCCTTTGTTGATCATTATACAGGTTTATTTTGATTTTCGGCAAGTCAAAGGCAAGGACAACTTTATCCCAAACTGCACCAGGTGAGATATCAACATCAGAGCGTTCTGCTATCATTCCTTTTTCACCCAGTGCGGCGGTTTCCTCGCTTTTTTCCACCGGAACAATGACATCATCGTCGATAATTTCTGCCGGTGGAGGCACATCAACCATTTCAGTCAAATTTTCATTCAATGTTCCCATAATGCCAATCATATCTGCAGCACTTATTTTTACATTAATATCCTGCATTGAACCAGTTAAAGAAATATCAGGGGCATCATGAAACCAAGAAGCCGCCAAATTTCTTTTCAGGTCTATAGAAGCAGATACAGGCTCTAAAATTTGGTATTCTGAGGTTACAGCCTTGACATCGTTCAATTGGCATAAAGCGACTTTTATGTCCGTGACCTCGACTTTCATATTCTCACACACTGCTGGAGTTTCACTTTCTTCCGATCCGATTATTGTAAAATAATTTGAAAGTTTGACGTTACCAAGATCAGCAGCGACAACTTCTAAAGATTTTGAATTTCTTGGTATGTGTATCTTCGGGACAGAAAGAACAACATCCAGTTTAATTCGAGGGTTGCGTTCAACAAGTTTCATCATACTTTTTGATGCAGCTTTTTGTGCCGCTTCTCCAGCTTCCATTGCAACTTCCTTGACATCTTGGAAATTTTCCGCAAATTTAATCATCGTATCGACAAATCGTTTGACAAACACAACTCTCAGTGAACCTAATTTGACTTTTACGCTTGTGTCTACTTTTTCCATATCAGAATAGCCATCGCCAGCAGTTGCATTATTATAATTCACAATGTCAGCATTAAAGACGTCTTCACCTTCCGCGCTGACAATATGGTGATAAAGTGATTCTTCTAACGGATCAATAACAAGAAGATTGTGAAGTTTTGCTTCTATGCATACTCGAGATGGCAAAAGCGAAACAGATGCTTCAATTCCTTCAATGGCAACGCTTGCGATTTGTCGTTTTTCATCTGATAAATTTATAGCAAAAGTTCTCAAATTTGCTTGCAATTTCATGTTGATTATCTCACTTTCTTTAACAACCTTTTTCTTTTTAGTTTTTTTCTTTTTTCTTTTCTTTTTAGTAGTTGGGGAACCATCTGAGCCGCTTGAACCACCCGTGCCAATCGCACCAAAATTTGTGGCAGATTCCATTGGCGTCACAAGCGTAACAGTAGACTTTGAGTCATCGGGAGTTACTATAGTTTCGGGAGCATCTGGTACTTCTTTGGGTGATGGGACAAGCTTCTCCGCAAATGCTTTTATTTCCAACAAAGCTTTAGAATTAGCGTTTATCTCCAGAACACTGAATTTAATATCCAATTTCTGTTCTGTGTTTTCATAAGTCGTAGCAAAGTCAGGAGCGATTCGTTTTGCAATCAAGATATTAACATCTAACAATTTTGAGTTGTGTTCCAATCCTGGTGTATTTAAAATATACATAGGGCTTCCATCTGGTAACCTCCCTTGCATGTATTCCATTCTTATGGACTCAAGATATGCATTTACTTTTGTATCCCACGTGCGCACTGTAGCGCTTGCACCAAAATTTGCAATCGCAAGTTGCAATATTTCCTTATCTCCTGATGGAGAATGTTGCAATATTCCAATTGATATTTTACTGATAATGAAAGATGCTTGTACATCAGTAAGCTGTTCTTTACTTTCCAGTGACATCTGTTTGGAAAGTCGCTTTTTCTTCATTTTTTCGGCTGTTACTTCATCAATATCACTGACGTCTGATTCCGCAGTGAAAAACTCCTCAGAAGATGTCACTGACGAGTTTAAAGATCTATTCGAGGAGTACTGCTCTCCAAAAACATTATCCATATTTTTCATGTCACTTTTCGACACTGAGTCTCCGAGCGCAAAATTATCGTACTCAACTAAAAATGCCTCAGCTTCAGGGCCAGGAGGAGGCAAAGGAATACTAGTTGCCAGATCCAGAACATTATGGAGCTTCACATCAGACATTTTCAAAGATAAAAGCGGCAATTCACCTTCTACTTTTAGCTTCGGCAAACTGGCGTCATTTTCCATCACACATTTCTGTAATAACAAGCTCACATTCAGAGGTTCCAGAATATGCAGAGGTGATTTTTCCAAAGTACGATTGAAACTCCAATTTTCGTCACGGCCTGCTAACAAGAGTTGTATCTTTTTAACCTCGATTAAAAACTTGTCATACGCAGCTGAGCGCATTTTTGTCAAGTCAGAATCGTCATTGAAGAAGGATGATTTCAAAGCTGGGGTTTGTCCTTCGTTGAGAGTCTTGAGTCCGATTTCACCCAAGTCCAACACAAGAACCTCACATCCGTCGACGTATCGTCCATTTTTCGGAACAACAACATACGATGACATGATATTTACGCTAATATCTGTGATTTTACGAGTAGCCATCGCATGTTTCAAGCCTGTGGCAGTTTGCTCGCGTAAATCTTCATAAGCTGCAAAGGCAGCAGCTCTAATTTGTTGCAGTTGCACATCTTCTGGTGGTTTGAAAAACTCGATCAAGTTATTTATAGTCGCGGCATCGTAAGTAATACACAACGGACGAGATTTAACATCAACGCGCTGGTCACATGATTCATCCAGAGGATTCGTTTCGAACTTGACAGCAAGAAGATTTAATTTATTTGCTGATAACGGAGCGTTTGCTTCCGACGTCAAATCAGAAGCAACGATATGGGGAACAAGACCATCTTGTTCTAATCCATCAACAGAAAAATCTTTCATTTCTACCTCTACTGATATAGCATCCATAGTTGGTCGCATTTTGAAAGTTGTTTTGATATCCTTCACTCCCAAACTAAGTAATGATGCACCAGATAAATTCTTGTAATCTTCCAGATGTACAGAAACCAAATTCAAGTCGACACCGACATTAATCTCAACATATTCTTTCGGGAATTTCTTCTCAATCGGGCCTTCACCTTCAGAGTAACCAATCGCCTCGTAAAACAATTGTTTTTCATTCCCATCCATGAGAGTATCTATGGTATTCCCCTCTTTCCCTTCTTTGTCCTTTTCCGGTTGTTTTTTCTTGCTGCCGCCAAACCATCCTCCAAACCAAGATGACTCCTCCTCTTTCTGGTGCCCACTCTTCTTGCTTTTAATTGCAACACCACTTTTTACCATTTCAACCTCTGCACTTTGTCGCGCTAGAGTGATATTGAAAACATCAAGCTCATTTTCCATTTTAACAAGACTATCAAGCAAATCTTTTTGTGGTTTTTTCTGTTTCAATTTCTCTTTATATAGCTTTTTATATGCTTTGACTTTTCTTTTATGCTCCTTGATATGATTCCATGAAAACATAGTCATTTTTCGTGTCACGCCTGCCTCAAGAACACTGTTATAAGCATATTTCCACCAAGCTTTTGCATTTCCTTTCACACTCACTCCTGGGTGATATTTCCTGAAAGGTGCATTGACGGACATTCGATCCATAGATTCCACAAGTTCCATTAAGCTTTGAAATTGAATATCAGATAAGTGCAGACCCAATTCTTGCAAAACAACAGAAAGTAAAATTTTTGGCATTGACAGATCATTTTCAGGATGTGGGTTTAGACGTAGTTTTGTTTCTAATGTCATAGGTTTGATAATATAAGTAAAATGTTTCGGCATGAACCCTTCAGCCGCAATTGTAGATTTAAATTCTGCTAACTGCTCCTCTCTATTTGCTTTTGAATACAGCAACTTAGGCTTCGAATTCCAGTAAACAGCGAGAGAATTGAGACTGACCATTTTAAAAATGATTTTGACACTTTCATCCAAAAGAGTAGGAACCCAATCTTCATTGGTAGTTTGCAATGCAAGACTATTCAAGGTCACACCAAGGGCAAAAGGTTGTCCGGGAATTGTTACATCATCCTCATAACGAACATGAATATTTTTCACTGAAACTTGGATATTTTTGATAACTTGCGTTGCTAATTTCTCGACAAAACCATCCTGTTTTGGTGCAGTATCTTTTTTTTCCAACTTTTTTGCTAATTGTTCTTCAATTTGTTTGAGTTGTTCTTGTTTTTCCTTTTCAGCTTTTTCGTTTTCCTTTTTATCATCGTACTGGATACTGTTATTTGGAACAGCGAGAATATACAAGCCATCCAGAGTAGCTTCAACTGCATCCTTATATAAATTTTTCCATGGAATTTTCAATGTTAATTTTCCGATAAACCCAGACTTTATTGTCACTGGGAGATCCAAGTCCTTGAGTGCATCCCCTTTGACGTGTAAATTCTCAAGTACGGCATCGCCACCCCAGATTCCAAGTTTAAGCTGAGAAGCATCAAGATTTTCAATGTACGCACTCAAATACTTATTCATCAAATCAACAACAAGAGACTCGAAAACCATCTTGCTGTTTTCTCCGAGCTCTTTTACAAGGAGAAATAACTTTTATGCTGATATTTATACCGAGTTTATGCTGATTCATCAAAATAATGTTTTTTTCCAGATTTACTCCATTATAAAGCTTCTCCACAAGATATCCGGTTTTTGATGTAATATAGCAATTAGTTCAGACTTACAATCAATCCGAAACTGAGTAATATGCTGACTATAATGGGATAGAAAACAAATAAAATTGTGCTATTTAATATGCATTCTATGTTTGAATATTACATTCTTTTTAATAGGCATTCCGTACATTTACGCTGAATAAGGTTCCCTGTACAGTAAGTGGTGACTCGTTAATTTCTACAATCTTTTAGGTTGAGCCTATCGAATTATAACATTGATACCAGTATAATGTAACTCATTGCAAATTGTATTTATATTTGGTACTCTCGTAGTATGTGTACCAGGTTAGGGTTAGGCCATAATTTTATTCAGACGGTCACTTTACACAACTTGATGTAAAGTAGGCAAACCAAATTAGTTACCTCCATATTGGTACACACACTTCTGGAGCGCCTTATATTTATATTTCTCATTTTCAAATTTTAAAATAAACCATCAATAATAATTTTATTCTACAGTTTGGCAGAGCTTTTTCAATCATTATGATTATACAAGTATAATAGGACAGGGGTTTTAAAATCCAGCTGCAAATTTGTGTTTCATATTAGTTCACAATCCACACTTATCATCTAAAAGAAATGTTTCAAAATATATTCTGCACTTCTAAACTTGTTTGCAAAATTTGGCGCAGCCTATTCAATTTTCCACAATTAAAGCCTATAACTAAAATGTGTCAAAATACAGTGCACATTGTACTTATATTTATAGTAGTTACCAACTTACCTAAGCAACTGATCCAAAATAATATATATAAGAATAAACAGATTCTCATTTGTATATTTAGCCGAAAACATCATCAATATAATATAACATGAGATACTCATGCGTGCACAGACAAGATTGTCATGTATTAAAATACACTGCTAGCATTCAGCCATTGCACCTCGACAATGTAATCAATCATACAGCTAGCGATAAAAATGACAGACGTTTCAACTCTTGCTTGGTTGCCAAAATATAAGTACAAAAGATTAATGCAATGCAAAAACGTGACATATATATCTTTATAAATAGTATAACTTTATATATAAAGTCTCTTACACGCGTTGCATATTCATTTCCTATATGTGACATTAGTCACATGTTCCATATAATTTGCGTTTACATTAATCAAACCATCACACGAATATGGTCCATGCAGCTGTGACATATTTGCAAGTTCATGCCAATGTCAGAGTTCACTACTTATCAATTTCAAATCCTACTTAATTCAAGGAGCAGTTGCTACAAGATTTTAAGGAGCTATGTTGCTATTGTTCCTGCTATGTTATGTTGGTCTTTATGTTGCATGATACTTTTCCTAACCTTATAATAAGATTTACAGAAAATTCAAGGTTAATACGATATATCACACATTCTTGTTTACCAAACCATGAAAATAACCACAGAAACATGTTTTATTCACCCATTAAAATTGTCCGAAAAATTCTGATTTCAATTTTATTAAAACCCAAATTGTTTCTAAACTCTACCATGTTTGTGCCGTAAACCCGATTTATAAATAAAAATTTTATGAACTGAATTTTGGCAACTATCAAGATTTGGCTGCAAAATACCTTACTGAAGCACATTCAAATCCTAGTGACCAATAATTAGCAGATAATCACACAACAGAACTAAACATGCAACCACAATAAATTTCTTTACATCAATATGTAAATTATGACTTCACTGTTTAATTTCAATATTAAACACAGACTTGCAATGAGCAAAACAGATTAAACTGCTTTGGAAAACACAACATCAATTTTACCAATTGTCTTAAACATGGTTATGGTTGCCCTGCAAAAATATTCAACAATCAGGCCGTTTATGTATACCATATACTGAACATTGCAAATGCCCTCGCTGATGGATGCAAAATTATTATAGGCCTATAAAATAAATCCCCAAATATAATAAATCTTCAATAAAATTGTCATAGTTTAAACTTTCGATCTTGGCCAGTTTTGCATAGCAATTTTACACAAAATATCAGATTTAATAAATCCCCTTAGTTATCAACTTCTTGCAATTCCCTTATTTAACATATACAATGTTTTCACTTTAAACTAGGCTCTGTGCAAGCTGTCATTGATATACAAAAAGAGGGATTAGTTTTTCAGTGGTTTCATTTTCTTGGTAAATTTTTAAGCCGTGACCCTTTTCCAGAATTTGTCGCGTCTCGCGCCCTACCTTAAAAATACTGTTATGTACCCTTAAAAATCGTCTACCCCCCCCCCCCCCTTGGCAGTTCTGGGACGTGCCACACCATTTGAGAACCACTGTCAGACTGTGCTGTATCGAACCACTGTGACTGTATACCGGTAATGTATAAAAACTATAAATAACTATATTTTAGCCTATCTGACTATAGAATCCACAAATTAGAAAAAGACAACTTCAAACACTGCAACACGTGATTAAATCTTGTGATTTTGTTTCACTGTCAGACTGTCAATCACGTAAGACCTTTTGAAACAGGTGCGGTTTATTGTTTCTAAAAACTGAATTATACAATAAACGCACCGTTGGCACATTCATAAGCTTGACCGTATTTCTGTATTCTGGTATTTATGTGCTTTATTATGCGTTAACTTACCTGGTAACAGGTTACTTTCCTGAATGATAATAATGTTGAAATTAATATTATACCTCATAGAATTAATTCAATAGCATATAATACAATGCATCCTCCTTTTCGCTTTGACTCATTTTTAATTCCCATAAGGTTGCAGGGCGTTTCCGGAGCGGCAAACAGCGAGCGAGCAAAAGTCAGAAGTTCCGGAGCACAGAATTTAGAGTTTATTTTGACCTCTGCTTTTGGTGCAGGGCTCTAGTAATACTTGTTTTTCATTGTTTCTGCCCAGATATTACTGTACAAGCGGAGTTTTTCGAATCTACAATTTTCAGATCGGCTTAATTGCGTTATTTTTTGGAGAACCACGCTTCTTGGGAGTAGTGGCTGAATAGAATTTGAAATCAAGAACATGCCGCTGAAATTTGATGTCAGCCATTTCGTTGGGCCGAAAGTGCAAGAACTTCAAACGCGGAATTTAAGATTGCAAGTAAGGCGACTACGAAAAACTTTTACCAATTCATATAATTGTGTGTTTACAGTATTATGTTTTAATTACCCTTTTTTCCAATATCTGAATATGCCTGAGATGTTTTGTTAAATATATATGTGTTGTTATTTATATATCAGATGTAAGCCTATCCATGTACAAATTGACCTTTTATTCTGTTCTACAAATTCCAGAATTTTGAGTTGATTTCTACTACTGTTGTGTTTCGGTATTCTAGCAGTCTGGTATTTCTAATTAGATATTTTTCCCATTGAATAGGAAATGCAAACAGGTCAAAGTTAGAATTTAGGACTTCAAATGACGGAATTTTTATTGTTTACGGTCAGGGTATACTCGTATTCTTGGGTTGGAGGCCCAATTTCATCTTTACATCTCTAACTACAACTCTTATTTATATAGGAAAAAGTTCGAGAACTTGAAACGAAAAATGCAATTTTGAATTTACGACTTGCGGAATGTCAGAACAATGTGCAACAATCCAGAGAGGATGTCATTCATTTCAAGTAAATGCTCCATGTTATAACAGGGATTTTAGAATTCCATTTTCAAATTTAATTCAAATCTGGATCATTATGTCTGTATGTTGATTTGACATGGGCAAACTACGCCCGTAGGCCAAATCCGGCATATTGGGTAATTAAATCTGGCCGGCCTGATGCTGCCACAACCAAACTAAAACCAAATTTTGATGTTTCAGGAAAAATTACTTGCGATTGAATTTAGTTTTGGCACAAGGCTTATTGTTTTGCACTTTTGTTTTTAACACCATAAATATTGTTCATAAAATGTAAATTAATGTCACACTTGGCCCGTAAGTAACATTAGTATATTACGGGTAAAATTTTTGCCTTTATTACAATTTTCTGATCTTGCACATTTTCACTAACTATGCACTCCTAGATTATAAAAATCTCGATTTCAGATTATATATTCCGATTTTGGGTTCAGTATAGTACCACATGTATTTCTAGTTGAGCTGGCTCAACGATATTTGCATATGTCAATCCTAACCCTCACCTGACTATGTCATCCAAAAATTATGTCACTACGACGTCACAATCACACAACAACTTGCTAACTCCTGCGATCATTTTCATATCGTTATCGTTGCGACGAGAAAACAAGAGAAATAGCTTGCTCGATTTTGGGTGATCGTCTGCGCGTTTTGGACGACCATCCGTACCCTTTGAAGGGCTTTTGTAGTGACGTAATTTTTTGGTGACGTAGTCAGGTGGGGGTTAGGATTGACATATGCAAATATTGTTGAGCCAGCCCATGTGGTACCAAACTATAACAGACCTCCGATTTTCTCATTATCTTCCGGTCAAACTGATTTTCATATTTTCTTGTGTATTTTTGTTGTTAGGTTGGAGACTGAAACTCATATTGACACAAGAAATAAAGTTCTTGCAACTGCAGATGAAACTCGAGAAATGGTGAAAGAAATCAAAAATGATCTCAAGACATTAGAAGAAGATGTTTCCTACATGTTTAATGACGTTCAACAAATATTTGAAGGTCATCTTGAAAATGTAATGAACCGTGTCGAGAAAGTAAAAATCAAAGATGGAAATATTACAGAACTGGATAAGAGAATTGAAGAACTGGAATCTGCATTAATAGAAGCAAACGATCGTCATATTCGGGAAAAGAAAAAGAGACGAAAACTACATAACGATTTGATCGAGCTACGGGGTAACATAAGAGTTCATTGCAGGTTACGTCCTTTGCTTGCTTTTGATAATGGTAACTTGTCTCCACTAGATGCATTGCATGGTAAAGGCGATATGAACGAGCTCTATGGGACAGAACTCGGAAAACCAGGTTCATCTTCAGAACAAGTTGTCCATGCCATTGACGATGAAAATATTTCCGTACTGTCTACGAAACCAGCAGCCATTCCTAAAGCTTTTGAATTTGAACATGTTTATTTTCCTGGCGATGCACAGGATTTAATATTTGAAGAAGTTCAGCCTCTCATAACATCTCTACTTGATGGCTATAATGTGTGTATCATGGCTTATGGTCAGACCGGAAGTGGAAAAACACATACAATGTTGGGCAATAAAACAGAGCCAGGCATAGTACCTAGAGCTGGTGAAGAGCTCTTCAAATTGATAGATGAGAAACCAGTGGGAAGTGTATCAGTACAGGTATCGGTGGTTGAAGTTTACAACAATGATATTTATGATTTATTGTCTGATAATCCAAAAGAAATGAAGCACGCTATTACAACCACGGAAGAAGGGAGCCTCGATATTGTATCAACCATTCAAATGCAGGTCCATAATTCTACAGATATTGAAAAATGGATGGAGCATGGACTTCGACATCGTGCTATGATGGCAACTAAAGTTCACGAGCACTCAAGTCGTTCACATCTGGTTGTGACTCTCACTGTCACAAACCACAAAACAGTGCTAGCTTCACCAAGAAAACCACAAGTTGGCGCTAATGAGCTGGATTCATTGACTTTGACTCCCCAGCGAGTTCGCAGACAGCTACCTCAACCTAACCTTCCTTACATTGGAGTTCAGAGCCCCAGAAAAGTTGCCGCTAATGATGAACCATCTTCCCCTGCAACTGTTGCCATGACAAGTGATAGCTTCAAAACCAAGCTGCAATTGGTCGATTTAGCAGGAAGTGAATGTGTTGGAATGTCAGGGGTTACAGGTCATGCTTTGAGAGAGACCTCTCATATTAACCGCTCACTATCAGCTTTGTCTGATGTCCTTGGTGCTTTGTCGGAAAAAAGATCTCATATTCCGTACCGTAATTCAAGACTAACGAGGTTACTTCAAGACTCCATCGGAGGCGATGCAAAACTTCTGCTCATGTTGTGCGTTTCCCCAGCTCAAAGATATCTCACAGAATCTTTACAATGTCTTAGTTTTGGTCAAAGGGCCAGACAGGTGCAACGAGGTCCACCGAAAAAGAGAGGGTACCAGTCTGTTGTTAACGAAGCTTCATTTAGACCTCAGTCACCAAAAGAAAAGCCATCAGCTGTTCGTAGAATGCAACTGTGAAAAATTGTTAGTATGAAGCAGTAAATTGAGTTTCTAGTAACTATTTATGTGTATGATTAGTTCCTTGGATTGAGTAGCTACCTCTCTGATTTTATACTAGATATGTGTATTTTCATTTCAAACTGTTGCATTATGCAGTAGCACTATCAATTTATAATCAATATTTTTTCAATGTGACAGGGTCATGTCATGTTCCCAGTATAATATTGTCATTTTATTCGGTACATGGTTTTGGGTTCAGAAAAAAATTTATACCTAGCTCCAAGCCATTTGTATAACAACTCAGACATCAGGATGAGGTAAATTCTGAATACAGCTCTATACAGAATAAAAAAAGTATGCTAGCCTGGACTCCAAAATCATGAATTTGTTTTAGCTGGTATTAGCTATTTTATGTGTTGTGGCCAGTTTCATAGGTTGATCACCTCACATAAGAATTGTGTTTATTAATTATGAACTGTTGCATTACGCAGCATTTTCATTTCGCAATACAGGTTTTTCCTTGTATAATATGGCATTTTGTTGAGCTTCTGATATTGGTATTTCCAATTATTCATACCACTCTTTGATTCTTTATTGATTTGCAGCGTCAAATGAAATCTTAGGCCCACAAAACCTTAACTAAAAATTTCAAGTATCATAAAAAACTAGCGTAATCATTATGTCTATTTGTCAGCTGCATCATTATTCATTACTCGTCCAGTTGATCCTCCAAACCATGGCTCATTTTCAGTCATACATTTTTCCTGGGGCCTTCTGTAGAAGCTCCAGGTCCATTTTGAAAATCTTAGCACCAAATTTTTTGGGTATTCAAATATTCAAGTCGATTTTTTCAGCAAACAGAGTTTTTTTCAGAGTATTTTAAATACAAATGAATTGTGAGCATTATTTGAGAATAGCACACTGAAAATTTTTCCTTATAAAATATTAGTATTGCTTGCTAGTGAATCAGCTGCTTTATTAGTATTTATTTATTTTTCTACACGTTTAATAATCGTTTGTGATTTTTAATATTCCTTTTTTTGTACTCTACCTACTTAGCCTTGTGTCTGTTTTGCTAGCTATTTTGTTTTTCAATTAGTATTTATATGCAAGAATTAGTAGTTTGGTTTTCAAAGAAACTTAGACATATGATATTTTAGTAATGTGATGTTCAAACTCATGCAGATATGAAACATATCACTATCCTAAAGCACAATGCAGCAGATGTGCGAGTGGTCAATTTTTCACACCTTTCCCAAGGTAACGGAAATCGACCATCTCCCGCTTAGTTACCGTAACCTACTCAGGATCAGGACCCACACACAGGTTTTCAGGATAGCGATTATCAATAAGTTTCCTTCTCTCAGCACTTTGTGCCAACGTCGGGTGAATAAAGGAACATTATGCTTGAATTGACGTCAAACGGAGCTTCGTCTCATCTATCACGTAGTCGATTTGATTTGAATTATGACTCGGCCATGCTTAAGCTGTACACATGGCAGTGTCGCGATTAAATTGACAATGTGAAATGGCATCTGTAGCCTGTAATTGGATCGACATAAGCTGATATTTTAATGTTGAATTGGTCCAATCCATTATATGAGAAATCACGCCCTCGCTCGCTAGATTCGAACACGCGCTGGATAAATACTAGATGCGACGGAAAAACAGTGCGCCAAGGAGTCGCATAGTCAGTTGTGCCTGTGGGATGTGAAATGGTTGTGGGTCTGATACAAGTTGCATGTAAACGCTACTGCTAAACGGTTGGCACATCGCGCAATCTCCATGAATACACTTGCAGGTTAGGAAGTTCGAATCCTACGGGCAAAATCGATTTGCGGGCGTCCGCCGAACTCCTTGCAGGGTAGTTCATGCGACCGCTGGTCTGTTACGACTTCTTCTAACAACATGTCAATGCATCTAAAACAACGAAAAAAACGGTTTGACCCTTCACACATGCACATAGATAGATAATCGCTTGAAAGGGCTTAGTTCGCCATATTATTAAGCCGTACTATTGACTTACGTGCCCTAGGAATAATTGCATATTAACTCCTTGTCCTAACTGTACAGAATAATTACACGGACAACAAAAACATTACGAAGCCACGGAAATCCGGCTGTGATGAATAGGTTGATTAAAACCCGAACGAGAGGCCGTTGTTCGCCATTTGATTGGGTCGTCATATCGGCTTTCCTCTCTCCCTAGATAAATCCTATTTGTGGCACTAACATATTTTATCGTTTAGCAAACTCAAATACACCAATACAAATTGTTTACCTACATCCCACCAAATTTTTTTTTTGTTATGTGTAGACTTCACTTAAATTCTAGCGGATTTACCCTGAATTATTGGACACGTAGTGGACATAACGATCGTTTCAATATTATGTTGTTGTTCTTGTTCTTTGACACGTTTTTAAAAAGTCGCTTTTCTCTTCGAATACTGGACCAATTGCTTTGAAATTTTCAGTGGTTAAAGATAAAAATTTTCTCCAGAAGGCTATTACTTTTTTTTCGCTATGACGTCATCAAAATTATGTGACTCTACGTGTCCATATATTTGAGCATAGCTCTCTTGTTTCAATTTTATATGTGTATGAGTGGAAAGAACCAGTGGCGTAGCATCCACCCCCGCGGTCGCGCCCCACAGCGAAAAGAGGCCCAAGCGGTTAGGATTTAGAAATTTAAGCCGCGAAACCAAAAGCTGCATTGCAAAACCAGTAAGGCACATCTTATAACGTTGATGTTAGTTCTGCTCAAATCGTTTTGTTACGTAACAATGCCAGGGAGTCGTAGATTTTCGGCGTCTTGTTTTGATGGCAGCGGCAAAATTACGAAGGCTGTCAGAATGATGTCGAAAGCAAAACCTCTCAGTGGCGCACAGAAACGCAGAAGAGGGAGCACGTATGAACAAAAATTAAAGTAACCAAGATGAACGGCAAATTTTAGGCTACCATTGCTTTTTAATAGCGACATGACATGTTATGGTTTTTGAAAAAAATAAAAAATAGCGTTGTTTTAGCTGATGTCCGAGAGTTTTTGGGGTCATTTCCACGAAATATTTTTGCGGGGGGGCCCACGAGAGTCTTCCTACGCCACTGGAAAGAACCCCAATATTCTTGTACTTAATTCAGTAATAGCCGAAAGCTCGTGTATTGGTGTTTTTCTCACATCGTGGTTGATGTTGTATTATTCGATTTTCGTCGACTGTACGCTTCTTCACTCAGTAATCATTCCCTCCTGTTAATTCCTATTTGAAACGAGATTTTGTCATCCTAGGTTGCTCTGTTTATGTTCCAATTTAGTTTCGTTTATATTGGGATGTTTACATGATTACAAAACCACTCACCACTGATTTCACTCGATTCGAATAATCACAAAGCGATAATTATTCAAAATATAACCTCTATATTGATTTACGCTGTCTAAAAATGACTGTCATGTGCGGAATGGGCACAGGATCGTTGACGTCTGTTCAACAACCCACACTTGAAAACAACCTTCTGACACATAACAGCGTTTCCATTTTCATTGCTATTGTCATTACAATCGTCATAATCTGAAAGCTATCTTCTTTATTACTGGACAAAGCAAACTTGAGCTCTCCGTGTCAGAGATCAAAACCGCTCGTCTTCATAGGAGAAAAGCAACTGTCTTTCTAATGAAAATTAGAATTCTATTCCGCAACTTTGACATGAATTTTTGGAGTGGCACTTATGATCTCAAAAAGCCAATGTAGGGCGGAAAACAATCGTGGTTGTTCACTTCATAGCTTCTGTACTCGAACCCACTACAATTACAAGCTGAACAATATTTTATTCTATGAAAAGCAAGGATGATTTTGATGAACACCGCATAAGAAGTTGTATATGTGGAAAAGATATTGCTATTCAGGGAAATAGATTAATAAGAGAAAACAGATGTGATTGAGACGTAGAAAAGAATTCCAATTAAGTGCAGTTTTCACCATAGTGGCAAATTTGATACTGGAGGGATGATACGCATGTTTCTGATGTCCATTACTTTCTTCATCGCCTCTGTAGATGCTTTGTATTTAGCCGGGCATTTGCACACGAAAAATGTAAGTTTATGCTAAGTAAAGGCCATTTATTACTTAACTCTACCGCTCAATTCTTTGAGCTCAATGAGCGGTGGGTTTTATCTATTTACCAGATGGGCATTGATAGGCAATATAAATCAAAATTCTTGCTTTGGTAATAGCGATCACGATAAGCTTTGTTGTGATTTTTAATTACTGAGTCCTATCGATGTAATTCTTTACGAATATTACTGCTGTAGCTAACAAAATTCTTGGTGTACGTCTCTAAGTAAGAAGACTGCCCTTCATTGTCGCCTTAAAGGTAGTTGATATGCGAATAAGCAGTAATTAGAAGCGGTGGGAAGGTCGTTCAGAAATTCGGAGAAAGAATAGAAAAGATATATTATGTTTATTCCCGGCATGAGGAAATTCGATATGACGGTGTAGACACCCCGTTATCTCTCTCCGGTTAATCTTACAAATCTGGTATAAAAATTGATACCGATAAACTGTAGTCGTTTGGCTAAAAGTCCATATATTGAACGACTATACAGGTATCGATACTTCCGTAGTATATGTACCAGGTTAGGGTTAGGCCATAATTTTATTCCGATTTTCCTTATTTCGATTATATTACGAGACTGTCGGGGACTGTCTGTGTTAGCCAAGTGAATATACCCCCATAGTAATCAGTCCCTTTATACAACTTGATGTAAAGTAGGCTAACAAAATTAATCATCCCATATTGGTACAAACTTTTCTGGAGCGTCCTTTTGTCCGGCGACGAATATCATTTTCGTACCGCAATATTAATTTAGTGTAATTATTTTTAATTGAAATTAGAGACTAAGTGAAATAGAAGAACAGCAGTTTAAGTCTGTTATTCATTTGCAACTTTGTTTAGGATTTTAAATTATAAACACGTAATATAAATATTATTTTTCAATGTTGTCTAGTGTTGTAAGTCATTTTTCACCTGTTTGGAGGTCTTTTATTCGACGAAACTAAGTTGAAGGACGGGTGTCCAAATATATCGCGTGCAGTTTTGAAACGAGTCTGTATTCAGTACTTGTTTAACATATAACTTAAACTATCGATTGGGTTTGTACAAGACAAACAACTTCTTCGTCTTCAATTCTTTTGCCCCGGCGGATCCATATGCATATAATGTAAGGATGCTGTAGCAAGAGTAAAGATAACTATCCTAAGTGATTCAATAGTCTTGCTGCACATCAACACAAGTATATTTCTGTAACGTCTAAGCAAGGGTATGTGTAGCAAGACTATTGAATCACTTAGGATATATAACATATATATGGACTTTTAGCGACATTTCGTCACGGTGATGACGGTGACCAGTTTTGGTTCCCCGCAGCTTCCCTTGCCCAGTAATTCAAATATCATTTTTTTCTTTATATTTTTGCATGTTTTTTACTGGTTGGAAAAAATAAACTTGACTTGATGCATTTGAAACTCATTCCGTGAATTTGAAATTACGAATGATTCTAAAATTCAATATTAACACATTTTATAACTATTATCTTCCAGAGCTGGGCGTTTCTTGGGAGATTCTGTTTTCTCTCTGATCTTGGTCGATTGCAGTTCAAGTTTATTTATCCATACGTAAGTATTACTGTTGAGTTAAGTTTGAGTGCGTATTCTTAATTAAAACCTGGCGAAGTTTAGCAAGTCTATATAATTTGCTACTATGGATAGGCTTAGTTGGATTGTCTTGATTAGTCTGTTTGTTTTATGCGTAAAATAAATCAAAAATAATCTATATGACGCACAATTTCAGTAACTTGCGAATTTGAGCAGATGTTTAGTCCGGCATCAAGCAACAAACTGTTAGTTGGCTTTCTATTTATCTAGCAATCTATTATTACAATGCTTACTTCAAGCGTATTCGATAGTTTTCTAGGTAATTTAATCAACGCACGAGCATGGTTTACCAATTTATTTTGGTCGCTCCTGATAAGGCTCATACAAACGGACAATATGTCAAGCTATTGAAATTTATTTTCGATTGAGCAATTTGGTGCTATCGCACACTCCGGGCAATAATATTCAACCTGACGATGCATTTTTCGTATTTAAATTAAGTCGGTTCTTTTCTCCTGTTTTTTAATATGGTAATAAACATCTGCAACGAATTTATGTTAAAGCTATATTCATATACCCCAGGACGAATGCTGTCACAACATTTTACTCTACTACGACGATGGAGGGCAATGGGCTTCTGTTTATAAGAATGATTCTAAGGTAATTCAGATTGCTTGTAGCGATTGGCGGGGAGGCGAACAATATGGCCGTGTACTGTGTTTCATTTGTTGCACTGTGCTTGCGATAAATAATCGCCCGTTCGATTCAGTTCATGCATAATCTTATAGTTTTGATTCCATTTTCGTGTCATTGAAAGAACAAACAAAAGTTTGATTTTAAGCACAGTACTAAACAGCTGCTCGCGTTGTATCACGCTTGTAACGCAAATTGTAAAATAACACACACAAAATGTAAACAACTAAACTCATCTTGTCGTGTAAGTGGGCATAATCAATTAGCATCGCACCACAGCAAGCGCAATTGAATACGTAAACAAAAACGCGTTTGTTGTTTACAAAACTAGTTCAACAATTCGGGCAAAAAAAAATGCCAACAGCTGCTAACATTGCGGCGCCATAAGATGCAACTTGATATAGGATTTGTATTCGCCAAGTGTGGAGTTCGTAATACAGCTCCCAAAACTGCGGCGCCTGCCATTCCTTTTATTAGGAATAAGTGAAATTTTGATTTGTCGATAATTATCGAGACTCATAAGGGCACAAAGCGAATTACTCGGACCAAAAACTATGAATATACGCTGGCAAAAAATGATCTTCGTAGCAAGTTTAATCATTCATGACTTTACTGACAAACCTAATAATGTATTTGATAATATTTAAATAATACACATATATTAATGTAGATTCTTGGGATTAAATCGAAACTTAGGGAACCCTTTGGCTTGTATCGGCCGAACTCTGAGATGCCATGAAACCGCGGTTAAAAACCAATGACCATGAGCCCTAACTGACCTACGGTGCGCGTTTTTCACACTCTTGAAAAATTTGTATCGTATTTTTATGAGTCTGACAAATAGTATTTTTGTTAAATTGGTAACGTAGTCAAATCAATACCCTCTCAGGTATAAAAAGATCCTACTCAACCACGATTTACTTTGTTAAGTGGATGTAATTCCATCGACACTTTTCGAATCTCTACACGTTTGGTCATTGTTATTGGATTTTTGTGTGAAGTGTCACTTTCCACTTCAATACAAGTGGTCACAAATCTTAATGATAATGTTACGCCATGATTTATCGAGGTTGCCCCATAGATGACGCTCAAATTATACAATTTTCCATGTATAATTCATACTTGGACAAGTTTAGTAAATTGTTTTTTATGATAAGTGGGCTTAACACTCGCGTTTCGTTGTCTAATAAGCTATGCTCGTTTTTGTGCAAAGATCTCAGCTGCTCTGAGTAAACATTCATTTCTCGTGACACGAGATCTACAAAATCGGGCGCTCCAGAAGTGTGTGTACCAATATGGAGGTAACTTATTTTGTTTGCCCACTTTACATCAAGTTGTGTAAAGGGACTGAAACCCATAGGCAGGGGGTAGGCTATATTCACTTGGCTAACACAGACAGTTCCCGAACTCGTAATAGAACTAAATCATGAAAATCGGAATAAAATTATGGCCTGACCCTAACGTGGTACGGGAGTACCCAAAATCGTAATGAAAGATTCTAATCTACATTAATGAAATTATAATTGATGTTTTATCGGATTCAGTGGAACTCAAAAACCATTTTTTGTTTTGATATTTCCTCTGGACAAGGCTGTGAAAAAGTAAACATTAAATCAATTAAAGCCTTTTTTGTGGGAACTGTTGTTACCTCAAAATTATTTCCATTCATCAATTGCTCGTTATTACTACTAATTTCGGTACTCCCGCAGTGTGCGTACCAGGTTAGGGTTGGGCCATAATTTACCCTCTGCCCACAGGTTTCAGTCCTTTTACACAATTTGATGTAATTTAGGCGAACAAAATTAGTTACCTCCATATTGGTACACATACTTCTGGAGCGCCACAATTTCCAATTTTAAAATCGTAACTATTTTGTGTCAGATACTTTTATACTAATTCATAGGCGCTCACTTTTATGCGAAAACATCATAACGTTTTTATTTATAAAAGTCCAATAACAAGCAAATTTTAGTCAAATTAACCTCAATGCTATAATATATGCTGAACACTACTTCTCAGCCTCCCATACTGAAATAGAAACTGAATCGACCGCCATTGGTTCCGCTGTTATATCTCTTGTATTTAGCTTAAATTCAGGGCGCTTCCGAAGTATGTGCACCAAGATGGCGAACAACCTGAACCCTAACTTGGTACAATTATGTTCAGGTTGTGCGCCATCTTGGTACACATACTTCTGGAGGTCCAATTTCAGCAGTGCATGGGAAGTCCGATTCATCGACTTACTTGGATTGGAATCGAGTAGTCATTTATCTAAATTAATTAACTCGAAATTAATCGAGTCATCTAAATAGAACGACTCCGACTCGTCATCAAAGCCATCCGTCATCCATTGATATTTAGCTCAGTGAGCGACTTGATTTAGGACTCGGATTAGATAAACCGTGATTCGACTTTATTCGCTACTCGGGGTTTAGGAATTTGTACCAAACACACATCTTCAGTTATTCTCAGTTGACTGACATCCCTTTTAACCGGGGTTCCGTGGCGCTCCATGGTTCCGCAAATACAGTCCAGGGGTTCCTTCCGCAAGTTTCTATTCAAATCCTATAGTCTATATTAATATATGTACAGGGTGTCCAAAAAATTTCGCCCAATTATAAAGTCTTTATTATCAAATGTTATTTTTTTTTTAATTCCCAAAAAGATTTATAATCAACCTGTTTCTAATTGGATGTTATAGATGTTGAATGCTGTAGTCCCCATTTATCATACAACAAAATTTATTCAAATTTGCAATTGGTAATGCTATGAAATTGGGCGGAACATTTTGGACACCCGTATATTGTTTAAATATAATCAAATACCCATCAAGTTTGCCACTATTATTAAACTTGCTACACTTTAAAGATCAATCAATTTTGCCAGTATTAGGTCTGCTCTTATATATCCACAGATAATCCGGACAAAAATCAATTAAACTATTACACAGGGTACCTCGAGTCTTTGTAATGCTTCACTTCATTGTGGTTCAGAAAAACTGTGCTATATTGTTTCAATTCGTTCAGAATAAAATTTGCATCATAGGGGGACTGATTGGCCTAATCTGCGAGTTTGCGATTAATCAGAAAAATAGATAAAATTACCTATTTCCATTGAATTTAACATACTATTAATATAAAGAAGTTAAATAACACTAAAATCCATAGTTATATTCGACATTCTCTACAGCGTAATTACTCTTTTGTCTCGTAGAATTGCTTTGAAAAAGAAGCGGTGATTCACCCGGAAGATCATCAGATAATAAACTTAACAACACGATCTGCTTGGAGTGGATGCAAGGTAAACAATAAATCTTGCTACTTCTAACTTAAATTTTTGATATATGAATACTCCCGTAGTATATGTACCAGGTTAGAGTTAGGCCATAACTATATTCCGATTTTCCTTAAGCTTTTCGGTTGAACTGATAATATTTTAGTCCTATTTCTAGTTCGGAGACTGGGTTATCCAAGTGAATCTGTCCATAGGTTTCATACCCTTTATACAACTTGATGTAAAATGGGCGAACAAAATTAGTTACCTCCGTATTGGTATACAGTTCTGGCGCGCCCTATTATGACTGCGGTTTTTATTGACATAACCAATCAGGAAATGATTTTCAAACATTTGAAAAAAACGATAAAATGGTTCCATCATTCCGGGAAACCTCGCCGCTTGTCGTGTTACCTGCTTGCGTCTGATATATACAGGGTGTCCATAAAGTCCCTTTAAAATTTCAATTTTAGGCGTTCCGGTATTATGTGCACCAAGATGGCGCACAACTAAAGTTAAAATTAACTTCTCCTTGGTTTTAACTTAAATAACTAAGCCACCCCAATCGAACAAAACAATTTCGTTCGGTTGAGGCTGATATCAAATTTAGGTTGTTAGTAGTGATCACAGTCAGGGCTTTATGAGCATTATCTTGCCCGCATCAGTGATGATCTAAAATTTATCATTCTCACTAATTATCCGGTAAATTCATTCCTTACAGACAAATAATAAAACCGGAAAGAAGATGCTTCAATGTACCGGAGGAAGGAGTTTTAGAACTTTACATGAACGATGGTGGTATATTGCCATCAGTAATTGCGAAGGTATTGGTTTTTACTGGTTTTACGTATTAGGATTTGTGCTTTAAACGATTGCACTTATTTATTTATGAAGCGTGTTATGAATGCGTTATAGCTACTCTGTCTAAAGCTGCTCAGTGTAGTTACAATTTATTTTTTTTATCATATAATGTAATTTTTTTACTTTTCTCTCATTAATTTGCTTTTGCAAGTTATCCCGCTCTAATTAAAAATTGAAATCACCTATGTATTTGTACTTGTAATATTTCTTAAAGTTTTGTAATGATACCTAACTATGAATGCTTGAGTGACTAGCTCTAACATCCATTTTAAACTTTTTTTTTTGGATATTATATATTACAAATATCCGCTTCAAGAATTTTCGAGACCAATAAGACCGAATATTCAGCCACGCATCCCTTGTCGTACCTCGTCCACAACGTTCAGTAATGGTTCCATTACATTTGAACCCACGTACATTTGAACCCATGACAATTGCACCTGTATGCTATTGCATCTATGGAATTTTTTTTGTTTCACGGATAGTTAAACCCATACTAACCCTAACCCATGGGTTTTAGCACCCGCATATAGATTGAACCCGTGGATATACGCATGGGTTCAAATGTACGTGGGTTCAAATGTACGGTCACCTTCAGTAATGTATATATATTGAGTTTCCGAAGTAATAAACCTTAAATTATTCTGTTTTTATAGCTGGTGCGAAAGGCAATGCCATTGACATTGAATATGAAATGAAGCTGACGAACGGATTCTCCTTCTGGACTGAACATTTTTCCGCAGATGAATTTGGTAACGTCAAATATTGCTTTGTTTGCTGTTCTTTAGCATGGCTCAGATAAAAGCACTGCACAAGTATCTAATTAGGCGTAAAAGTCTGGACAGAAGACGTTCTTTTGACATTTTCTACCCAATTATTATAGTCATAGTGAGCAGGCGGATACCTATTAAACAGGGACTGAACTTGAAACAGAAAAAGAACATGCGATAGGCGCCATGCATACCAGACGTTCGATGGTATGCGAAACAAATAATTTCAAGAAAATCTAGCTGCCATTGCGCGAAAAATTTTCAGAAGCCTTTAAGTCGTAACAGTTATAGGATGTTTTTTTCTTGCCACACAGTATTATTATAATAATTATCCAATAATTCGGATGATATATAATCTCCTTACAATTAAGGCATGTTGCATGTGATACACTTATATATATTTAAAAAAGTATGTATTTTTACTTTTGCCGTGACCGTAAACGCGTCGCTTTTATCGGCAATCTTCTTAAAATGTGTTTTTATGCTCGCAATATTATTGGCGAATATAAATTATAACTCTGGTTCCTTTTTTTTCAGGCATTCTGGAAACCAACATCGTATTCTTGATTATATATTCTCTGACATTTACTTACGCTGCCAGAGTTGCAGGTACTTACATTAGATATTTAATAATGTGCATGATGGAATTGGCATGACGGAGACCGGAACCTAGTATGTCTACCAGGCTAGGGTTAGGCCATAATTTCAGGTACAAATACTACGAAAGTCACATCGCTAGTCCCCAAACTCGTAAAGAAAAGAAAATAAGGAAAATTGGAATGAAATTATCCTTTATCCTTTGACGGATAGGAGTATTCTACTTGCTTTCAGCTGAGATATTGCGACTATCTTTGGAGCCTATTTACATTGTGTAACTATATCTTACATTGACTTTAATTTCAAATTGATTTCGTTTTTTTTTTCAGTTGAGCTGGCAAATCGTCAAATGCTTCATACAACGTACAAGATGTTCACATCATGTTTGGGAATCGAGTGTGAGTTCTCAGTTCACGTTTCTAAAATACTATACATACCATTCTAACCAGGTTTCAAGAAGTTTTGACCTTTTGATCCTTGATTCCTTTTGTATGTGGCAGCGATGCAATGGGACTGTCTTTCGTATATTGCATGTCTCTTTATTTGTTCTCGAATTATCTTAATGCTCCCTGAGAAAGGCTAGTTTAGAAAAATTACATGGCTACTAAAATTTGCCAAAGAGTACGCATATTTTTGGCTACTCCAGAAATATGTGTAGTTGTACCAATATGGAAGTAACTAATTTTTACGCCTACTTCACATCAAGTTGTGTAAAAGAACTGAAATATATAGGAAGGGGAAATATTCACTTGGCTAACACAGGCAGTCCTCGAACTCGTAATAGAACTGAAATAAGGAAAATCGGAATAAAATTATGGCCTAACCCTAACCGAGTCCACTCACGACAAGAGCATTCATGAGCATTCCTTTCTTGTTTCTTCAGTGTTCGGGCTACTATTATTATGCATTGCCATGGGAACGTTTGCTACGGACGGTGTCGGGAACGAAGGTTTGACAATAGCAGGTATTGGAATCACCTTAACTAGTGACACTTGCATGAGCTGGGGGGAGCTGACTCTGATGACCGTATGGTCGTATCGCCTCCCCCCAGTCTATTCCGAAAAGTTTTATTATTGTGTATATGTTTATTATTGTTATGATGCTCGTCTTTCTGGTTGACGAAATAATATCTCGCTTTCTCTCTCACGAAACTTTATAGAAAATAGGTATGCAATAAAACTAATTTTAAGTACTGAAATGAATTTCAATAATTGACGGTTCTTCCTTTGTACTTCCTTAAATAGTCATACAAGTCTCAAAATTTTTTTTTTTCCGTTCGCCAGTAAAATGCAACCTCAACTACTCGGTTTATGGACACGGCTTTTTATTATTTTGCTCCGTATGAGATGTAGTCACGTATCAATAGAGAGCTATTAGAATAGACGTTAGTGGTTCTAGGCATATCTTGCCAATAAAATTTAATCTTGGGTCAAACAGAGCTTTCGATCTGAAGCATAAACAATTCAGTGCTCTAGCTCGCCATCACAACCCAGGTAAAATTCATGTGCTATACAGGGTTGTCATAAAGCCCCTCTACAATTTCAATTTCTTATGAAGTCAGTTCTCAATATAAATTAACCAGGTTTGTTGCTTTTAATCAATAATTGTTTAGGCATTTTTACTTCATTTAATACTTCTGTGAGGTCCCAAACAAAATGTGGTATCGATAAATTCCCTTTGGAATTTTAAAAGGTTTTAATACTTCATGGACACCCTGTACCTAGGAATCACACCCAACATATGGTAGGATAATTTACAATGATCCCAACATACTTGCTTTCAGGTGAAATTCTTGGAGCAATTGCAGAACTTGGATTTCTGTTGATGTTACTTCTTCTTGGGAAAGGTTTCACTATCACAAGAGGACAACTCTCACATTCTGGCAGTATCAAACTTGCTGTATTTATAACTGTGTATGCTGTGATAAGCGTTGTGTTGTTTCTATATGAATATGTGGTAAGCTTTTTGTATCTAAGTTTGGTAAAAGATATCTACAACCCTCAACTAAAAGCCAAAATAGATCTAATAGGGGGATTCGCAATCAGGGACTGCGACGCACTCAGGGATATGCCGATACATTAGTTCCACGTGGATACCGACCAAAAATATATTAATAGAGCAGTTGCAAGCGGGTAATGACGCACTATGGCTATATAATTCTTAAGTATAAGTGAGTAAGTAGATAACGATTTATGCATCTCTTAAAGGCTGAAGCAATATATGACAAGACTTCCAGCGCATTAAAGTAATACATATATATGTTGAACTCGCGTGTATACATCTTTAGTTTACTAAATATTCAATTCCGGAAAAAGAGTATGCTATTGTGTTTCTTCCAGTTATATCCATGTATTATAATTCTAATTATCCTAAATTTGAATTAGAGGGTATCTAATTATGCTTTTCACCTATTTTATATATTGCAGCGAGAGACTATTTCTACGCAGTATTCATATATATATATATATTTATAGCTCAGCTTAAATCTTGATTGAAATTTTGTCAAGTTGATTGCGTTTTTATCGTTTGTTTTATCATGTTTGTACCATGACGGTGTCTAAAATAAATTTGGTTATACTTAGTCTGAAAATAACAAAAGCTCATCATATTTTCAGTTCTCTGATCCCGGACTAGTCCTTTACGTCTACGAATCAGCAGCAGGCTATGGGCTGATAGGCTTGAGGCTTACTGCGTGGTTTTGGTTTACGTATGGAATCTTATTCACGGTCAAGCATTATCCTGAAAAGAGTGGCTTTTACTATTCTTTGTATATTTTCTACAGCATATGGTGAGATTTTTTTTGTTTGCTTTTACGTTCAAGTACTTTAATTAATTCTTTCTGCTTTTATTATATCCCTGTGGCGTGTGTGCATGTTTCTTCCCTGTGTGCTTCGTTTACTCTTTTTAATGTTAAAGTAGTATTTATCAAATTTACTTTATCGCCTGTCGGGTCACAGCACAGGTCGGCAACCTTTAGCGTTGAAAGTGCCATTTGGCAACATTTCCGTCAAACTCAAAGCTACTGGGTGACGCAATATCTACTCTAATGTCAATAGCTAATAAAATTCCCGAAAACCACCGATGAAGCAATGTTCTAGTTCTTACTACAAATTTTGTATATAATTTTTATTAATCCAATGCTTGTATTCTGGTTGACGAAATAAATATCTCTCTCTTACAACAAAGAAGTCAAAAAATTTACGAATGATGCAATAATTTAGTTTACGACGAAATGAAAACAGCTGGGAAAATGAAAAGAAAAATCTCGTTTTGACAAACTCAAATCATCGTAATGCGAACTACTTTTGTCGGTCTCAACTTGTACCTGCTGCGATGTGTAATTAGCGATTAAAACCTACTTTGAGCCCCTGAATTTTTTTTAATTCTCAGTGCTTCTAACAGATAATTGGTGTAGTCACTTTGATTCACGGGAGCCATGGCTCCGAAAATAAAGAGCCGCATGCGTCCCCGGAGCCGCAGGTTGTCGATCGCTGGAGCTGAATTCTCAGGAGGCATTTGGTTGTTTTTCTGGTATCCGTCATAAATCAAAAACAGGTTTTAGTACAGAGTTTTTGAAAAATCTTCAGCTGTTAAAAGGATGCTACACATAAAAAATCAATTCGAATTTTCATTGAGCACTTTTCCAACATATTTACTTCCAGCCGATACCTTCCACATGACTGATTTGCGAACACAACATTTTTATTTCTGGTCACCCCCTTTCATAATTGCCGCCTCTTATTAATCGAATATTAGGAACAATTAAAAATATCACTTTTTCATGTTTCAGGTTTTTTGCAGTTCCAATCATGGTTCTTGTTTCCACATTTGCAATTCCAAAATACATGAGGTCAAAGGTCGTCTCAATTCTCGAACTTTGCATCGATTTTCTTGCTTACTTTATATTTCTGGTGAGTCTTTTGTAATATCGTTTTAGGATTTAACATTACTGCTGGATTAGTCATATGTATCGTTTCCCAGCCAGTAGGTAGGACGCAAAGTGTCTACCAGTGGATCCATAGCTTGCCAATGTTTGATAAAAGGGGTGTCCATAAAGTCCCTTTACAATTTCAATTTTGTTATGAAGTCAGTTCTCAATATATCTTTACCAGGTTTGTTGTATTTTAATCAGTAATTGTTTAGGTATTTTTGTTTTATTTAATACATCCGTGAGGGCCTAAACAATATATGGTATCGATAAATTCTCTTTGGAATTTTAAAATTTTTTGAGACTTTGTGGACATTTTATAGCGGCCCGAAAAGCGTTTGTAATTACAGTTTTGTCGTTCTTATGAGATGTCACATACAGACAATTTTTTTTCAATACCACAAAACAAAAATGCTTCGTTTCTTCATTAATCTGTCCTCCAATACCTCCAATACCTACAAGCTTAATTGCACGTTGACATATTGACAGAATTAGATTTTATAATCCCACACGGACATATCATTTTATTTTCGTGTGGGAATTCAACCTATAATTCCGTATTTCAGGTTCTTACCAGGCCAAGTGCTGCAAATCGCAACTTTCCATATCACGTTAGAACCTCACAAATAGGAATTGTCAAACCAGACGGTAAAATTGAATCAATAGTGAACTTTCCTCATTCTGTTTACGGAGATCCGACAGATTTGAACGGAAATGGTAACGGTCACAGGTGAGCTTTTATTTTTTCAAAAAGGTTTTCCACGGGGGGGGAGTTTTTCCGGGGCAAATACGGATAAGGGTTAGGCCATAATTTCGTTCCGCTTTACCTCTTTTTAGTTCTATTACGAGTTCGGAAACTCTTTGTGTTAGCCAAGAGAATATAACCCTGCCCATAGGTTTCAGTCCCTTTTATATAAACTCGATGTAAAGTAGGCGAACGAAATTAGTCATCTTCATATTGGTAAACATACTTCCAGGGCGCCCTTTTCCAGCTGCCGATTCTTGAGCCCAAGCTACAGAAACAAAAACGACACCGGATTCAATTAACTACCAAAAACTCACAAAAATTTCGTCCCTGTCTCGGGCTTAAAGAAACTCGATTCCTATTCTGGTCCGAAATAACTAGGTTATGACGGCGAAAACAGGAAACTATGATTACATAGCCTAACGGTTTTTTTTTGTTCAAAACGTTATAAATGTTATATATATTGCATTACACTAAATTTTGTCACAAACTAGGCAACGATGGTACCACAATCTCTAATCAATGTTCTATTAGGCGAGAGTCTCGCGACCTTGTTTAAACAAATATAATATTTTTTTCATCACAGAGCTCCAAACTTTGCAGAGTTGTTTGTTGTTCAGCCTTCAGGTTCGTTACAGAATGGATCCCGATCTCTCGGCCCTGAAGTAAGACTGAGCGAACGACGCACAACTTCTACTCATCATGGACGTTATGGCGAGAATCTCGATAAATCTGGCGGAGGTACATCATTACAAACTGTAAGTGCTATTTATATATCTCATGTGGCATGGCTATGTGCGAGAGGATTGTCGGACTCCTCGCCGCCATAAGGTGGTTCACGACCACGTAACCGCTAGTCGGCTTCATCCACCATCAAATCCATGCCTACGAAAACAAAAACATATAACTGGCTAACTAATTCTATACCCGACATGGGCTTGTAACCGGACGATAGTCCCTGGTTCGCCATATGATTAAGTCGTTTTATCGGCTTTCCTCTTCTCTGGAATAAATATGTAAATCTTATCCTATATGTGCATAAATGTACTTGGAGCACACTCCGATTGGGGCACTATTTAAAAAATTTAGAATACCCTAGCGATATCGCACCGCTGTGTGTGATTCCACGTTTCACTGCCGCAATTGATTGTAATGTGAAAGATTGCTGAACTTCTCAACGCTGGGGGTCGGTGTGTATCTTTGTGAACTCTTGTAGCCAATTCTGATGTCTCCGTCAGCAAAATCATGCGTATGGAATACTTTTCTAGATATTTCCATAACCCCAGCTTGAACCAACCGACATCAGTTGATAGGCTGTATTACGACATATAATAAGGCTGTCTTACCGGCTTCCCTCTAAGTCAGGGGTTGTCAACCTTTTGTTGCTCGCGGGCCAAAATTAGGGGTTGCAAGTCATTGGCGGGCCGCACATATTTTTGGAAACTCAAAAACCGAACGGATGGCCGATAAATCATATCATTTTCAGAGCAGCGCGCGAGGACTGCGCCAACTCGTGAACTCAAATTGGTCGATTTATTCAAAGTACTTTTTTTACAAATGACATTAAATATGACACTTTTTGTTGTATCACGCTTTTCTAAATTGGACACTGGATGAAGCCAAGATTAAAACATTTCATAAATAAGAATCACTAATCCGAGTTTTCAGCTTGTTCTTTCTAATGTTCATTTTCGAAAATATTTGTTCGCATGCATGGTTTGTCAAAGTTGGATAGAGTTTTCTATTGAGAAGATACTCTTTATGATAAAAACCAATCAGTGATACATCTCTCAATGTGCATCTCAAAAAATACCATTTGAATACTTTCTGCGCCATTGAACCCTCGGCACTTAGCATCAACTTTTCTGTGTTTTGTTGCCATTTGTCTAATTATAATTAATTTAAACACGTAATAAACTTGTTGAGGGACATTTAATTTGTAATTGAAACTAGTGCAAACGTACCGTATGTATATGTGGAGGTACAAAGATTGAATAACCGAACATAGCGGTACACGTCGTTAGCTTGTGCAATTTTAATGACGCATTACAATTACCGGATACGCAAGAATGAACATACAAGAATAGTTGAAATGAACGTAATGTATGATAGTTTGATTTACGAACAAAACCAAAAACCATTTGGAAAAAATTTATACGTAATGTTGGATTTATAGATTTTTTATGTACCACTGCCATTATTGAAATTTATTCGAGACCCACTAGAAAATGCTCGGCTGCCCACGATTGGGCCGCGGCCCCCAGTTTGCCAGGATAAAACATAAATTATTTTTCTCAATCAAATTTCAGCATCAGGGAACAAGCCTGACTCAAGCACCCCCATCTTACACCCAAGTTACCTCACAACAATTCAATCTGACCTTGCCTTCAACAACGAGGATTGGAACAAACATGGCGTCAGTAAGCCAAGAAGGACAAAAAATGGCGTCGGAGAGTCATGGTGAACAAAAAAAGGTGGAACAATCGGGACTTTACGCAGCATCGCCTTCTACCTCCGGACTATTTTCAATTGACAAGACTGTTAACACTTGATGGATAGCACCCTCCGTTGACGAAGCAATGATTACTTTGTTATTTGAAAAAAATTGTAAAAACAAAATACATTGAACCAGCAGCAGAATAAATACATGTTTTGAAAATCGATCCTTATTGTTTTTTTTTAATATCATTATTTTATAAATACATCTTCTCTTTATACTTCTGACGAAATTGAATCAAATATCCGTAGTTCTACAATCTACATGGTTCAGTTTTTCGGTTGTGCTATTTCAGCATTCAGATTTTGTGAATTTCAATTTTCGTTCAAATAATTGGTTTCTGATTGTTCGAACACTCTTTGTCATCATTATTTGAGAATTATATTTCGCAAGATAAGGTTCTCAGGGCCCCCTTTCCCGGCAAAGCTGTGTCATGTGTGTTCATTACTTATCGATCTCGATAAATATGTTGATAGGTAGTTGTATGTCTGTTTGTTTGTCTGTTAGATGCACGCGATATCTCACGAAAGCGAGGTCGAATCTGCTCCAAATTTTGCATGTGCATTCATCATATCCCGGACCAGAAGTCTATCGATTTTGGATAAATTATGTCGTATAATTAGCGAGTTATTAATTAATTAGTGATGGGATCGATAAGTCTTCGGTCTCTGACCGATATTCTCGTTATCCAGTTGCGATTTTGTTACTGGCTACGACAAATAAACTTTTAGTTTTAGGAAAGTTTTAAGGCTTGACATTCTACAAATAAAACATATTTGACCATACAAAATTATCACGACAAGGTTAAAGATACCATACCGATATTTTTGTCACTGGTACATAAAAGGCTGTTGCCAATCTGCTCCGGGATAGCCATAGCCAGATTACCGTTCCAGACGCATGAATATAGATTTTGGTGCTCCCGAAGTATGTGCACCAAGATGGCGCACAACCTGAACATAGTATGTGTACCAGGTTAGGGTTCCGCTTGTGCGCCATCTTGGTGCACATACTTTGGAAGCGCCGATTTTTGAGCAATAGAGAAAGGTTGCCAGAATCATCCAGCATCGTTAAGAAATTTAGGATAGAATTATTTTCATTTAGCCATGAACACAAAAAAGTTTCCGTTTTTTCTAAGAATGATAGCGCTTCACATATTGTTGGATATAAGCAGTGGTGGGATTCAAATTTTTTGTTCCTTCACAAAAGTCATATTTTTCATTCGGTTCTGTTACAGACAGAACATTGACAGTAACCAGTAATGCTTACCGGTTCGCTGATCTCATAAAATTTCGTGAGACGGTTCTATAGAACCGGTGCGAACCGGCTGAATCCCACCACTGTGAGTGAGTAGTTTTTCGCACACTAACTTATTCGTAGCAAACGGTGTATGTACACGAAGTGGACCTATTGATCTTTTCCAAACTTTCAGTTTTCAGTCTTGCTTGGGCGACTGGGATTGTTGTGAATAAATCGCATTTCACCGGATCTGATGATCATCCAATTTTAAGCAGTAAAAACTGAAAAAATTTAATCAAATTTTGCTTTTTTTATTATTATTGACAGACGCAACTTCGTGTGAGATTTAGCTAGAATTTTATATTGCATTTATACTGTATTAGTAATTTCCACTCTAATCATCATAACTCGCTTATTCAACGTTTAAACCCAATTATATGAGCAGCCAGAAATGAGTCATCGTCCACTGCATCGCACAATAGTTGCCAAAGTAAAAAGCCTAGCGAACAACAGGAAGCCGAAACCTAATTAGTTTGTCTTACACGTTGTTGTAAGCAAGTGAGGTGTCATATCGCTAAGCAAGATAACAAGCGAATATAGTTGAGAATAGGTCGTGTGTATCCCGTTACTGCTGTGTAGTATTTGACTCTTAGTTTCTTATACAGGGTGATCCCAAAAAAACAGGGGCCTTAAATTACTCCATTACTTGTACTAAATGAAGTAACTTGATTTGACATGCGAACTTATATGTTCGTTTATGATTGTACCCAATATTATCAGTAATCTAAGACGATTTTCATAAAAGATATATTCTCTCTAACATGTTTTGAACTATGAATTTGGCACACTCTCGATATTTCCTCGCCACTAATAATCTCATCTGGTTTTTTTAATTTGATTCTGCTCATCTTAGGTCCGGCTTGCATAAGTTAAGGGTGGGCGTTTACTAAATAATTTTGATAAAGCTGTTTCTACCTACACTTCAAAAATATAATAAATCCTATAGCTATGGGAATGTTTTTATATTCGACGATTTACGTATTCATCTGGTTTCAAATTGCTTCTGCTCAAGGTAAGTTAAAACTCTATTTGGAAATATTTTTCCTGCAAGATTATTGTGAAATTTGCTGAATGCTAATACTGAATTGCGAGTAAATTGTACATGATAACTGAAAACAAATATCGAAAATACCGAGTGAATCCTTACTCAGTAAACAGGTGCACGTTTTGAGTTTTAATATATTATTGTTATGTAAGAACAGTTATACTTGGAAATGTCAAGAACATGATTTTATCGGAGATGGGAAAATCTAGTTATCAAGCGAGGGGGTATACAGTAGTATCCTAACAGTATGAGTATGTATGTGTTAGAAGGCATTTGACATTATACTTTGTTTTCATTTCATTGCAGTTCTGGATACCGTGGATCCAGTTAAATGCTATTCTCCTATGTATTGTTTGAACAGCGACGGAAGAAATCAGCCATCTTGGAGACAAACTTTTCCCCAGGTTGGTTTATTGAGTTATGGCCGGGGTTTGCAACCACTTTTCAGCGAGATCCAATTTTTTTTTCTAATTTCTCGCGACCTAAGCATTTGGTAAGCATGTAATTAGTTATCAATTTTAAGACTATTACTGACACTAGTATTTTTATTTCACAAAATATATGAAACTTGGCACATAAAACACGTGAATAATAGCGTTTAATACAACTAATGCGAATTATAAGCTTCGTGTTTTGAACACAACATTTCAATTCAAGGTTTTATTTGGGAGAGGGCAACTTTAAGATCTTCTTCTACTTCTATCCTTGATCTGTATTCGTGTTTTATGTATGAAAAAGCTAATCGTCGGTTAGGGTTCAGGTTATGCGACATCTTGGTGCGCATACTTCAGGAGTACCCAAATAACAATGCGAACAACTGCATAACAAATGTTTCCCCGACTTTCGATCCCGGCAAAATTCTTTCCTTTTGCACTCTACCATTGCAAAATTATTGATATTTATTTCAAGAATGGTTTTGCTAGTTGGCGTCTATAAACCGGTTTATATGTTTCAAACCATCATTTTAATTCAATACATCCGACAACGTTTCGTTTAAATGCGCCGGAAGAGAAGTTTTGCCTAGTTTACTGCATTACTGTATTTGAAAAGAAACTCCTACAGAGCAAAATGTTTATTGAGTTAATTGATTAGGACTTATATTTACCGAAGCACAACTAAACACTAACAAATAACACGCGAAAATCGCCATAACGAGGTAACACTCACAAGTCACAGCCATCACAATCTGTCTGAATGACCAAAGTATCTGAGCGCTTCTAAAACGTTCATTGTTACGTCAAATTTTGCACTCATGCTGAATGGCCATTGTTACGGCAGTAAATAAGGAAGTCTATACTCGGAGAAAAATTATAATTAGAGGTTTATAAAGTTGTTTTATCTAAATGCGGTACACGGACGCAATGCACATATTTATGGTAAATTTAAATTGTTTTGCGACCCAGACTGGACCCCTGGGTTATGGGACCTCCAGTAGTATGTGCAGCAAGATGGCACACAACCTGAACATAGTACGTAAAGTTGTGTACCAGGTTAAGGTTGAGGTGGTGCGCTATCCTGATGCACATACTTCGGAAGCGCCGCCGATTCTAAAAGAAAAGAAAGCGATACTCAAAAAACTAAGGCCATCGAACCCAACTAGTCAAGCCTCACCTTTCAAAATTTTTTGAAGTGAGTTTGGGACCACAGAAGCGTCTCCCATGTCCCCATTCGTTCTATAAACAAGAGATCAAATATATGGGCACGATGTATGTATGTAATCTGGTAAAGCCGTCTACCGGTATTATACCACAGCTGATCACAAAATCTAACTTGCAATTTTATGTCGACAAGCAGGTCAAATATCTTGTGTTCAAATCTCAAGCCTGCTTTTTTACTCAAGGTATTGGGTATACAATACGGCATGGAAAAATGAATAATATTTTTATATATTAGTGAGGGCATGTACTTGGCCGAATTTTGTGCAGTTAGGTCCGTTATCTTGTGAACTAAAGTTTTCGTGCACGAGAATATATGGTAAATATCAAAACATCGAAGTCCGCGAGTTACATTACCCATATTTCACTGCAAAAAGTCTTGCTAATATTTATGTATTTGATAATATTGCATGTTCTCTGTTTTCAGCCTCACTGCTCAAATTCAAGCCAAGTTAGAAAAGGACTTAAGGGTGAACTTGGCACTAAAGGAGATAAAGGAGACACTGGCATCCAAGGAGTCGAAGGACCTCCGGGCCCAGTTGGCTTTCCAGGTGCCAAAGGAATTCACGGCCCTAAAGGAGAACTCGGTCCTCCAGGACCTATTGGAATGAAAGGATCAAACGGGATTCCAGGCGCCAAAGGTGAAATAGGAGCACCCGGAGTACCTGGGCCGAAAGGGGACATGGGAGACGCTTCTGTGATTCCAAATTCACTTAAAGAAGTTCTGAAAGGTGAGGCTTGACTAGTTGGTTCAATGGCCAATTTTTTCAGTTGCCATTAGGGCACTCCCGTACTATATGTACCAGGTTAGGGCATAATTTTATTACGATTTTCCTTATTTTAGTTCCATTACGAATTTGGGGACTGTCTGTGTTAACCAAGTGAATATCCCCCTGCCCATAGATTTCAGTCTCTTTATACAACTTGATGTGAAGTAGGCGAACAAAGTTAGTTACCCCATATTGGTACATTTACCTCTGGAGCGCCGCTAGTTGTTCAAAAATTAAAATCAGTTTTCTATGCGATAAGACTCTGTCATTAAGTATTTTGTTTTCCTAATCAATATTATAATTAATCGTGTAAATTCAATACTCATCCGTTTTCTCAGATATGCTGGCCGTCACTGCCGATATGAACCAGCGTTATTATGGCAAGATATTCATTCCTTTAACTTCGGAAACAGGAGGGCATGATTATGCGTCTAAGAAATGTCGGGAAATCGGTGGTAAATTGGCCGATATACAAGATAATACGCATATGGACCAAATAATGACGTACGTAAGGAACCACAAAATGGGAAACGAGGACCGAAAAACGTTTCATCTTGGAATGCAATACAAGGTACGCTTGTGATAACCCTTTTTGGACACGAAATATACCTAGGGGCGTTTTGTTTTTATGTTGTTGCTGGTGTTGTTAGAATTCATTCTCTTTTTCTTTTTGTGTAAAATGATTTTGCCTTTTAACTACAGAACCAATCGCCTAGACATTTTCAGTGCTTAAAAATTGTTGTTGTCGCTATAAGAATATTACTTTTATTTATTTCAAAAAATTCTGTGCGCTAAATGTCAGCTCTGGGATTCTGCCTAAAGCTGATTGAAAGAGGAAGACTAGTTACACTTCATCATAAATATATTTATTTATATAAAAATGTGAGAAAAAAGAAATATTTCACTACGTGTCGGGTTCGTATCTGTAACTGCGTACGAATAATGCATAACTGCTAGTTTTATCTTTGATAAAACGTTTTTGTTTCGACTTGCTATACTTCTTCATTTTTTCAGTCTCAACAGCTGTATTTCAGCAACGCAACCGCAGTACCGGAGGGAAACTTCAAATGGTGGTCAGCGTATCCGTTTAAGGGTGACATTCCCTACAAAAACATGTATTTGACGGTTAACCGTGAACCATCAAGGGGTTTTCAATATCTCTCCAATCAGAATGTCGCCAGTGAGAATTTTTACGCGTTGTGTGAGATTTGAACTACTGTTCCACTTGGTACTTACGTTTTATTTGGTAAAAAGGAATACAGGAACGATAATAAACAAATAAATAAGAACTTGTGTGAAGGATTGTGTAAATTATTTTCTTCCAATTTAGAGCGTGTAGGGATGATGGGCGATAAACTGCTCATAGCGACACCTAGTGCCAAGTCGTTTAGCTTGGTGATTTGTCTCGCTGTCACGCTGATCACTTTTGGTTTTTGGGAATTTGGTTGGAACTCTACTTTCAGCTGCAGCGAGACGTACATCTTAGACGCAAGATTGCGTCCATTCCTGAAACTTTATTCTAATCGAAACCAAGTTAATTTACTGTTCTAATTCAATCCGTATAGTTTATGTTATAGTTGCCACGCGATTTTTTTTACCTGTGTATAATAGAGTATAGATATATTAGAGGATTACTCGTTACTCGTTTTTAATCAGAGACTAACTTTGTCCTAAAGTTGTGCCCGTCCTCCAGGTCTTCTGTATTTTGTTTATCCGTTTGTTGTTTTTTTGTTCTATGTCACATTGATCGAATAAACTGATTGATTGAATGCACAGCTGACTTTTGCAGAAGCTCAGTTTCGAAACACATGGCTTTGACTAACTTTGTCCTTGAGTTATGCCCGTCATCCAGGCCCTCTGAATTTTATTTGTCCGTTTGTTATTGTTTTGTTCATTGTCAGAGTAACCAAAATAAAATTGATTGATTGAATAAACAGCAGACTTTTGTAAAAGCTCAATTTCGGCACGCACGGAGTCTCGCAGCCTATACGTTTATTGCAAAACTATCAAATTCACCAACATAAGGGAAGATGTCCCACAAGGCCAATTAGTTTATTTCCAAAATCAGTGGGTCAGTATACAATAAAAGGTAAAAGTCCCTAGACAAGCACTATCATATACCGGTAATCTACAACGCCTAGAAGTCAGAGTAATGGGAGACCTAGTGTTTTAAATTGTTACAAAAACACCTAGGTTTATGGATTCCAAAATGAAAGTACTTTGACGTCACTTCATGATTATGTAATACTATTATATTGTGCCAAGTTGGATGGCACCAAGACCACAGAGATACCTGTGATGATAAATAGGTGTACGCCTATGCCTGGCAACCGGTTGCAAAGTACACCCCAAGGTGTGCTAAAAACTTCAAAGATTGTACCACATTGATAAGGGTGTGCTGGGGTGTATCGAATGTTATGGGATACTCAATAATACAGGTTACTTTTAAATAGATTAATAGAAAAAATTGTTAACTTGTTAAAAAATACGGCACAAATATTTGTGTTTAATTTATGAACAATATACGTGTCGCGTTGCCCAAAATTATCACGTCGCGTCATAACACTTTTTGTAGCACACCAATTAGTTCTTGAATTATACTCACGAGTAAATTGGAAATGATTTCAAAAGAGAAGAATTATACTCACGTCTTGGATTTTGCTGACATAACATTCTTAGGAAGGTAAAAATTCACACAATACAATTTGGGAGTTGGGATAGAATAGAATGTCAATACATTCCCACCCAAGCGTCTCCGGGCGTTTTCTGTTATGACAGTGAGACGCGATGGCGTACCGAGAGCATATTCAATAGTATATATTGAATATCAGTGGCTGCCTGTATATGGGGTCTTATTCAGAACAGAATGCGCGAATAAGCGCAGTGTCAGAAACGACAGGCCTGTTCAGATCAGAAAACATTGCAAAACATTGCATTGCAGTACGTGGCGCAAAGTGTTGTGTATGAGAGATACCATATAACAGGTTCAATCCACATGTAAAATTTTACGGGTTGTTTTTACATTCGCTTCAAACGAGGCTATGAAAATAAGTAACTCACATATTCATGAGCGTGTATGTTTCTTAAAAGTAAAGGCATCTTTTCTTCCCGTCATGACATATATAATTTAATACAGTCTGGTTGGGATTGGAGCTCATAACCTCGAATTCATAACTATACGAATATACTCACTCTGGGTGTTACTGCGGCGGTTGACAGAAGTGTTTAAAGCTGACTAATTTGAATGTAACACGGCAGGACACGTGACACAGGCATGTCGTTCGTTTAATTTAGATCGGAAGACATTGCAAATAGCGTCTGGAGCAAAGTGGTTTGTGTATGGGAAATACTGCTCGCCAAGTTTGCAGTAGTCTAACGCCGAACCTGATGCACTATTTGCAAGTGCACTTCGTGTAACATAAGCCAATGCCTTTCCGTAGGAAAATAAAAAAGCGATGACAGTAGGTTCAGGTTTTACAACCTGTTGAATCAATCTATTTTATATGGAGGTGAATCAGAGAGCATAAACTATGGACGTGTGACGCATTAGAAATTTATTAGCGGGAATTTGTAGAATGAGAAAAAGGTATGAATGTTACACGATTAATATGAGTGAGACGGCATATGCTCGCTTATATGTGACAAGAAATGTTTGGGCTTTGAAATGTAATATTTGGCGCTCCCGTAGTATCAAGATGGCGGACACCGGAACATAGAATGTGTACCAAGGTAGGGAGGGATAGGACATAATTTTATTTCAATTTTCCTTATTTTAGTTCTATTACGAATTCGGTGACTAGCCAAGTGACTTCCGTAGTATTTGTAGCTGAAATTATGGTCTAACCCTAACCTGCTTCACATACTACATGAGTACCTAATAATTTAAATACGCTCGCAGAAAAACAATATTTTTCGCGGACTGACAAAAAAGCGGTTGTTAACTACTGTTATAAACAAATTTAACTGTATGAAAGCGGGAGAGCGACTTGTGCATGATACTAGCTGAGGATCTATTAAAGATTGAATGGATAAAATAGTGAGGGGGGAATAAAGAGCTTCAAACTAAATGTAAAAACACGAATAGTTACGAAGTAGTATACGCACCGCGTTTATGCAGCTGAAGCAAGTCTAATACGAAGTAACTAATTTTGATCGCCTGCTTTTGATCAAGTTGTGTAAAGGGACTGAAACCTATGAGCAGGGAGTAAATTCACTTGGCTAACACAGACAGCCCCGAACTTGTAATGAAACTAAAATAAGGAAAATAGGAATAAAATTATGACCTAACCCCAACCTGTACCGAAAAAGGCCTTTCAAACTAATCTATTGTAGTAAAATTGCACATACTAAATCACGTTATTTTACCAATTTGTTACAATGTAGATAAATCAGTGAAACCTTAAGAGCTATTAGTAGAAGTACTTTTAAGTTTGTTCTGAAACATCGACAACGATGTTGAAACTTCAGATGATTATCGTATTGGTTTGCTTTTCATCAGTTTTCACGAAAGAAAACGATGGTAAGTCGAAAAAGGTTTATTTTAATAACCTATATACTATATACCGGATATAAATTCGAAGGAATGGATAAATTGGAATTGAATTTTGATTTCTAAGTTTAGATGTTGACTGGTTTGTCTATTGAGTTATCCGTGTTAGTATTTCAATATCAAAATTGACATAAATGAAAATAAATTTCTTGAAAAGGTTGGACATTTGATATAAACTGATCTAATTTTGTTTTGCAATTCACTGAAACCTACCACTACTTAATAATAATGAATAATAATTGTGGAGTTTTAGTAGGTGTTACGTCATAATATAGGGTGTCCAAAAAAATTTTAAATTTTTATAATTGCAAAGTAAATTTAATAACGATTGTTTTGGCCCTCACGGATGCAGTAAATGAAGTGAAAATATTAAACAATTTCTGATTAAAAAACAACAAACTTTGTTAAGATATATTAAGAACTGACTTCATATGAAATTGAAATTGTAAAGGAACTCTATGGACACCTTGTATATTAGTGTGTTTCTGTGTGGTTTTTATTTTTATTTTACGAAATTTACGAAAAGAATTTTCATCAAGATGAAGAGTCAAGATTTTGTTCTCTTTTTTTCGCAATATATAAGTGGGTGGTTTAATCCAAGTGCTGATTCGAGAATTATCAAAATTTTGTAAATTCACAAATAAGATTTTCATATTGCTTCACAAAAATTTTTCTATCCCCCTTTGACATCTCTCTATCTCTTGAGTCATAGTTTAAACTCACTGAAGGAAATTACCGTTATTTCATTCTGTTGTTGGATTCGAGATGGAATTCAGTTCTATGAACTTCAACCCCAAGTTTGCGGAAGTCGATAATGGTAACAAAAGTAATTCAGCTATCACAAATTTTGTTCTATTTTCTATTTGACATCTCTCAATCTCCTGAGTCATAGTTTGCACTCACTGAAGGAAATTACCGTTATTTCATTCTGTTATTTGAAGTGGGACGATATTCACTTCTATGAACCTTATTATAGCCAAATTTCAGCATTTCAAGTCGATAAAGATAACAAAAGTGATTCAAATTTCAGCCGTCACAGAAAAAACAAATAATATCCCACTTTGACATCTTTTATTCTCTTGAGTCACAGTCTGAACTCTCTGAGGAAAATACCATTATTTTCATCTATTGTTTGAAGTTGGATGAGATTCTGTGAACTTTAAACCCGAGTTTACGGAAGTCGATAATGGTAACAAAAGTGATTCTGCCATCACAATAAATTTTCCCTCATCCTTTTGACATTTTTCAATCCCCTGTGTCATAGTTTGGACTCAGATATGAAAATACCGATATTTCAACCTGTTGATAAAAGCGGAATAAATTTAGTTATTCAGGCCAATTATAGTGAAGTATTTAAAAAGACTCTTATGTCAAACTGTGTGAGACCGCACCACAAATAAGATTTTTATATCGATTCACAGAAAATTTTTCTATCCTCTCTTTGACATCTTCTAATCTCTTGAGTCATAGTTTGAACTCACTAATGAAAATACCGTCTGTTGTTTAAAGTGGGATGTGATTAACTTCTGAACTTAGACCCCGAGTTCACGGAAGTCGAAAATGGCAACAAAAGTGATTCAGCGATCACAAAAATTTTCCCATCTTCTGTTTGTCATTTTTCAATCTCTTGAGTATAGTTCGAACTCACATATGGAAATACCGTTATTGCATTTTGTGCATAGATACAGGATGGGATTCACTTCTAGGAACTTTAACCCCGCGTTCACGGAAGTCGATAATGGTAACAAAAGTGATACATACTTTAGCCATCACAAAAATTTCTATCCTACCCTTGACATCTTTCAATCTCTTGAGTCATAATTTGAACTCACATGTCAAATTGTGTGAGACAGCTTCACAAATACTATTTTTATATTGCTTCACAAAAAATGTTCAGTCCTCCCTTTGACATCTTTAGTACCCTGTGTCATAGTTTGTACTCACTGATAAAATTACCGGCATTTCAATCTGTTGTTGGACGAGGGATGAGATTCACTTCTATAAACTTTGAACTCAATTTCCATAATTTACGGAAGTCGATAATGGTAAGAAAAATTGATTCAAACTTCAGTCATCACAAAAAATTTTCTACCCTCCCTTTGACATCTTTCAATCTTTTGAGTCATAGTTTGTACTCACTGATAAAAATACCGTTATTTCAATCTGTTACGGGATAACATTTTTGGTATTCCCGAAGGTGTACCAGGTTAGGGTTAGGCCATAGTTTCATTTCTATTTTCCGTATTTTAGTTCTATTACGAGTTCGGGGACTGTCTGTGTTAGTCAAGTGAATATACCCCATGATCATAGGTTTCAGTCCCTTCACATAACTTGATGTAACGTAGGCGAGCAAAATCAGTTACTTCCATATTGAGACACATACTTCTGGAGCGCCAATATTTTAATGCTCTTAAATCATAGAAAAGCGAACAAACTACCTCACTCTTATGTCAATAAGTGTGAGGCCGATTTATAACAATTTTTCGTTTCGAAGGTAGTTCTCATCTGGTTTCAGTGTCGTCATCTAGTATAATGTCGCGCAGCCTGAATCGCTTCAAAAGTTTATTGGACACGTTAGTGGACATAACGATCGTTTCGCATTTTATGCTGGTACTCTTCTTCTTGTTGTTGTTCTTTGTCACAGAAAAAAAATCGATTTTCTCTTTGATTACTGTACCAATCGCTTTAAAATTCCCAGTGCTCAAAGATTAAATTTTTCGCTAGATGGCTATTATTTTTATTTATTCCAAATATTCCGGTGAGCTGTATAGGATTTGTTTGTTTGTGTGCCATGACGTCATAGTGTCCATATATTTGAGCATAGCTCTTTTTTTTAATATAACGACTATTACATCAGGTCTTTGGAAATATAAGGTAATGCTGATTTGATGATTCAAAGCCTCAAATAGTTTTTCATGGTGATGCCACTCTATCACCAAAATATAAGAACAAAGAAAAAAAAATCGACAGCTTCTGAATGCAATTGCAATAGCTGGTATCGCTAATACAATGCTTGTTATATTGATATATTTCTAAATAATTCTGCGTCATTGTATTTTTCAGTTCCAAAAGTGGAAAAATGCTTGTCGCCTGCTGTATGTGTGGGCAGCAATGGCAACGCTAAACCGTCTTGGCAGCAAAGTTATATTCCTGACAGTGATGACAAGGTAATTTGTATATATTGTCTCAATCAACTACTAATATATAATCTATTATTACAATGCTTACTTCAAGCGTATTCGATAGTTTTCTAGGTAATTTAATCAACGCACGAGCATGGTTTACCAATTTATTTTGGTCGCTCCTGATAAGGCTCATACAAACGGACAATATGTCAAGCTATTGAAATTTATTTTCGATTGAGCAATTTGGTGCTATCGCACACTCCGGGCAATAATATTCAACCTGGCGATGCATTTTTCGTATTTAAATTAAGTCGGTTCTTTTCTCCTGTTTTTTGATATGGTAATAACATCTGCAACGAATTTATGTTAAAGCTATATTTATATACCCCAGGACGAATGCTGTCACAACATTTTACTCTACTACGACGATGGAGGGCAATGGGCTTCTGTTTATAAGAATGATTCTAAGGTAATACAGATTGCTTGTAGCGATTGGCGGCGAGGCGAACAATATGGCCGTGTACTGTGTTTCATTTGTTGCACTGTGCTTGCAATAAATAATCGCCCGTTCGATTCAGCATAATCTTATAGTCTTGATTCCATTTTCGTGTCATTGGAAAAACAAACAAAAGTTTGATTTTAGGTACAGTACTAAACAGCTGCTCGCGTTGTAAAACGCTTGTAACGCTAATTGTAAAATAACACACACAAAATGTAAACAACAAAACTCATTTTGTCGTGTAAGTGGGCATGATCAATTAGCATCGCACCACAGCAAGCGCAATTGAATACGTAAACAAAAACGCGTTTGTTGTTTACAAAACTAGTTCAACAATTCGGGCAAAAAAAAAATGCCAACAGCTGCTAACATTGCGCCGCCATAATTTGCAACTTGATATAGGATTTGTATTCGCCAAGTGTGGAGTTCGTAATACAGCTCCCAAAACTGCGGCGCCTGCCATTCACTTTATTAGGAATAAGTGAAATTTTGATTTGTTGATAATTATCGAAACTCATAAGGGCACAAAGCGAATTACTCGGACCAAAAACTATAAATATACGCTGGCAAAAAATGATCTTCGTAGCAAGTTTAATCATTGATGGCTTTACTGACAAACCTGATAATGTATTTGATTATATTTAAATAATACACATTATATTAATGTAGATTCTTGGGATTAAATGGAAACTTACGGAACCCTTTGACTTGTATCGGCCGAACTCTTGAGATGCCATGAAACCGCGGTTAAAAACCAATGACCAAGATCCCTAACTGACCTACGGTGCGCGTTTTTCACACTCTTGAAAAATTTGTATCGTATTTTTATGAGTCTGACAAATAGTATTTTTGTTAAATTGGTAACGGAGTCAATTCATTTCCCTCTCTGGTATAAAAAGATCCTACTCAACCACGATTTACTTTGTTAAGTGGATGTAATTCCATCGACACTTTTACGATTCTCTATACGTTTGGTCATTGTTATTGGATTTTTGTGTGAAGTGTCACTTTCCACTTCAATACGAGTGGTCACAAATCTTAATGATAATGTTACGCCATGATTTATCGAGGTTGCCCCATAGATGACGCTCAAATTATACAATTTTCCATGTATAATTCATACTTGGACAAGTTTAGTGAATTATTTTTATGATAAGTGGGCTTAACACTCGCGTTTCAGTTGCCTAATAAGCTATGCTCGTTTTTGTGCAAAGATCTCAGCTGCTCTGAGTAAACATTCATTTCTCGTGACACGAGATCTACAAAATCGGGCGCTCCAGAAGTGTGTGTGCCAATATGGAGTTAACTTATTTTGTTTGCCCACTTTACATCAAGTTGCGTGAATGGACTGAAGCCTATGGGCAGAGGGTATATTCACTTGGCTAACACAGACACTCCCGAATTCGTAATACAACTAAAATAAAGAAAATCGGAATAAAATTATGGCCTAACCCTAACCTGGTACATATACTACGGGAGTACCCAAAATCGTAATGTAAGATTCTAATCTACATAAAAGAAATTATAATTGATGTTTTATTGGATTCAGTGGAACACAAAAAACGAGTTTTGTTTTTTCAACTGGACAAGGCTGTGGAAAAGGGAACACTGGAGCAATTAAAGATTTTGTTGTGGTAACTGTTGTTACCTTAAATTCTTCCCATTCATTAATTGCTCGTTATTACTAATAACTTCGGTACTCCAGTATAGTGTGTGTACCAGGTTAGGCCATCATTTTATTCAGATTTTTCTTATATTAGTTCTATTACGAGTTCGGAATTGTCTATGTTAGCCAAGTGTATATACCCCTGCCCATAGGTTTCAGTCTCTTTACACAACTTGATGTAAAGTAAGCAAACAAAATTAGTTACCTTCATATTGGTACACATACTTCTGGAGCGCCACAATTTCCAATTTTAAAATCGTAACTATTTTGTGTCAGTATTTTTATAATAATTCATAGGCGCTCACTTTTATGCGAAAACATCATAACGTTTTTATTTATAAAAGTCCAATAACAAGCAAATTTTAGTCAAATGCTGAACACTACTTCTCAGTCTCCCATACTGAAATAGAAACTGAATCGACCGCCATTGGTTCCGCTGTTATATCTCTTGTATTTAGCTTAATTTCAGGGCGCTCCCGAAGTATGTGCACCAAGATGGCGAACAACCTGAACCCTAACCTGATACAAATACTATGTTCAGGTTGTGCGCCATCTTGGTACACATACTTCTGGAGGTCCAATTTCAGCAGTGCATGGGAAGTCCGATTCATCGACTTACTTGGACTGGACTCGAGTAGTCATTTATCTAAAACTCGAAATTCATCGAGTCATCTAAATAGAATGACTCCGACTCGTCATCAAAGCCATCCGTCATCCATTGATATTTAGCTCAGTGAGCGACTCGATTTAGGACTCGGATTGGATAAACCCTGACTCGACTTTATTCGCGACTCTGGGTTTAGGGATTTGTACCAAACACACATATTCAGTTATTCTCAGTTGACTGACATCCCTTTTAACCGGGGTTCCGTGTACTCCATGGTTCCGCAAATACAGTCCAGGGGTTCCTTCCGCAAGTTTCTATCCAAATCCTATAGTCTATATTAATACATGTACAGGGTGTCCAAAAAGTTTCGCCCGATTATAAAGTCTTTATTATCAAATGTTTTTTTTTTAATTCCAAAAAAGATTTATAGTCAACCTGTTTCTAATTGGATGTTATAGATGTTGAATGCTGTAGTCCCCATTTATCATACAACAAAATTTATTCAAATTTGCAATTGGTAATGCTATGAAATTGGGTGGAACATTTTGGACACTCGTATATTGTTTAAATATAATCAAATACCCATTAACTTTTGCCACTATTATTAAACTCGCTACACTTTAAAGATCAATCAATTTTGCCAGCATTAGGTCTGCTCTTATATATCCACAGATTCTCCGGACAAAAATCAATTAAACTATTACACAGGGTACCTCGAGTCTTTGGAATGCTTCACTTCATTGTGGTTCAGAAAAACTGTGCTATATTGTTTTAATTCGTTCAGAAATAAAAATTGCATCATAGGGGGACTGATTGGCCTAATCTGCGAGTTTGCGATTAATCAGAAAAATAGATAAAATTACCTATTTCCATTGAATTTAACATACTATTAATATAAAGAAGTTAAATAACACTAAAATCCATAGTTATATTCAACATTCTCTACAGCGTAATTACTCTTTTGTCTCGTAGAATTGCTTTGAAAAAGAAGCGGTGATTCACCCGGAAGATCATCAGATAATAAACTTAACAACACGATCTGCTTGGAGTGGATGCAAGGTAAACAATAAATCTTACTAATTCTAACTTAAATTTTTGATATATGAATACTCCAGTAGTATATGTATCAGGTTAGAGTTAGGCCATAACTATATTCCGATTTTCCTTAAGCTTTTCGGTTGAACTGAGAATATTTTAGTTCTATTACGAGTTCGGAGACTGTGTTATCCAAGTGAATCTGTCCATAGGTTTCATACCCTTTATACAACTTGATGTAAAATGGGCGAACAAAATTAGTTACCCCGAACACTTCTGGCGCGCGCCCTATTATGAATGCGGTTTTTATTGACATAACCAATCAGGAGATGATTTTCAAACATTTGAAAAAAAAACGATAAAATGGTTCCATCATTCCGCGAAACCTCGCCGCTTGTCGTGTTACCTGCTTGCGTCTGATATATACAGGGTGTCCATAAAGTCCCATTAAAATTTCAATTTTTGGCGCTCCGGTAGTATGTGCACCAAGATGGCGCACAACTAAGGTTAAAATTAACTTCTCCTTGGTTTTAACTTAAAATAACTAAGCCACCCCAATCGAACAAAACAATTTCGTTCGGTTGAGGCTAATATCAAATTTAGGTTGATAGTAGTGATGACAGTCCGGGCTTTATGAGCATTATTTTGCCCGCATCAGAGATGATCTAAAATTTATTATTCTTACTAATCATTTGGTATATTAATTCTTTACAGACAAATAATAAAACCGGGAAGAAGATGCTTCAATGTACCGGAGGAAGAAGTTTTAGAACTTTACATGAACGATGGTGGTATATTGCCATCAGTAATTGCGAAGGTATTGGTTTTTACTGGTTTTACGTATTAGGATTTGTGCTTTAAACGATTGCACTTATTTATTTATGAAGCGTGTTATGAATGCAATATAGATACTCTGTCTAAAGCTGCTCAGTGTAGTTAAAAAGTTTTTTATCCTATAATGTAATATTTTTACTTTTCTCTCATTAATTTGCTTTTGAAAGTTACCTCGCTCTAATTAAAAATTGAAATCACCTATCAATTTGCACTCTAATATTTCGTAAAGTTTTGTAATGATAGCTAACTATGGATGCTTGAGTGACTAGCTCTAACATACATTTTAAACTTTTTTTTTATATTATATATTACAAATATCCGCTTCAAGAATTTTCGAGACCAACAAGACCGAAATATTTAGCCACGCATCCCTTGTCGTACCTCGTCCACAACGTTCAGTAATGTATATATATTGAGTTTCCGAAGTAATAAACCTTAAATTAATCTGTTTTTATAGCTGGTGCAAAAGGAAATGCCATTGACATTGAATATGAAATGAAGCTGACGAACGGATTCTCCTTCTGGACTGAACATTTTTCCGCAGATGAATTTGGTAACGTCAAATATTGCTTTGTTTGCTGTTCTTTAGCATGGCTCAGATAAAAGCACTGCACAAGTATCTAATTAGGCGTAAAAATCTGGACAGAAGACGTTCTTTTGACATTTTCTACCCAATTATTATAGTCTTAGTGAGCAGGCCTATAAAACAGAGACTGAACTTGAAACATAAAAAGAACATGCGATAGGCGCCATTCATACCAGACGTTCGATGGTATACGAAACAAATAATTTCAAGAAAATCTAGCTGCCAGTGCGCGAAAATTTTTCAGAAGCCTTTAAGTCGTAACAGTTATAGGATGTTTTTTTCTTGCCACACAGTATTATTATAATAATTATCCAATAATTCGGCTGATATATAATCTCCTTACAATTAAGGCATGTTGCATGTGATACACTTTTTTTTAAAAAAAGTATGTATTTTTACTTTTGCCGTGGCCGTAAACGCATCGCTTTCATCGGCAATCTTCTTAAAATGTGTTTTTATGCTCGCAATATTATTGGCGAATATAAATTATAACTCTGGTTCTTTTATTTCAGGCATTCTGGAAACCAACATCGTATTCTTGATTATATATTCTCTGACATTTACTTACGCTGCCAGAGTTGCAGGTACTTACATTAGATATTTAATTATGGGAATGATGGAATTGGCATGACGGACACCGGAACCTAGTATGTCTACCAGGCTAGGGTTAGGCCATAATTTCAGGTACAAATACTACGAAAGTCACATCGCTAGTCCCCAAACTCGTAAAGGAACTAAAATAAGGAAAATTGGAATGAAATTATCCTTTATCCTTTGACGGCTAGGAGTATTCTACTTGCTTTCAGCTGAAATATTGCGACTATCTTTGGAGCCTATTTACATTGTGTAACTATATCTTACATTGATTTTAATTTCAAATTGATTTCGTTTTTTTTTCAGTTGAGCTGGCAAATCGTCAAATGCTTCATACAACGTACAAGATGTTCACATCATGTTTGGGAATCGAGTGTGAGTTCTCAGTTCACGTTTCTAAAATACTATACATACCATTCTAACCAGGTTGCAAGAAGTTTTGACCTTTTGATCCTTGATTCCTTTTGTATGTGGCAGCGATGCAATGGGACTGTCTTTCGTATATTGCATGTCTCTTTATTTGTTCTCGAATTATCTTAATGCTCCCTGAGAAAGGCTAGTTTAGAAAAATTACATGGCTACTAAAATTTGCCGGAGAGTACGCATATTTTTGGCTACTCCAGAAATCCGGATTTTTTAAAATTTCGCTCAAGTTATACGTGGTGCAAATTAATGATATTGGCTATGGTCACTAGGCTTGCACGTAATTCACGGATTTATGGAATTACGTAATTATTTGGAGTTACGGAAGGGAAGTTACGAATTACGTAAAGTCGTAATTACTGCATTGAAACGAGCTTTCTTTAAAGCAGTCAATTTCGTCGATTGCGAAAAATGGAAGCTCAACAAGTAGAAGAGAGTTCCGGTATTCGCAGCCGTTTTTCTCTCTCTTGTTACGTAGGTGAAGGAAGGCATGACGCGTTGCCATTTACTAACCTATTATCAACTTCTCTGGCATGGCCAATGTAAATTATTAACGTAGTTAAGGGGGAAGAACTGAGTAGGGCCGTTTGACGCCAACACACCTGGTTTTAACTTCTCCCGTAACTTAACCGTAGATAAGGGATAGAATTGCGTTGAGACCGATTGATGCCAACACACCTGGTTTCAACTTCTCTCGCTTCTTATCTAGCATGACCATGGCCAATGTACATAATAACCGTAGATAGGGGGAAGAATTGTGTTAAGACCGATGGACGCTAACACGCCCGGTTTCAACTTCTTCGGGTGAAATGACTAAGGAACGCAGGAGATCAATCTTTCAAACATGGTCTATCAAACATTTGTATTCATTTTACTTTTAATTATTATTTACTTGTTCCAGTTTTCCGATACTTGTGGTATATAATATATATGTTCCGTTTCTATTTTATAGTCACGCGTTTAAATAGTGGGAGTTCCCCACCAAGTGTGGATTAGCAATGCTTAACCATTCGTTATTGTTAATATCAACACTTAATATATGAACATGGAATATCATACTGTTTTTTGGCTGTTTTATTTCAGACTTGGGGTATAAACAGGAAAATATCCATAACCTTTCAACACGACGATCTTGTGAAATTTAACGAAGAGCTTTCGAGACGAATTGGAACCAAATAAGCGAAAAGAGCGATTGATCACTCGCACCAATACCTCGCCGTGATATTTAATGTCGCGCTTATCAAATAGCAATATGACGACAAAAGAGAGATTGCGTAATGAACCAACGCAACTTCGTCTCCTCGGCATCGGTAAAGCGATTGAGACGGCAGAGAAACAGCAAAACGACGGATTCCTCGCGGACCGCTAAAAATTTAACTGCTATCATATATAATCAAATATGAGCCAGTGTGTTTATTCTGTGCGAGATCCATTTTCTATTACAAAATCTTATGTTTTCTGTTAACGGTTTTATCGTTATATATCAGTCCGGACTTGGCCCTGCTCATGATGTTTTTCACAATTCCTCTCAATATTTCGGCCGTATATGATTAACTGTCTTACCAAATGCGGCAACTTATTTTGATTTATCGTCGACTTGAATACCACCGGCACTCGACCAAACTTGTGTCAATCTTGGCCGATAGGATCGCCGACTTGAGTTAGCAAATAAATGTCGTGAGTGTAAAATAAATGTCACAAAATGCATTGTTTTGCGATATAACTTTGTATTTTCGGAGAAGGCATATCATATAAGTTCCATATTTAAATTATACTCAAATAAATAATATTTGATCTAAATTTATCGCAAATAATGTTATAAACATTCAGTCCGCGAAATGATTAAATGTAAAATGAAGCATGGTAATCGGAATATCGTCAATAAGTCGACATCAATAATTATTATTATAAAATGCTAACAAGGCAGTAATGTCGGATAATGCAGAAGACGCTGCAAAAACAAGTCTTCGTCGCGAGGAAATCGCAAGTATAATCAAACGAGAGAATACGCTCGTCGTTATTTAATAAATTAGAAACCCGTAATTTTTATTCAGCACTAAGGTGGTTTTAAAAAACTATCGTTTCCATAAATATCCGAATACCAGTGTCGGTATTGATAAAATAAAATTGATCGCATAAAAATGGGACGGTTAATTTGCGAAGGTGATAAATGAAAACCAAAGCCAACACAAAATATAAAAATCAGAATAAAATTAATTTGAATTCACTCCTTGATATTTGTCTTTAACATCTGCCGACGGCGTGTAGTACTGCCAAGAATATGAAAACCCAACTTCAATGTCCCATTCGGAAAAGAAGTGGATTTAATTGGTTGTTATGATAGGTTTAAATGCGTGGAAAAATATCGCAATTACGGGGTCATTACGTAATTGATTTTGCCGTAATTACGGAATTGATTTTTGTCAATTACGTGCAAGCCTAAATTGGTCACCAATAAAATTTATGTGGACGTGTGTATTTCTTTCCTAACTTGATACGTACCAATGAACCACTGTCAAACTAACATGCACATGCACTAAAATGCACATTCGACGTTCATTTTAGCACAAAGACGTAAACAGTTTCGTCGAATGCACGCGCCACGAGTGCATCTTTCGCAGAAAACGTTGCCTCCCTGTAGAGAATTTTAGCCTATTTTGTCACAGCTGTTTCTTAGACTAATTTTTCATTACTACTATTAAAACTACAACTCCTAAAGAGGCAAATGATGATTGACTTATTTGATTCATACTTAGATTTCCCAAACACAACCAGAAACTAACGAATAGCATTGAAAATGCGAAAAGGACCATTATTACGTCTTTTTTGCATCTTGCTTATTGGCCAATGTTACGAAATAAACAAGGAAGACGATGCTCGAGAAATATTTCTTGGGAAAATATTTGGCCATTTTTGCATGTTATTGCGGGCCGGATAAAATGACGACGCGGGCCGGATCCGGCCCGCGGGCCGTAGTTTGGTGACCCCTGGCCTAACCCTAACCGAGTCCACTCACGACAAGAGCATTCATGAGCATTCCTTTCTTGTTTCTTCAGTGTTCGGGCTACTATTATTATGCATTGCGATGGGAACGTTTGCTACGGACGGTGTCGGGAACGAAGGTTTGACAATAGCAGGTATTGGACTCGGCTTAATTATTGACACTTGCATGAGCTGGGGGGAGCTGACTCTGATGACCGTATGGTCGTATCGCTTCCCTCCCCAGTCTATTCCGAAAACTTTGCGTATGTTAGTATTGTGTATATGTTTATTATTGTTACGATGCTCGTTTCGCTGGTTGACGAAATATTATCTCGCTCTCTCTCACGAAACTTTATAGAAAATAGGTATGTAATAAAACTAATTTAAAAATACTAAAATGAATTTCATCAATTGGCTGTTCTACCTTTGCGCTTATTCTCAAATAGTGATCCAATTACTGAAACAATTATTTTCTGTTCGCCTCCATAATGCGACCTCAATTTCTCCAAATTTAGGAGGTGGTAGATCTCTTGTTATTTTGTTAAAAAGTAAATATAAAACTAAAGTAAATTTTAGTGCTAGTGCTCTAGGTAAAAACACGTGCAGGATGTTCATAAAGTCCATTTACAATATATCTTAACCAGGTTGGTTTTTTTCATCAGTAATTGTTTCAGGTGAAATTCTTGGAGCAATTGCAGAACTTGGATTTTTGTTGATGTTACTTCTTCTTGGGAAAGGATTTACTATCACAAGAGGACAACTCTCACATTCCGGAAGCATCAAACTAGCTGTGTTTATAACTGTATACGCTGTGATAAGCGTTGTGTTGTTTCTATATGAATACGTGGTAAGCTTTTTGTATCTAAGTTTGGTAAAAGATATCTACAACCCTCAACTAAAAGCCAAAATAGATCTAATAGGGGGATTCGCATTTAGGGACTGCGACGCACTGTCAGGGATATGCCGATACATTAGTTCCACGTGGATACCGACCAAAAATATATTAATAGAGCAGTTGCAAGCGGGTAATGACGCACTATGACTATATAATTCTTAAGTATAAGTGAGTAAGTAGATAACGATTTATGCATCTCTTAAAGGCTGAAGCAATATATGACAAGACTTCCAGCGCATTAAAGTAATACATATACATGTTGAACTCGCGTGTATACATCTTTAGTTTACTAAAAATTCAATTCCGGAAAAAGAGTATGCTATTGTGTTTCTTCCAGTTATATCCATGTATCATAATTCTAATTATCCTAAGTTTGAATTAGAGAGTATCTAATTATGCTTTTCACCTATTTTATATATTGCAGCGAAAGACTATTTCTACGCAGTATTCATATATATATATATATTTATAGCTCAGCTTAAATCTTGATTGAAATTTTGTCAAGTTGATTGCGTTTTTATCGTGTGTTTTATCATATCTGTACCATGACGGTGTCCAAAATAAATTCGGTTATAGTTAGTCTGAAAATAACAAAAGCTTATTTTATTTTCAGTTTTCCGATCCTGGTCTAGTCCTTTACGTCTACGAATCAGCAGCAGGCTATGGGCTGATAGGCTTGAGGCTTACTGCCTGGTTTTGGTTTACGTATGGAATTTTATTCACGGTCAAGCATTATCCTGAAAAGAGTGGCTTTTACTATTCATTGTATATTTTCTACAGCATATGGTGAGATTTTTTTTGTTTGTTTTTACGTTCAAGTACCTTAATTAATTCTTTCTGCTTTTATTATATCCCTGTGGCGTGTGTGCATGTTTGTTCCCTGTGTGCTTCGTTTACTCTTTTTAATGTTAAAGAGTATTTATTAAATTTACTTTATCGCCTGTCGGGTCACAGCACAGGTCGGCAACCTTTAGCGTTGAAAGTGCCATTTGGCAACATTTCCGTCAAACTCAAAGCTACTTGGTGACGCAATATCTACTCTAATGTCAGTAGCTAATAAAATTCCCGAAAACCACTAATGAAGCAATGTTCTAGTTCTTACTACAAATTTTGTATATAATTTTTATTAATCCAATGCTTGTATTCTGGTTGACGAAATAAATATCTCTCTTTTACAACAAAGAAGTCAAAAAATTTACGAATGATGCAATAATTTAGTTTACGACGAAATGAAAACAGCTAGGAAAATGAAAAGAAAAATCTCGTTTTGACAAACTCAAATCATCGTAATGCGAACTACTTTTGTCGGTCTCAACTTGTACCTGCTGTGATGTGTAATTAGCGATTAAAACCTACTTTGAGCCCCTGAATTTCATTTAATTCTCAGTGCTTCTAACATATAATTGTTGTAGTCACTTTGATGCACGGGAGCCATGGCTCCGAAAATAAAGAGCCGCATGCGCTGGAGCTGAATTCTCAGGAGGCATTTGGTTGTTTTTCTGGTATCCGTCATAAATCAAAAACAGGTTTTAGTACAGAGTTTTTGAAAGATCTTCAGCTGTTAAAAGGATGCTACACATAAAAAATCAATTAGAATTTTCATTGAGCACTTTTCCAACATATTTACTCCAAGCCGATACCTTTCACATGACTGATTTGGGAACACAACATTTTTATTTCTGGTCACCCCCTTTCATAATTGCCGCCTTTTATTAATCGAATATTAGGAACAAAAAATAAAAATATCACTTTTTCATGTTTCAGGTTCTTTGCAGTTCCAATCATGGTTCTTGTTTCCACATTTGCAATTCCAAAATACATGAGGTCGAAGGTCGTCTCAATTCTCGAACTTTGCATCGATTTTCTTGCTTACTTTATATTTCTGGTGAGTCTTTTGTAATATCGTTTTAGGATTTAACATTACTGCTGGATTAGTCATATGTATCGTTTCCCAGCCAGTAGGTAGGACGCAAAGTGTCTACCAGTGGATCCATAGCTTGCCAATGTTTGATAAAAGGGGTGTCCATAAAGTCCCTTTACAATTTCAATTTTGTTATGAAGTCAGTTCTCAATATATCTTTACCAGGTTTGTCGTATTTTAATCAGTAACTGTTTAGGTATTTTTGTTTTATTTAATACATCCGTGAGGGCCTAAACAATATATGGTATCGATAAATTCCCTTTGGAATTTTAAAATTTTTTGAGACTTTGTGGACATTTTATAGCGGCCCGAAAAGCGTTTGTAATTACAGTTTTGTCGTTCTTATGAGATGTCACATACAGACAATTTTTTTTCAATACCACAAAACAAAAATGCTTCGTTTCTTCATTAATCTGTGCTCCAATACCTACAAGATTAATTGCACGTTGACATATTGACAGAATTAGATTTTATAATCCCACACGGACATATCATTTTATTTTCGTGTGGGAATTCAACCTATAATTCCGTATTTTAGGTTCTTACCAGGCCAAGTGCTGCAAATCGCAACTTTCCATATCACGTTAGAACCTCACAAATAGGAATTGTCAAACCAGACGGTAAAATTGAATCAATAGTGAACTTTCCTCATTCTGTTTACGGAGATCCGACAGATTTGAACGGAAATGGTAACGGTCACAGGTGAGCTTTTATTTTTTCAAAAGGTTTTCCACGGGGGGATTTCATTCCGATTTTCCTCTTTTTAGTTCTATTACGAGTTCGGAAACTGTCTGTGTTAGCCAAGTGAATATAACCCTGCCCAGAGGTTTCAGTCTCTTTTTAAAAAACTCGATGTAAAGTAGGCGAACGAAATTAGTCACCTCCATATTGGTAAACATACTTCCGGGGCGCCCTTTTCCAGCTGCCGATTCTTGTGCCCAAGCTACAGAAACAAAAACGACACCGGATTCAATTAACTACCAAAAACTCACAAAAATTTCGACCCTGTCTCGGGCTTAAAGAAACTCGATTCCTATTCTGGTCCGAAATACCTAGGTTATGACGGCGAAAACAGGAAACTATGATTACATAGCCTAACGTTTTTTTTTTGGTCAAAACGTTATAAATGTTATCGATATTGCATCACACTAAATTTTGTCACAAACTAGGCAACGATGGTACCACAATTTCTAATCAATGTTCTATTAGGCGAGAGTCTCGCGACCTTGTTTAAACGAAAAAAATATTTTTTTCATCACAGAGCTCCAAACTTTGCAGAGTTGTTTGTTGTTCAGCCTTCAGGTTCGTTACAGAATGGATCCCGATCTCTCGACCCTGAAGTAAGACTGAGCGAACGACGCACAACTTCTACTCATCATGGACGTTAGGGCGAGAATATCGATAAATCTGGCGGAGGTACATCATTACAAACTGTAAGTGCTATTTATATATCTCATGTGGCATGGCTATGTGCGAGAGGATTGTCGGACTCCTCGCCGCCATAAGGTGGTTCACGTAACCGCTAGTCGGCTTCCTACACCATCAAATCCATGCCTACGAAAATAAAAACATATAACTGGCTAACTAATTCTATACATGGACTTGTAACCGGACGATAGTCCGTGGTTCGCCATATGATTAAGTCGTTTTATCGGCTTTCCTCGTCCCTGGAATAAATATGTAAATCTTATCCTTGTGCATAAATGTACTTGGAGCACACTCCGATTGGAGCACTATTCAAAAAATTCACAATCCCCTAGCGATATCGCACCGCTGTGTGTGATTCCACATTTCACTGCCGCAATTGATTGTAATGTGAAAGATTGCTGAACTTCTCAACGCTGGGGGTTGGTGTGTATCTTTGTGAACTCTTGTAGCCAATTCTGATGTCTCCGCCAGCAAAATCATGCGTATGGAATACTTTTCTAGATATTTCCATAACCCCAGCTTGAACCAACCGACATCAGTTGATAGGCTGTATTACGACATATAATAAGGCTGTCTTACCAGCTTCCCTCTAAGTCAGGGGTCGTCAACCTTTTGTTGCTCGCGGGCCAAAATTAAGGGTTGCAAGTCATTGGCGGGCTGCACATATTTTTGGAAACTCAAAAACCGAACGGATGGCCGATAAATCATATCATTTTCAGAGCAGCGCGCGAAGAATGCGCCAACTCGTGAACTCAAATTGGTCGATTTATTCAAAGTACTTTTTTTACAAATGACATTAAATATGACACTTTTTGTTGCATCACGCTTTTCTAAATTGGACACTGGATGAAGCCAAGATTAAAACATTTCATAAATAGGAATCTCTAATCCGAGTTTTCAGCTTGTTCTTTCTAATGTTCATTTTCGAAAATAATTGTTCGCATGCATGGTTTGTCAAAGTTGGATAGAGTTTTTTATTAAGAAGATACCCTTTATGATAAAATCCAAGCAGTGATACATCTCTCATTGTGCATCTCAAAAAATACCATTTGAATACTTTCTGCGCCATTGAACCCTCTGCACTTAGCATCAACTTTTCTGTGTTTTGTTAACATTTGTCTAATTATAATTAATTTAAACACGTAATAAACTTGTTGAGGGACATTCAAGTTGTAATTAAAACTAGTGCAAACGTACCGTATGTATATGTGGAGGTACAAAGATTGAATAACTGAACGTAACGGCATACGTCGTTAGCTTGTGCAATTTTAGTGACGTAATACAATAACCGGATACTCAAGAATGAACATACAAGAATAGTTGAAATGAACGTAATGTATGACAGTTTGATTTATGAACAAAAACAAAAACCATTTGGAAAAAATTTATACGTAATGTTGGATTTATAGATTTTTTATGTACCACTGCCATTATTGAAATTTATTCGAGACCCACTAGAAAATGCTCGGCTGCCCACGATTGGGCCGCGGCCCCCAGTTTGCCAGGATAAAACATAAATTATTTTTCTCAATCAAATTTCAGCATCAGGGAACAAGCCTGACTCAAGCACCCCCATCTTACACCCAAGTTACCTCACAACAATTCAATCTGACCTTGCCTTCAACAACGAGGATTGGAACAAACATGGCGTCAGTAAGGCAAGAAGGACAAAAAATGGCGTCGGAGAGTAATTGTGAACAAAAAATGGTGGAACAATCGGGACTTGATGCAGCATCGCCTTCTACCTCCGGACTATTTTCTATTGCCAAGAATGTTAACACTTGATGGATAGCACCTACGTTGACGAAGCAATGATTACTTTGTTATTTGAATAAAAATTGTAAAAACAAAATACATTGAACTAGCAGCAGAATAAATACATGTTTTAAAAATCGATCCTTATTGTTTTTTTTCAATATCATTATTTTATAAATACATCTTCTCTTTATACCTATGACGAAATTGAATCAAATATCCGTAGTTCTACAATCTACATGGTTCAGTTTTTCAGTTGTGCTATTTCAGCATTCAGATTTTGTGAATTTCAATTTTCGTTCAAATAATTGGTTTCTGATTGTTCGAACACTCTTTGTCATCATTATTTGAGAATTATATTTCGCAAGATAAGGTTATCAGGGCCCCCCTTTCCCGGCAAAGCTGTGTCATGTGTGGTCATTACTTATCGATCTCGATAAATATGTTGATAGGTAGATGTATGTCTGTTTGTTTGTCTGTTAGATGCACGCAATATCTCACGGAAGCGAGGTCGAATCTACTCCAAATTTTGCATGTGCATTCATGATATCTCGGACCAGAAGTCTATTGATTTTAGATAAATTATGTCGTATTATTAGCGAGTTATTCGTTAATTAGTGATGGGGTACACGGAGTCGCTATGGAGTAAGAACGTATGAATCAAAACCGCAGTTTCTGTTTTGGGGATCCCCTAACTTTCGATCGATAAGTCTGCGGTCTCCGACGATATTCTCGTTATCCGGTTGCGATTTTTTTACTGGCTACAACAAATGAACTTGACTATTACTATACACGATTTGGGCAGCCATACAAAGGTTACTACGGAGCAATGGAAATTTCCCCGAGCATCGACTTCCTCGTTTACTTCGTGACATTGACCAATCAGCAAGATGCAAAGAGTGACGTAAAAATTTTCAAGAGTGGTCGTAAACATTACCTCGTTTTCACGTTTTTGAACTATATTCGTTAGTTTTCAGATGTGTTCCGGAAACTTAAATATGAATCAGATAATTCAATGATCACTCCGTCTTCCTAGAAGTTTTAATTTAAGTGCAGTAATAAAAAATTAGTGTAGAAATAGCTGTGATAGACTAGGCTAAAATTCTTTACCGGTACTATCAAAAAACAGTTTGTTGTATGCGATGAATCATAATGATGGTTCAAAGCACATACCCCATTTTACTGGCGCAAACTCGCATAAGCACTCTTAAAATAGCCCCGAAAATTTTGCAATGGTAAAGTATAGGAAGAATTTTTCAGGGGTCAAAGGTCGGGGAAAGGTCCATAGGGAAAGTTTTAAGGCTTAACATTCTACATATAGAACATTTTTGACCATACAAAATCATCACGACGAGGATACCATACCGGTATTTTTGTCACTGGTACATAAAAGGCTGTTGCCAATCTGCTCCGGGATAGCAATAGCCAGATTACCGTTCCAGACGAATGAATGTAGATTTTGGTGCTTCCGAAGTATGTGCACCAAGATGGCGCACAACCTGAACATAGTATGTGTACCAGGTTAGGGTTCCGCTTGTGCGCCATCTTGGTGCACATACTTCGGGAGCGCTGATTTTTGAGCAATGGAGAAAGGTTACGAGAATCATCCAGCATCGTTAAGAAATTTAGAATAGAATTTTTCTCATTCAGCCATAAACACAAAAAAGTTTCCGTTTACTCTAAGAAAGATAGCGCTTCACACATTGTTGGATATAAGCAGTGGTGGGATTCAAATTTTTTGTTCCTTCACAAAAGTCATATTTTTCATTCGGTTCTGTTACAAACAGAACATTGACAGTAACCAGTAATGCTTACCGGTTCGCTGATCTCATAAAATTCCGTGAGACGTTTCTATAGCACCGGCTGAATCCCACCACTGGATGTGAGTAGTTTTTCGCACACTAACTTATTCGTAGCAAACGGTGTATGTACACGAAGTGGACCTATTGATCTTTTCCAAACTTTCAGTTATCAGTCTTGCTTGGGCGACTGGGATTGTTGTGAATAAATCGTATTTCTCCGGATCTGATGATCATCCAATTTTAAGCGGTATAAAATGAAAAAATTAACCAAATTTTGCTTTTTTTATTATTATTGACAGACGCAACTTCGTGTGAGATTTAGCTAGAATTTTATATTGCATTTATACTGCATTAGTAATTTCCACTCTAATCATCATAACTCGCTTATTCAACGTTTAAACCCAATTATATGAGCAGCCAGAAATGAGTCATCGTCCACTGCATCGCACAATAGTTGCCAAAGTAAAAAGCCGAACGAACAACAGGAAGCCGAAACCAAATTAGTTTGTCTTACACGTTGTTGTAAGCAAGTGAGGTGTCATATCGCTAAGCAAGATAACAAGCGAATATAGTTGAGAATAGGTCGTGTGTATCCTGTTACTGCTGTGTAGTATTTGACTCTTAGTTTCTTATACAGGGTGATCCCAAAAAAACAGGGGCCTTAAATTACTCCATTACTTGTACTAAATGAAGAAACTTGATTTGACATGCGAACTTATATGTTCGTTTATGATTGTACCCAATATTTTTAGTAATCTAAGAGGATTTTCATAAAAGATATATTCTCTCTAACATATTTTGAACTATGAATTTGGCACACTCTCGATATTTCCCCGTCACTAATAATCTCATCTGTTTTTTTTTTAATTTGATTCTGCTCATCTTAGGTCCGGCTTGCATAAGTTAAGGTGGGCGTTAACTAAATAATTTTGATAAAGCTTTTTCTACCTAGACTTCAAAAATATAATAAATCCTAGCTATGGGAATGTTTTTATATTTGACAATTTTCGTATTCATCTGGTGTCAAATTGCTTCTGCTCAAGGTAAGGTATAACTATATATGGAAGTATTCTTCTTGCAAAATTATTGAGAAATTTGCTGAATGCTAATACTGAATTGCGAGTAAATTGTACATGATAACTGAAAACAAATATCGAAAATACCGAGTGAATCCTTACTCGGTAAACAGGTGCACGTTTTGAGTTTTTATATATTATTGTTATGTAAGAACAGTTATACTTGGAAATGTCAAGAACATGATTTTATCGGAGATGGGAAAATCTAGTTATCAAGCGAGGGGATATACAGTATCCTAACAGTATGAGTATGTATGTGTTAAAAGGCATTTGACATTATACTTTGTTTTCATTTCATTGCAGTTCTGGATACCGTGGATCCTGTTAAATGCTATTCTCCTATGTATTGTCTGAACAGCGACGGAAGAAATCAGCCATCTTGGAGACAAACTTTTCCCCAGGTTGGTTTATTGAGTTATGGCCGGGGTTTGCAACTACTTGTCAGCGAGATCCATTTTTTTTTCTAATTTCTCGCGACCTAAGCATTTGGTAAGCATGTAATTAGTTATCAATTTTAAGACCATTACTGACACTAGTATTTTTATTTCACAAAATATATGAAACTTGGCACATAAAACCGTGAATAATAGCGTTTAATACAACTAATGCGAATTATAAGCTTCGTGTTTTGAACACAACATTTCAATTTAAGGTTTTATTTGGGAAAAGGCAACTTTAAGATCTTCTTCTACTTCTAGCCTTGATCTGTATTCGTGTTTTATGTAAGAAAACGCTAATCGTCGGTTAGGGTTCAGGTTATGCGACATCTTGGTGCGCATACTTAAGGAGTACCCAAATAACAATGCGAACAACTGCATAACAAATGTTTCCCCGACTTTCGATCCCGGCAAAATTCTTTCCTTTTGCACTCTACCATTGCAAAATTATTAATATTTGTTTCAAGAATGGTTTTGCTAGTTGGCGTCTATAAACCGTTTTATATGTTTCAAACCATCATTCTAATTCAATACATCCAACAACCTTTCGTTTAAATGCGCCGGAAGAGAAGTTTGGCCTAGTTTACTGCATTATTGCATTTAAAATGAAACTCGTGCATGGCAAAATGGATATTGAGTTGATTGATTAAGACTTTTATTTACCGAAGCACAACTAAAAACTAACAAATAACACGCGAAAATCGCCAAAACGAGGTAACACTCACAAGTCACAGCCATCACAATCTGTCTGAATGACCAAAGTATCTGAGCGCTTCTAAAACGTTTATTGTTATGTCAAATTTTGCACTTATGCTGAATGGCCATTGTTACGGCAGTAAATAAGAAAGTCTATACTCGGAGAAAAATTATAATTAGAGGTTTATAAAGTTGTTTTATCTAAATGCGGTACACGGACGCAATGCTCATATTTATGGTAAATTTAAATTGTTTTGCGACCCAGACTGGACCCCTGGGTTATGGGACCTCCAGTAGTATGTGCAGCAAGATGGCACACAACCTGAACATAGTACGTAAAGTTGTGTACCAGGTTAAGGTTGAGGTGGTGCGCTATCCTGATGCACATACTTCGGAAGCGCCGCCGATTCTATTAAAAAGAAAGCGATACTCAAAAAAGTAAGGCCATCGAACCCAACTAGTCAAGCCTCACCTTTCAAATTTTTTGAAGTGAGTTTGGGACCACAGAAGCGTCTCCCATGTCCCCATTCGTTCTATAAACAAGAGATCAAATATATGGACACGATGTATGTATGTAATCTGGTAAAGCCGTCTACCGGTATTGTACCACAGCTGATCACAAAATCTAACTCACAAAATTTTATGTCGACAAGCAGGTCAAATATCTTTTGTTCAAATCTCAAGCCTGCTTTTTCACTCAAGGTATTGGGTATACAATACGGCATGGAAAAATGAATAATAACTTAATATATTAGTGAGGGCATGTACTGGGCCGAATTTTGTGCAGTTAGGTCCGTTATCTTGTGAACTAAAGTTTTTGTGCACGAGAATATATGGTAAATATCGAAACATCGAAGTCCGCGAGTTACATTACCCATATTTCACTGCAAAAAGTCTTGCTAATATTTATGTATTTGAAAATATTGCATGTTCTCTGTTTTCAGCCTCACTGCTCAAATTCAAGCCAAGTTAGAAAAGGACTAAAGGGTGAACTTGGCACTAAAGGAGATAAAGGAGACACTGGCATCCAAGGAGTCGAAGGACCTCCGGGCCCAGTTGGCTTTCCAGGTGCCAAAGGAATTCACGGCCCTAAAGGAGAACTCGGTCCTCCAGGACCTATTGGAATGAAAGGATCAAACGGGATTCCAGGCGCCCAAGGTGAAATAGGAGCACCCGGAGTACCTGGGCCGAAAGGGGACATGGGAGACGCTTCTGTAATTCCAAATTCACTTAAAGAAGTTCTGAAAGGTGAGGCTTGACTAGTTGGTTCAATGGCCAATTTTTTCAGTTGCCATTAGGGCACTCCCGTACTATATGTACCAGGTTAGGGCATAATTTTATTACGATTTTCCTTATTTTAGTTCCATTACGAATTTGGGGACTGTCTGCGTTAACCAAGTGAATATCCCTCTGCCCATAGATTTCAGTCTCTTTATACAACTTGATGTGAAGTAGGCGAACAAAGTTAGTTATCCATATTGGTACATTTACCTCTGGAGCGCCGCTATTTGTTCAAAAATTAAAATCAGTTTTCTATGCGATAAGACTCTGTCATTAAGTATTTTGTTTTCCTAATCAATATTATAATTAATCGTGTAAATTCAATACTCATCCGTTTTCTCAGATATGCTGGCCGTCACTGCCGATATGAACCAGCGTTATTATGGCAAGATATTCATTCCTTTAACTTCGGAAACAGGAGGGCATGATTATGCGTCTAAGAAATGTCGGGAAATCGGTGGTAAATTGGCCGATATACAAGATAATACGCATATGGACCAAATAATGACGTACGTAAGGAACCACAAAATGGGAAACGAGGACCGAAAAACGTTTCATCTTGGAATGCAATACAAGGTACGCTTGTGATAACCCTATTTGGACACGAAATATACCTAGGGGCGTTTTGTTTTTATATTGTTGCTGGTGTTGTTAGAATTCATTCTCTTTTTCTTTTTGTGTAAAATGATTTTTCCTTTTAACTACAGAACCAATCGCATAGACATTTTCAGTGCCTAAAAATCGTTGTTGTCGCTATAAGAATATTACTTTTATTTATTTCAAAAAATCCTGTGCGCTAAATGTCAGCTCTGGGATTCTGCCTAAAGCTGTTTGAGAGAGGAAGACTAGTTACATTTCATCATAAATATATTTATATAAAAGTATGAGAGAAACAGAAATACTTCACTAAGTGTCGGGTTCGTATCTGTAACTGCGTACGAATAATGCATAACTGCTAGATATTTTTCCAGTCTCAGCGGCTCTATTTCAGCAACGCAACCGCAGTACCAGAGGGAAACGGCTTCAAGTGGCGGTCTGGATATCCGTACAAAGGAGATACTCCCTACACAAACATGTATTTGGAGGTTGACCGTGAACCATCAAGTTCTGTTCAATATCTCGGGAATCAGAATGCCGCCAGTGAGAATTTTTACGCGTTGTGTGAAGTTTGAACTGCTGTTGTACTTTGAACGTTTGGAGATTTGAATTTGTGTAAAAGAGTAAATTATTTTCGCTTAATTTAGTGAGTTAAATGATAAGCAACAGGAAACATTTATTGCAATTATATTAGATTGCGAGCTGGCCATAATCGAGATTAAAATTAAGTGATGTACGGTGAAAGAAGATAAAAACACACAATAAATACAGCGAATTTTTATTTTGTTTCGAAAGTTGGAATAGAATAGAATGGCAATACATACTCGTCTTGTTGAAAGATCATTGTATATCGCTGAATATCAGAAGCGGCTTAAAGAGGGCCTTGTGTGAAATGCACGAGCAAGCGTCATATTAATATGACAGGCCTTATCATAATTGAGATCACGAAGACATTGCAAATAACGCGTCACAGAGTGGTATGTATGAGAAATGCTATATAGCAGGTGCAATCAACATCTAAAAAATTACGGGTTGTTTTTACCTTCGGTCTTGAAAATAAGTTACTTTAACAATCTTGGTCGTACGTGTTTTATCAAAGTACAATTTTTTTTCTTTTTTCTTTTTGCCATGGCAAATATATATAATTTGATACAGTCTGGGCACCGCGGTGTTTAGGGCTTGTAACAGTGGGGGCTTAAGATTGAGGTTTATTACCTCGATATTATAAATATACGGATATACTCACATTGGATGTTACTGCAGCGGTTCAAAGCTGACTAATTTAAATGTGACACGGCAGGACACGTGACACAGGCATGTCGTTCGTTTAATTTAGATCAGAAGACATTGCAAATAACGTCCGAAGCAAAGTGTTGTGTATGGGAAATACTGCACGCACAGTTTGTTGTGATCTAAACCAGGGCTACGCAACTAGCGGACCGCGGTTTTTTGGGTATTTGATTCGGACCGCACCTACTTCTTTATTTTGGATCATTATCCCCTTTCAAGTTTCATTTTATAAAATGACTTTTATAGTTTTGAATATATATATATATATGAAATTACCTATAAGTAATATATTTAAATATATATACGTGAAAAGAATTATAACACCATAATAAACAATCTTGACTAGCTAATAATCATTAACCGGTCGAGGAAGTGCACGTTTAAGGATGCCGAAATATAATTTATGCGAAGACCAGACCCAATAATTTTGACGTTTTGTATGCAGATCTTCGGTAAAAATAGTTCAGTAGCCTTGATCTAAACTATAAATGTGCAACTGGACTTAATGCCACCCAATGCTATTCCGGTGGAAAATAAAAAACGAAGACAGTGGTAGGTTCAGGATTTTTAACCTGTTGAATCAATCTAATTCACATGAAGGTTAATCAAATAGCATGCACTATCAATGTGTGACGCATCAAAAATTTATTAGCGGGAATTTCTAGACAAAAAAAAATTTATGACTGTTTCACGATAAATAAGAGTACGACGCCACATGTACGCTTATATACGACAAGAAATGTTTGCGCTATGTATTTGCTGTGCATTTGAAGTTCAATAATTTAAATACGCTCGCAAATAAATAATATTTTTCGCAAACCGAAAAAGGCGGTTATTTACCACTGTTATAAACTAATTCAAATGTACGAAAGCGGGAGAGAGACTTGTGCATAAAACTAGCTGATGATACATTAAAGATTGAATAGCATGCGGCCCGCCATCCAATTTTTTGCGGTCCGCGTCATGGTTCGGATTTTTCCACAAAAACCTAAATTAGTACAATGTCAACTTTCAGTGGGTTTTATCGTGTCATTTATCATTAAGAGTCCGGTCCGACAAACTGTAAAAAGTGAAACAAAATTCTCCCCTGTTGTCCACGTTCATGTTTTATTATATTGTTATAATGCAATTATAAATTCGATAATTTCATTCCGCATGTTCATTGTGACCAAATTAACGAGTTTCGGTCAGTCCATTGTGCCCGAAAAAGGTTTGCGAAGCTAATTGCACATTCACTTTGCATACCTGCGATTTTTGGCAGTTCTTATATTTGCGAGCAGTTTTTTACGACTATGAAAGTTAGCAAGTCAGCCCTTCGCACACGACAAACGGACGAGCATTTGCATGTTGTCTTGAGACTAGCACACCAACGCAAAATAAGGCCAAACATCAAAACCAAATAACCAGCACAAGTGAATGAATATGTTTCATGTCTCGTTTTCTGTAAGATTCAAGTGTAATTTTAACACAATACATTCAGATACAAATTTTTGTACCTAATTTCTTGGTTTGCGGCCCGCGTGGACAATAAATTTCAAAAAGTGGCCCGAGACATGTTTTGAGTTGGAGACCCCTGCTGTAACCCATCATTGCTACTACATGAAGTCCGGCTACTACATGAAGTTTCAGACATTGCTTTTCGTTATTTTTGACTTTTATTGCTCTATTATACAACGTTTGAACCCAATTATACATGCAGCTAGAAATGAGTCATCGTCCAAGTCATCGCACAATTGTTGCAAAAATAAAAGCCTAACGAATAACAGGAAGCAACAGTAATACCATCAATATAGCGGAAATGATAAATTTTTTGCCACAATAAGTGTTGAAGATAACAATTTCTATTTAAAAGAATATGTACTACAAATTGTCTGTAGGCATGTCCTGGGCATGAAGGCATTGGACTGGACCCCGGGCATGTTCTTTCTGATTAAAAAAGAAGGGAAAGCAATGAGTTTGTGTTACAAGTAGTCATAAGCGAGTAAAGTGCCGTGTCGGCAAGCTAGATAACAAGTGACTATAATTGATTATTATAAGTGATTATAATTCTTATACAAGGTGACCCAATGCATATAGGTTACAATCGACGGATTGTCCACGGTATTGTTGCAACTCAAATTGAATCTAGAGCAGGTGTTCTCAAAGTTTTAACGTTATGGAGCTCGTCAAGATGTTAACTATTATTTATGGAGCCCCACAATAAATTTGACGAAAATATTAATATATTGTCGGAATGTGGCAACATGGCAGCAATTGAAATATGACATTATCTATCAAAACTAATAGATAATGTCATGTTTAAATTCACGCTACCGCCATCAAATTTTATCAATGCCTTATTGCTTTTTTGGACAGTTACTAAATTAGCCAAGTCAGTCTCCTAATAAGTAAACGAGTAGCTCGCGGGGCTCTAGGGTTCTCTCGCGGACTCTGGAGTTCCTTTTAAAGAACTTTGAGCACCCATGCTCTACAAGGGACAATACTACCGTGAGCTCTTGAAGATATAAAATCCGCTCCTCCAAAATTGAAAATTTAACCGTTTTCCATTTCACGTGCAAGCAGTATATATTAAACATAATTTTGACAGCAATATTAGAACCCAGACTTTGAAAATATAAGGCGCTGTTGTTCAACATGTTTGGATATTTAATGATTTTTGTACTCATATGGGCTCGGATTGCCTTTTCTCAAGGTGAGTACTCACTGTATATAAAAATGTATTTTGTACAAGATTGCTGAGAAAAAGACTGCGAACAAGAAAGCACGGTACTCCCGAAGTATGTGAACCAAGATGGCGGACACCGGAACGTAGTATGTGTACCAGGTTAAGGTTGGGGCACAATTTTATCCCAATTTTCCTTATTTTAGTCCTATTACGAGTTCTGGGACTAGCCAAACTATTCCCGTAGTATTTATACCCGATATTATGGCCTAACCCTAACCTGGTACACATACTACGTTCCGGTATTCGCCATCTTGGTTCACATACTTCTGGAGTACCGGAAGCATTATAATACCAATTGGGTAATTAAATTGTACGAAATAACTAAAACAAATGTCAAGAATATCCAAGTGGAATCATAATCTGTAACGATGTGAAGGTTTCAAATTTTTATATATTATTACAAACTGAAGAATAACTTGTCTAATCAACAAAAAAAAAACGATGTATGTAAGAACCAAATGGTACTCCCGAAGTATGTGAACTAAAATGGCTGACACCGGAACGTAGTATGTGTACCAGGTTAGGGTCAGGACATAATTTTATTCCAATTTTCCATATTTTAGTTCTATTACGAGTTCGGGGACTATCCAAGTATTTGTACCTGAAATTATGGCCTAACCATAACCTGGTACACATACTACGTTCCGGTGTCCGCCATCTTGGTTCACATACTTCTGGAGTACCGAAAGCACTAACAAGACCTATTTGGTAAATTAAATTGTACAAGATAACTGAAACATGTCAAGTAGAACTTTAATCTGTATGGAGGTGCACCTTTTGAGTTTTTATATTATTATTAACTGAATGAGCCAATTTTTTCAAGCCAGAAAAACAAAATCGATATATGTGAGAAAAAAATTTCCTGAAAATGTCGAGAATATAGTTTTACTTGGAAAGGGAAGCCGCGGGGAACCAAAATTATCAAGCTAGGACAGCCAGGACAAGCAGGGGTTTCCAAAATTATAAGTATGCATGTGCTTTAACATTAAAGTTTGTTTTTGTTTCATTGCAGTTCTGAATCCAGATAAATGCTTTTCTCCCATGTATTGTCTGTACAGCGACGGAAGAAGTCAGCCATCTTAGAGACAAACTATCCCACAGGTTGGTTTATTGGGTTGGGTTCTATGAATAATGATAAATGGGTGCGACAGACTGCTGGTTAAGGCGTTAGGCGTAGCTATGTCACCATGGCGGGTCATAGGGGAAAGTGGGGAAGGTTGGGACACTTTTTTTCTTTTGCATATTTTGAGCCGTTAATTCAGCATATTCACTCAAGTTGGCGGGACTAATGCATAGAGGGGTAAATGTAGTTTTTATTCAGCGACTAAAAAATTTCCTTGCGACACACATTTTATTACCAAAATGCTTTGAAAATCGTCTGTCAAGTGTTCCACTGTACCCCACTTGTGGGGCACATTCGAACAGACTCTGGGGCACAATGGGTCAGTCTGCCAAAATTCAACGAAGTATGCCCTTAAAAATAAGCACTTAATCAGCATAATCGTCTAAAGAACAGAGAGACTTCAAATTGGAAGATTTAATATTTTTTAAATCAATGTTCAACTGGAATAGTTCAGATATTTGGACAAAAAATTTTGCAAATAAAACTGATTATTTCCTTCCGGGAATCTAAATGTGGAAATATTATTGATTCTCGAATATATTCCATATTGGGCCATGGGTCGAAAGAAACCATCATACTACACAAAATATAACGCATCTCTAGGTCTCTAAGCACTTATTGTATCAAACACTGTCGAATTGTGCCCTGTAGGGCATGTCCGACTGAACCCAGGTCCATTGTTCCCCATAGGAAACAAATATTTTCAGACCATCCCACGGCGAAATTCGGAAGGCACATCCACTCGCCAACGTTATGAATATTTTACAGTGGACTAAAGATGAAAAATATCAGACGGTGGTTTGTCATGTTGGGAAGGCTACAGTAGAAAAAAGAAAAAACTGAAACGGTGAAATTTTAGTTTCAACCTCCCAAAACCAATTTCACCTCATAGCTTGCGCCGCTCTACCCGTCCGTTGTCCGTTCGCGGGGACGTTGTAACTCACCGAAGGGCGGATTGAAACATCGAACCGAGGACAGAATTGCGGATATAGTATCAGTGCGAGAGCTGATTTTCCACTGTGCCCCATGTCCTAACGTGCCCCACCTTCCCCTATATTTTGTGATCAAATCCCAAGCCCACGTTCTCGGCTTCATATAAAAATAGTCTTTACCTGAAACATGGGGCCCCGGGACAATTTTTATTTCACTCTAACTCCGAGTTGCTCAATTATTTTGACCTTAACTTTAGCTGTAGTCTCGGTATCAATAAACTTTTGTTGCGAAAATGTACAAAAGAGCTTATAGTGTAGTGACATCAATTCAACTACTACTGCACTTCAGTTTTTCAATTTCAAGTCATTGATTAATTGTCAATGAAAAATGTCCATTAAAAATGATTAATTTTTAAAGGATAATGCTAGCCGGAGGAAGAATGAGAGAAAGAATAGTCGAGAGTCGCTTGTGGCTTTGAGCCGCGGTTTAGATTCACTGGCCTACATTTGTCAATAGTAATTATCGCACAACTGTAAAAAGCAATCGGTATAAATGTTTTCACAAAGCCTATCTGCAATGACATTCAAAATATTGTCAAAACCTATATTTGGTCCTTCCGAATAGTGTATCAACTGCGTGGTTCAAACCTTGAAAACATTCCAGCAAAATAGTCACAGAATACACAATTTATTACGTGTTTAAAAATTCAATTGGATTTTGTGCAGTTAGGCTCACCATATTTTTTCACTTGTTTATGTGCATAGAAACTGTGTTAAATATCAAATAGCAACTGACAACTGCACGAGTTGGTATACCAAGATTCTATCGAATATTTTGGGAGTTGACGAAATCGTATGTTCTCTTTTTTCAGCCTCAATGCTCAAATTCCAGTCAAGGTATAAAAGGACAGAAGGGTGAACTCGGCCCCAAAGGAGATGGAGGCGACACTGGCCCACAAGGAGTGGAAGGACCTCCGGGCCAGGTTGGCTCCAACGGAGCCAAAGGATCTACCGGTCCTAAAGGAGAACTCGGTCCTTCAGGAGCTGCTGGAATGAAAGGCTCAGACGGGATTCCAGGCGTCAAAGGCGACACAGGACAGCCAGGCGCACCTGGACCGAAAGGGGAAATGGGAGAAGCTTCTGTGGTCCCAAATTCACTTCAAGAAGTTTTAAAAGGTGAGCCTCGATTGGTTTGCCTTAGTTTTAGTTGCACAGTGCCAACAAAATTTTTATAAACAAGAGAACACTAGTTACATATATGGATAAAAATCAAATGTAAAAAATGTTCCCATAAATTTAAATTAAAACAGCAAAATTATGAGCTTTGCATGTGTCGGAAAAATGTAAGTAATAGCCTTTTAGAGAATTTTTCCATCTTTAATACTGAAAATTTTAAAATCAATTAGTTGTAAAGAAAGACGACCAAGCATCCAAGCACGACTAATATCAGCAACAAGAATTTGGAAAAACGATTTATAGGTCCACTCTGTGTACAATAACATGATAACAAAGTACTGGCTGGTAACAGTATTGTTAAATTACTGCCCAACGTCAACTTCATATGTACAGCAAATACAAAGCCAAATTCCTTCCCAAAAACAGCAAAGTTTGGGCTGGGAAACGTTGTCATAAAGTTGTAGAACATTATGCAAGACTATATCCCAGGAGTGGACAAAATTTTTCCTCCAGGGGCCAAAAAATGTCCCGTCTATACTAGCGGGCCATGTTAGTGTGACGTAAAACGTTACATTTTATGAACTATATTTGCAGTGTTACAAAAGTGGAAAACAATAAGACTCGTGCCAAAACTAAATTTATTCGCAATCTCAAGAAATTGCTTTGGTTATTTTCTTAGCTAAAAATTCGGGTTTATTTGTGTTGTGGCAGCATCAGGCGGGCCAGATTAAATATCCCAACAGACCGAATTTGGGCCACGGGCCTTATCCCATACCTTCAATTTTAAAGCAAAGACCGTTGAGCTTCATCTATAGATTACCTTCTTTCATTAATGGTATACTCAACTCAACATTAAAGTCAGTCTAAAAATTGGGCAAACTATTTTTGATTTGCAAGTTTTACATGTTTAAAAAGGTGCTCCCGAAGTATGCGAACATCGGAACGTAACATGGGTAACAGGTTAGGGTTAGACGATAAATTTTTTCCAATTTTCCCTATTTTAGTCCTATTATCAGTTCGAAGACTAGCCAAGAGCCTCCCGTAGTATTTATAGCTGAAATTATGGCCTAACCCTAACCTAGTACACATATTACATTCCGATGTCCGCCATCTTGGTTCACATACTTCGGGAGCCCCAAACAGTTGGGGTTACGTGAAACTAACTACATTTTCTTGCTCTATCCTTTGCGCAGGTGAATGCGTATGCGTATAACGCAAGGATGCTATAGCAAGAGTGAAAATGACTATTCTATTTCATTCAAGAGTCGCGTTGCACACTACCACAAATGTATTTCTGTAAAGTTTCGTCTGACCGAGGTCAGATTTCGTCAGACAAGCATTTTATAACTGTGACAAGAAACGTTTGCTGTCCCAATCTTGTTTATTTCTCTCTCCAATTTCAGACCCAACATTTGATACCATTATTTATAGTGTATGTCATTGCGTTTCTTCCACAGTTGTAAATGCCTGTCTAAAGAGTCTGACCTCGGTCAGACGAAACGTTACGGAAATACATTTGTGTTAGTGTGCGGCAAGACTCTTGAATTAATTAAAAATTGGTTTCACTACGCGGTGAGATTCTGTCTGTAAGCTTTTTTTATTTTGTTTCCTCAATTAATAAGAATATTATTATGCAATCAAATACCCATTATTCTGTCATTTCAGATATCCTGGCCGTCACTGCCGATCAAAATCAGCGTTACTATGGCAAAATATTCATTCCTTTGATTTCGGAACTTGGATTGCATGATTTTGCGTCTGAGAAATGTCGGGAAATCGGTGGTAAATTGGCCGATATTCAAGATAATACGCATCTGGATCAAATAATGACGTACATAAGACAAAACAAGATGGAAAAGAATAGCCGAATTTATTTTCATCTTGGAATGCAATACAAGGTACGCTCGCGATTAGGCCTACCTCTATTGAGCACGAAATGTCATTATGGATCATTTTGTTATTATGTTGTTGTTGTTGTTAAAATTCATTTATTTTTATTTTTGTGAAAAAATATCTTTTCATTTTAAGTACTGGATCAATCTCTTCGACATTTTTAGTGGCTGAAGATTTTATTTATTTCAAAAATTTATGGGAGATCGATGCTCGATGATTCTGCCTAACACTTTTCGAGATAATAGGCCATTTACTTTATTGCTTCATCATAAATATTTTTGAATAAAAATGTGAGAAACGAAGGAAAAAGTAACCATGTTTAATTTTTTCAGTCTCAACAGCTGTATTTCAGCAACGCAACCGCAGTACCAGAGGGAAACTTCAAATGGTCGCCTGGATATCCGCACAAGGGAGATAATCCCTACAAAGACATGTATTTGCAGGTTGACCGTGAACCATCAAATAATCACCAATATCTCTACAATCAGTATGTCGCCAATAATAAATGTTACGCGTTGTGTGAGATTTGAACTGCTGTTCCACTTGGTACTTTTTAAAATTCTTTTTTTTTTTTTGTAAAAAGGATTGCAGGAACGATAATAGGGCAATAATTATTAATTCGTGTGAAGGATTTTGTAAATTATTTTTTTTAATTCAGAGCGTGTAGGGATGATAGGCGATAAAAAGGTTATAGCGACACCTAGCGCCAAGTCGTTTAGCTTGGTGATTGGTTTCGCCCAAACGCTGATCACGTTTGGTTTTTGGGTTCAGAAATCTGGTTGGTATCTACTTTTAGCTGCGGCCAGACGTACATCTTAGACGCAACATTGCGTCCATTCCTGAACCTTTATTCTAATCGAAGTCAAGTTATTTTACTGTTTTAATTCAATCCGTATAGATTATGTTATAGTTGTCACATCGTTTTCAACTGTGTATAAAAGAGTATAGATATGTAAGAGAATTATACTCGTTTTTAATCAGAGACTAACTTTGTCCTTGAGTTATGCCCGTCATCCAGGCCCTCTGAATTTTATTTGTCCGTTTGTTATTGTTTTGTTCACTGTCAGAGTAACCAAAATAAAGTTGATTGATTGAATAAACAGCAGACTTTTGTAAAAGCTCAATTTCGGCACGCACGGAGTCTCGCAGCCTATACGTTTATTGCAAAACTATCAAATTCACCAACATAAGGGATGATGTCCCACAAGGCCAATTAGTTTACTTCCAAAATCAGTGGGTCAGTATACAATAAAAGGTACATAACAAGTCCCTAGACAAGCACTATCATATAATCTACAACGCCTAGAAGTCAGAGAATTGTTGCAAAGTACACCCCAAGGTGTGCTAAAAACTTCAAAGATTGTACCACATCGATAGGGTGTACTGAGGTGTACCGAATGTTATGGGATACTCACTAATACAGCTCACGCTACTTTTGAATAGATTATTAGAAAATTGTTAACTTGTTAAAAAGTACGGCACAAATATATGTGTTTAATTTATGAACAATATACGTGTCGCGTTGCCCAAAATTACCACGTCGCGTCATAACACTTTTTGTAGCACACCAATTAGTTCTTGAATTATACTCGAGTAAATTGGAAATGATTTCAAAAGAGAAGAATTATACTCACGTCTTGGATTTTGCTGACATAACATTCTTAGGAAGGTAAAAATTCACACAATACAATTTGGGAGTTGGGATAGAATAGAATGTCAATACATTCCCACCCAAGCGTCTTCGGGCGTTTTCTGTTATGACAGGGAGACGCGATGGCGTACCGAGAGCATATTCAATAGTATATATTGAATATCAGTGGCTGCCTGTATATGGGGTCTTATTCAGAACAGAATGCGCGAATAAGCGCAGTGTCAGAAACGACAGGCCTGTTCAGATCAGAAAACATTGCAAAAACATTGCATTGCAGTACGTGGCGCAAAGTGTTGTGTATGAGAGATACCATATAACAGGTTCAATCCACATGTAAAATTTTACGGGTTGTTTTTACATTCGCTTCAAACGAGGCTATGAAAATAAGTTACTCATATATTCATGAGCGTGTATGTTTCTTAAAAGTAAAGGTATCTTTTCTTCCCGCCATGACATATATAATTTAATACAGTCTGGTTGGGAACTTGGGATTGAGACTCATAACCTCGAATTCATAACTATACGAATATACTCACCCTGGGTGTTACTGCGGCGGTTGACAGAAGTGTTTAAAGCTGACTAATTTAAATGTGACACGGCAGGACACGTGACACAGGCATGTCGTTCGTTTAATTTAGATCGGAAGACATTGCAAATAGCGTCTGAAGCAAAGTGGTTTGTATGGGAAATACTGCTCGCCAAGTTTGCAGTTGTCTAACGCCGAACCTGATGCACTATTTGCAAGTGCACTTCGTGTAACCCAATGCCTTTCCGTTGGAAAATAAAAAAGCGATGACAGTAGGTTCAGGTTTTACAACCTGTTGAATCAATCTATTTTATATGGAGGTGAATCAAAGAGCATAAACTATGGACGTGTGACGCATTAGAAATTTATTAGCGGGAATTTGAAGTATGAGAAAAAAGGTATGATTGTTACACGATTAATATGAGTGAGACGGCATATGCTCGCTTATATGTGACAAGAAATGTTTGGGCTTTGTATTTGCTGTACATTTGAAATTTGAAATTTGGCGCTCCCGTAGTATCAAGATGGCGGACACCGGAACATAGAATGTGTACCAAGGTAGGGTTAGGACATAATTTTTTTCCAATTTTCCTTATTTTAGTTTTATTACGAGTTCGACGACTAGCCAAGTGTCTCCCGTAGTATTTGTACCTGAAATTATGGTCTAACCCTAACCTGCTTCACATACTACAGGAGAACCTAATAATTTAAAGATGCTCGCAGAAAAACAATATTTTTCGCGGACTGACAAAAAAGCGGTTGTTAACTACTGTTATAAACAAATTTAACTGTACGAAAGCGGGAGTGCGACTCGTGCATGATACTAGCTGAGGATCTATTAAAGATTGAATGGATAAAATAGTGAGGGGGGAATAAAGAGCTTCAAACTAAATGTAAAAACACGAATAGTTACGAAGTAGTATACGCACCGCGTTTATGCAGCTGAAGCAAGTCTAATACGAAGTAACTAATTTTGATCGCCTGCTTTTGATCAAGTTGTGTAAAGGGACTGAAACCTATGAGCAGGGAGTATATTCACTTGGCTAACACAGACAGCCCCGAACTTGTAATGAAACTAAAATAAGGAAAATAGGAATGAAATTATGGCCTAACCCCAACCTGGTACACACACTACGGGAGTACCGAAAAAGGCCTTTCAAACTAATCTATTGTAGTAAAATTGCACTTACTAAAAATCACGTTATTTTACCAATTTGTTACAATGTAGATAAATCAGTGAAACCTTAAGAGCTATTAGTAGAAGTACTTTTAAGTTTGTTCTGAAACATCGACAACGATGTTGAAACTTCAGATGATTATCGTATTGGTTTGCTTTTCATCAGTTTTCACGAAAGAAAACGATGGTAAGTCGAAAAAGGTTTATTTTAATAACCTATATACTATATACCGGATATAAATTCGAAGGAATGGATAAATTGGAATTGAATTTTGATTTCTAAGTTTAGATGTTGAGTGGTTTGTCTATTGAGTTATCCGTGTTAGTATTTCAATATCAAAATTGACAAAAATGAAAATAAATTTCTTGAAAAGGTTGGACATTTGATATAAACTGATCTAATTTTGTTTTGCAATTCACTGAAACCTATCACTACTTAATAATAATGAATAATAATTGTGGAGTTTTAGTAGGTGTTACGTCATAATATAGGGTGTCCAAAAAAATTTTAAATTTTTATAATTGCAAAGTAAATTTAATAACGATTGTTTTGGCCCTCACGGATGCAGTAAATGAAGTGAAAATATTAAACAATTTCTGATTAAAAAACAACAAACTTTGTTAAGATATATTAAGAACTGACTTCATATGAAATTGAAATTGTAAAGGAACTCTATGGACACCTTGTATATTAGTGTGTTTCTGTGTGGTTTTTATTTTTATTTTACGAAATTTACGAAAAGAATTTTCATCAAGATGAAGAGTCAAGATTTTGTTCTCTTTTTTTCGCAATATATAAGTGGGTGGTTTAATCCAAGTGCTGATTCGAGAATTATCAAAATTTTGTAAATTCACAAATAAGATTTTCATATTGCTTCACAAAAATTTTTCTATCCCCCTTTGACATCTCTCTATCTCTTGAGTCATAGTTTAAACTCACTGAAGGAAATTACCGTTATTTCATTCTGTTGTTGGATTCGAGATGGAATTCAGTTCTATGAACTTCAACCCCAAGTTTGCGGAAGTCGATAATGGTAACAAAAGTAATTCAGCTATCACAAATTTTGTTCTATTTTCTATTTGACATCTCTCAATCTCCTGAGTCATAGTTTGCACTCACTGAAGGAAATTACCGTTATTTCATTCTGTTATTTAAAGTGGGACGATATTCACTTCTATGAACCTTATTATAGCCAAATTTCAGCATTTCAAGTCGATAAAGATAACAAAAGTGATTCAAATTTCAGCCGTCACATAAAACAAATAATATCCCACTTTGACATCTTTTATTCTCTTGAGTCACAGTCTGAACTCTCTGACGAAAATACCATTATTTTCATCTATTGTTTGAAGTTGGATGAGATTCTGTGAACTTTAAACCCGAGTTTACGGAAGTCGATAATGGTAACAAAAGTGATTCTGCCATCACAATAAATTTTCCCTCATCCTTTTGACATTTTTCAATCCCCTGTGTCATAGTTTGGACTCAGATATGAAAATACCGATATTTCAACCTGTTGATAAAAGCGGAATAATTTTAGTTATTCAGGCCAATTATAGTGAAGTATTTAAAAAGACTCTTATGTCAAATTGTGTGAGACCGCACGCACCACAAATAAGATTTTTATATCGATTCACAGAAAAATTTTCTATCCTCTCTTTGACATCTTCTAATCTCTCGAGTCATAGTTTGAACTCACTAATGAAAATACCATCTGTTGTTTAAAGTGCGATGTGATTAACTTCTGAACTTTGACCCCGAGTTCACGGAAGTCGAAAATGGCAACAAAAGTGATTCAGCGATCACAAAAATTTTCCCATCTTCTGTTTGTCATTTTTCAATCTCTTGAGTATAGTTCGAACTCACATATGGAAATACCGTTATTGCATTTTGTGCATAGATACAGGATGGGATTCACTTCTAGGAACTTTAACCCCGCGTTTACGGAAGTCGATAATGGTAACAAAAGTGATACATACTTTAGCCATCACAAAAATTTCTATCCTACCCTTGACATCTTTCAATCTCTTGAGTCATAATTTGAACTCACATGTCAAATTGTGTGAGACAGCTTCACAAATACTATTTTTATATTGCTTCACAAAAAATGTTCAGTCCTCCCTTTGACATCTTTAGTACCCTGTGTCATAGTTTGTACTCACTGATAAAATTACCGTCATTTCAATCTGTTGTTGGACGAGGGATGAGATTCACTTCTATAAACTTTGAACTCAATTTCCATAATTTACGGAAGTCGATAATGGTAAGAAAAAGTGATTCAAACTTCAGTCATCACAAAAAATTTTCTACCCTCCCTTTGACATCTTTCAATCTTTTGAGTCATAGTTTGTACTCACTGATAAAAATACCGTTATTTCAATCTGTTACGGGATAACATTTTTGGTATTCCCGAAGGTGTACCAGGTTAGGGTTAGGCCATAGTTTCATTTCTATTTTCCGTATTTTAGTTCTATTACGAGTTCGGGGACTGTCTGTGTTAGTCAAGTGAATATACCCCATGATCATAGGTTTCAGTCCCTTCACATAACTTGATGTAACGTAGGCGAGCAAAATCAGTTACTTCCATATTGAGACACATACTTCTGGAGCGCCAATATTTTAATGCTCTTAAATCATAGAAAAGCGAACAAACTACCTCACTCTTATGTCAATAAGTGTGAGGCCGATTTATAACAATTTTTCGTTTCGAAGGTAGTTCTCATCTGGTTTCAGTGTCGTCATCTAGTATAATGTCGCACAGCCTGAATCGCTTCAAAAGTTTATTGGACACGTTAGTGGACATAACGATCGTTTTGCATTTTATGCTGGTACTCTTCTTCTTGTTGTTGTTCTTTGTCACAGAAAAAAAATCGATTTTCTCTTTGATTACTGTACCAATCGCTTTAAAATTCCCAGTGCTCAAAGATTAAATTTTTCGCTAGATGGCTATTATTTTTATTTATTCCAAATATTCCGGTGAGCTGTATAGGATTTGTTTGTTTGTGTGCCATGACGTCATAGTGTCCATATATTTGAGCATAGCTCTTTTTTTTAATATAACGACTATTACATCAGGTCTTTGGAAATATAAGGTAATGCTGATTTGATGATTCAAAGCCTCAAATAATTTTTCAAGGTGACGCCATTCTATCACCAAAATATAAGAACAAAGAAAAAAAATGGACAGCTTCTGAATGCAATTGCAATAGCTGGTATCGCTAATACAATGCTTGTTATATTGATATATTTCTAAATAATTCTGCGTCATTGTATTTTTCAGTTCCAAAAGTGGAAAAATGCTTGTCGCCTGTTGTATGTGTGGACAGCAATGGCAACGCTAAACCGTCTTGGCAGCAAAGTTATATTCCTGACAGTGATGACAAGGTAATTTGTATATATTGTCTCGATCAACTACTAATATGACACACAAATATTGTATCGAACTCACTAACAACAATTTCCGTCATTTAAGAAAATGTATGTACGTCACTACGAAGCAACATTAATTAACGACACACGCTTCACATAAATCTAATACTTAAATTTCGAAAATCAAATTATAATGGTTCATGTTAGCTATTTGCTGCGTTTTTGAATGTCCGAGGAAAAAAGGAAGAGAGGGTTCGAGAACAGTATAACGCAAACACGTTGAATCCCACTAGTGTTTTAACCTATTGTTTGGGAAGCCCGATCTAGATTCTAGAACCGACATGGGGAAAATACGTCTCGCAGGCCAAATCCGGCCCGTTGGGTAATTCAATCTGGTACGCCTGATTCTGCCACGACCCAATTAAAACCAAATTTTGATGTTTTAGCTAAAAAAAAAATAGCTCAAGGAATTTGTTGAGATTGATATCAAATTTGGTTCTGGCACGAGGCATATTGTTTTCCACTTTTGTTTTTGTAATACTGTAAATATTGCTCGTATTTTTTTACGTCACTATTACCTGGCCTATCAGTATAGGTGGGCAAAAACCTTGCCCAACCCTGATACCCACGTATACTAGTCCAAGGTTTGAATTCATGTTTGTCTGATGAGCAGTTATTTATTTCAAATCAGTTACAAAGACAGGCGGCGTATAATCAGTCATTAAAAAAGAAGTAATATCAGATTTGTAACGCGCAAATAATTGTTTGATTACCCAGTTTTCCTTGGTTTGACCGCATGGTAACATAAATCTAGAACGAGATCTCCAACCTGACAGGAAAATACAAATACAACCACAGGTAAACATTGAAATATAATGTTTTAACGGTACTCCCGTAGTACCAGGTTAGGGTTAAGCCACAAGTTTATTCCGATTTTCCTTATTTTAGTTCTATTACACTCTCTGTTTTAGCGAAGTATTTTAGCCAAATATACCCCCTGCCCATAAGTTTCAGTCCCCTCTACACAAATCGATGTTAAGTAGGCGAACAAAAATAGGTACCTCCATATTGGTAAACACACTTCTGGAGCGCCGTTTCAATTTAATGAGTCTTGTGACAAGATTTCACTTTCTTACTTCACGCAACAAAAGTAATTTCTTGATGTTTAGACTACATTTTACTGCTTACAGACTGCATTTGAACATGTATCAAAGTTTTGTAATTATTCTTTTTTGTGTTTTATCAGCCGCAATGTTCAGCGTCCAATCCTGGTCCTAAAGGAGAGAAAGGGGAACCAGGGACTGATGGTAAAGATGGAGAGAAGGGCTCACCTGGGCCTAAAGGAAATGCTGGTATCAATGGAACAAATGGAGCTCCTGGAAGCATGGGTCCAAAAGGTAACAAGGGAGACGATGCGAATAATAAAATATTGAAAGGTAACATAAATGAAGCAAATAAATAGTCAGAATAACGCGTTCACCAAAAAAAGTTAGAATAGAAGCAGTTTTTAACTTCCAATCTAAATTTACTTAGTTTTTGCGATTTACAGAAAATTTAACAACTCTCGCTAACATAAACTTTTACTGTCTACTGATAATATTAATAAAAGACAGCGTCAGTGCTTTAATCGAATTCATAGGAAAATATTTTTCGTTAGATACAAGGCGCTTTTTTTTATCTAGGAATTCAAATTAGGTCCCCCTCAATCGATTTCATTTATTAATCACGTGGTTTCTGTGTTTCATTGGGTTTGACTTTCTGAAATGAAGAACAGGCAAACTAATCCTGTATGCAACTTTAACTAGAATCATCTCCGAGGATCTGTAATTTCCATATGATTATTTGTATTCGCGGATTTTTGTGATTTTTCAGAATAACTATGGAACAATTTTTCTTGAATGAATTTTTTTTTGTGTGTGTCAATTTAATATTACTTTAAAACAGGACATCGATTTATTAGAACACACAACAGAAAATCACGCTTATACACTTAAAATATGATGTGTGTGTTGAAGTGTGAGATACGATTTTTGTTCTGAATATTTCAAACTTATATTTAGAGTTTGTCTATGCTATGTCGGATGGTGAGCAATACTACAATGGTTCACTATTTCTTCCGTTAATCTCATCGACATTTGGAATAAACACATCCAACAAAAAATGTCAAGATTTTGGTGGAGAATTGGCAAACATTTACAACCAAGAACATATGAACCAGATAATGAAATATATAAGAAACAACAAAATGGGCAACAAAAACATTATTCATTTTCACCTTGGAATGACATTAAACACTGTGGTATGTATACTAGGTTGTCTTGCGAAAAAAGGATGTCATTTTTATTAGCGCGTTAACAGTCGCAGCGCCTTAAACCCCGATTATCTTTACAGTAGGGGTGCATAACATAGTGTGCGACATAAGCTCGAACGTAGCAGGCGAACAGTTTGGTATAAAGTAATCAGTAGTTTATTTTTGGTACTCTCGTAGTATGCGAACTAAGATGGCGGACACCGGAACGTAGTATGTGTACCAGGTTAGGGTTAAACCATAATTTTATTCCAATTTTCCTTATATTAGTTCCATAACGAGTTTGCGGTCTAGCCAAGTGACTCCCGTAGTATATTTGTATCTGAAATTGTGGCCTAACCCTAACCTGGTACATATACTACGTTCCGGTGTCTGCCATCTTGGTTCACATACTACAGGAGTGCCTTATTTACTCACGATAGTTGATATACAAATTGCAATGAATAAATAAAAAGCATTTCAGGGCAAGAGTAGACGCGAGAAACCAAAGCTTATTCAGTTAGGAAATGCAGATTGCGATGGAAATTCAAATTTTCGAATCATCACGAACCCGAACTAGATAATTACTAATTTCTCATTCAAAAACGTGGCGGATTTTATTTTATTTTTTTTGTCAAATCTCACATTTTTGCATTAGTGGCGGTGACTTTGTACAATAGGCGACAAGACGAAAGACTCGTGAATTCCAAAAATTAGTTTTTTTGTTATCATGTGTTTTATTGAAATTTCTTGTTATGTTTTTCACGGAAGTTTGTTTACAATACTAGTAATTATTTAAACGCGGCGGGGCATGCGACTTTGGCACATATCCTCATTTGAGTTGTGCATCTGTTTTAACAGTAGTGTGATTGCCGAGAGAGATTACTGGTTGTATGTCCTTAAAGTGTTTGATTTATCGATATCATATATTGTTTTGGCCCTCACAAATGTGGTAAATGAGGTAAAAATAGTCAAACAATTACTGATTTTAAAACCTCAAACCTGGTTAAAGATATATTGAGCACTGACTTCATAACATAATTGAATTTTGAAGGCACTTCATGGACACCCTTTATAACATGTACATGTTTTTATTGTTACATATTTACATTCTTCTTCAGAACAAAACGGTTCATACACGTGATGGGCATAAAGTTCCAAGTAAAGATATTAAATGGCGTAAGGGATCTCCGGATTATTCTTGGCACGTAAGCGGCATGGCTCTGGCAGTCAATGCGGATGAATTCAGTACAGACCAATATTTATACCAGTATTCCAATTATCAACGTTACCCTCTCTGTGAAATTTGATTGCTCATCAGCTAACATGAAGAGATGTTTGACGACAGGATAGAAGATTATTGCATATTGCCATTTATATTATAAAATGTAATTAAAAAAAAAAAATTCTGCTGACCTAGCCTGAAAATAAAACCTAGCCTGAATTTTAAAAATCATTTTAATATAAGCCCTTTTACTATAGGACCCTGTCTCGAAATAGTTTGAATATCAATTATACGTAAAAATTGATAACGGACGCAGGCAAATTTATTTAGTTTTACGTGTGTGTTATAAAACAAACGACAAAAATATATAAAACTATTACGAACGAAGGTTTTAAAACTTAAGCAGATAACTTTAATGTTTGGCATCCTACGTAATATATTTTATGATTTTGTTTACTTTTCTTGACATTTATTTGGATTTTATTATATATTCAAAATGTTATAAATGAATTTATCAATCTGCTCCAACCTGCTACCGGTACTAGATATCTTCAACCGTAGGATGATTACTAGATTGTATTGAACAATCAGTGGTGTATCTACTTTAAAATGATTCCGATGGCAAAATTTTAAAATACACCCCCTTGATCGTCGACTGACAATTTTAACAACTGCTGTTGAATTGAGATACTTGTACGTTATTATTTAAGTAAAAACAAGTGTTTCAATTATTCCCTTTTTAAACCTATTTTATTGAAACATTTCACGGTTGAAATTTTGAACGTTTTCACGCCCCTGTTCAAACAGCGCTCATGGCTGCCATACCTTAGATATGACGCTGCTGAAAATTCGAATATCAAATATTGGAAAAATCGATTTTCTGAAATATTCATTTCAAACTCTGTTCAGAATTATTAGTTAAAACTAGCTAACAGCAAGACAAATACACTCAAACCTTATCTTGTTCGTCCGGGGCAAAGGTTCTCAATACCTGAGCTAATAACTTTGGTACTTGGTCCCAGATTTGACTACTTCATGATTGCGTTTCTACTTTTCTTAACATTTATTTGAATTTCATTTTATATTCAGAACGATATGAATAAATATATATATGGGATAGTAAGCATATGAATTCATGTTATATTTTGGATCCTTTGGTTGGGTTTATTTTGCCAGAACCCACCGATTGAAAAGAATATATCGTCACGCTAATAACCGAATTGCGTAAGTCATTTTTGGCGATTTTGAGTTTTTTATAAAATAGGTATTTATGTAATGCTGCGCACCTGTCTGTTAACACAGATTTTATTTTAAGAATTCCGAAACCCATAAAAATGGAGATTTAGTATGACATGCACATTTGTGCAATTGTTTCGTCATAATGAATTATCATTGGTACCGCAGGACTATTGTGACGTCACAAAGGCAAAATAACCTCGGCAAAAGATTTTCGAGTTTTTGCATCCCAGATTCTAGCTTAGAGCGTATTAATTTGAATTTATACTACAGTATAGGAAGACGTGCACTTGTGATATTCACTGTCCGAGTCCAATTCACATTGGTTGGCTTTTATATTGGGTGCATTGCTGTTTTATTCTTTATATTAAATCTTAGTCTTATTTCGGTGGGTGTACAGAACGTGTTATATTGATGAAATATATATTTTTAAACATAAAAAATAATGTAATTGAAACTGATTAGCTATTTTGGAGATTAGACATTGTAGATACTAAGAATTACATTCGTTTTTGGAATGTTCAGTTTTCAGGACTGGTGCATATAGTATAGTTGCAAAATTGCGTATGTCCCCAAGTCATAGACACATTTCTGCGTAAGTCACAGTGCGCCATTATGACGTCACTTAACTGCGTCATACAAATTAACTTAAATCTGGCTACGATCAAAAAATTGAACCATGATAAATTATTGACTCTCAATGGCATAACAATATCATTAGGAAGTTTTTTACGTTTTTCTCAAAACTGCTAAAAATGACTTACGCAATTCGGTTATTAGCGTGACGATATATAGATCTTAATCTCGATAGCAGACATATTTAAATTGTTTCATTTATCTAAATGCGAGGAAAGCCTATAAGAAAGCTCAATCACAATATTAGGGCCCATAGACTCTTGTTTTGTTACCTGTTTGGGTTGAGTATGAAAATCTCATTGGCTTGTTTTAGATGCTGGATTTAATTTACTGACATTCAGAATGTTGAAGTTTAGTATGGAACATCGAATAGGTTTATTTGTTGCAAAATAAGAAGAGTTCATGTCAATAAAGTGGCACGCATCCACCTTTTTTTTGCAATCTCCAATTTGTCACGCACTGACCGTATTTCGACAGATCTAATTGAAAACACATTGACCATATTTCGTTGTAATTTTGAGGCAATAAAAATTAAGATGTTGCAACACAATATTCGGGACGTTCAAATTTAAATACGGTACAAAAATGTTCAGGCTACGTTTAATACAAGTAATTAGTTTTCATTTTTTATGATATTTGTTTTGATCACTAGTAAATGAGTTGATAGTATGTCATCGACTAAGATTCATGGTGCAGGATGGAACTATAATTCAGGAGTCAATAATAAGCAGATAGATCGCGGGCGCTGTCGTTGCAATATTGAATGACATTGTATTGGGAAATCCGCTCCAAATATTTGGTCAACTGTTTGTCTATGTGTTTGCCACTTCCATAACTAAACACGCCAGTGCGTTAAATATAATGATAGTGACAATTCAGAATGCATATTGACCGGACATTTGATTATTGCACAATAATTAATCAGTTGACGATATATATATATTAATTAATAGGTAAACCATAAACAAGCATTATGTCAAAAATAAAATGAAAAATTCGAGATGGCAAATTGTCCGTCATTCTAAGATATGTCTTATTTGGCGAAAAGACACTTCATTTCTTACAAATCAGATTTACTTTTAAATATTCGAATCATTTAGTCAGCCGACGTAAATTGAAATAACGTCCATGTTTCTAAATATAAGCAAACTTTTCGTTTTTTTTATTCGGATGAAAAAAGAAGGCATTGTTGTGGGGATTTGCAAACTTGATTTCATATTAGAACTTGATGTCGCAGTACCAAATGGTGACTTCAATGTTCATTTTGATGGCGCAAGAAGCCGGCCGGTACGCTGTAAATACTACACCACTGACTACTAGTGTAAAATTGGATGTAGCCTATATTTTGAAACACCAAATTTAACATACAAAACGATACGATGAATGGTAATGACGAAACTCAATTTTACTTATTTCTTTGTTCTCAAAGTATTCTTGAAGAATGGTATTCATGATATACACTTAACTAGGCTTACCATAAATCTGAAACAAAAAAACCGGGACGGTGCGATTTGGCAAACATTCGGTCGATTGCCAGTCTTTGTAATATTGAAACGTCTACCATGTCATTAAGGGTATATACGGCTGTAAATCTCTACTGATCATTGAATTAGGAAAAACACAAAAAAATAGTTTGTACGAGTATTATTTATTTAGACCAAAAGTATTGTCCGCAGAGGGAACCCTTCTCAAAAATTCATGTTCTGATTTTTTCATAAAACTGATAACAAGAGACATCACCATTAAATTTGCATGTCACGAGTGCTTTTATATATTCTTCTGGCATTCTGAACCTGCTTTCGGATCAAAAAATTTTAACTATGGAGAAAATCCGTTCAACAGATGCCGATGTTCCGGCAAACAAAATCTACGAGTTTCTGCAAATTCGAAATGCTAATATTTCTGTTAGAAAAAACGTTAAACATCTCTGTCCACTTAATTTCAACCGGCAAAGTAAGCCAAATTGCATTTGAACCATGCTCAGATAAATATCTCTTCATCGGTATTTGTCGAAAAGTGCATCGCTATTCAAAATCTGACTAGCCAACCAAACATATATATCATTTATCAATTTTGAAGACCAATCACTTCAGTCCAGTTTATTTCACCCTTCAAATTTGTCCATATGTTTGGCCTGACAGCATTGTAGGCTTCCTCATGCAGCTACGATAGACATTTCTCGTAAAAATCGCAAACATTACGTCGATTTCGCTAGAGCGTTTCAAGGATTTCAGAAGTACAAGCGATTGCGACGGAATTAACAGACTTTACCCTTTTTCTTTCAAATTTAGCTTCACCTTTGACATCTACGACAGGGATCGGCAACCTTTTGTCGATCGCGGGCCAAAATTAGGGGTTGCGAGTCATTGGCGGGCCGCACATATTTTTAGAAAGCTCGAATAGAATATAGATTTTTTTCTTCATTGCATCTCAAAAAATTCCATTTGAATATTTTCAGCGCCATTGAATTTGCACTTAGCATCAACTTTTCTGCGTTTTGTTGCCATTTGTCTAATTATAATTAAATTAAAGGCTCATTAAACGAGTAATTGTGAATTATATACTTGTAAGGTTATAATATGATTTAGTTCAAAAAATATAATCGTCAAAACGGCTGTTTTGTTACTATAATTCAGTGAAGCGTCACGAGCCGGATTATAATACTCTGCGGGCCGGATCCGGCCCGGGGGCCGTAGGTTGCCGACCCCTGATCTAAGGCATTACTATTATCTTTTTCCAAAATTAAAATAATTTTGCTGAAGTAGGTGAGCTGGCAAAGGACAAATTTCAAGTGAAGTTCGTACGTTGGAACATTTAAGCATAAGAGTAGGACATCCTTCTTGAGAATTTGAATAACTAATCAAGCTTTCAAACATTTCCGTAATCCTTTGCAAAGCAGGTAATAAAGGGAGAAACCGAGTGTTGCCATGCTGTAATAGCCGTTGATATTCAATATCAACAAAATCGCATAATGGTTTCTGCTCTGTTACTCGGACAGTGTGAATGTAAAAATAATCATACATTCTGACAACCACACAAACAGGCAAAGTATCTACTGCATGTTGGAAAGGGCATCGCAGGGCAGTGTTGAACTACATGAGCCGCACAATCTATACCGGTTATATTTCTTTTAGTTTGAAAAAAAAGCATTATTTGTTTTTCGTCTTTTACGCCTCCAAAGTTGGTGCTGCAGTTATCCGCCCAGAATCCAACAACTTTTCCGAGAACAGAAAGCAAGTATTCAGTAAAAGTTTTGGCGGTTTCCCTGGGTAAAGATTTGAATTCTAATAGTTTTATCTTCACACCAACATCAGGTAAAAAACAACGAACCACAACTGGAACAAGCTTTAAATTTTTTCTGTTTGATGCATCGAAGGTTACTGATACGAAACTGGTTTAAAGTAAATCGTCATTAGGTTCAGAGGAGAACAGCGGAGCAATGCAATTAAAAATCACCGACTCTCATTTATTTCTGGCTAAGCGTGCAAAATCAGCGAATCCGCTTATCAGACAGCGGACATCAGAAATTCTAACTGTGTATATTTACAAGTTAACGCAAATTTAGGCTAAAGAAAAATTAATTTAGAGGTGCAGTCGAAACTTTGGCCATGAATAGCAGTGTGATAGTAAAACATATACCGATTGTGACATAATAATAGAGCAATTTCTCTCTCTCTGAACTAGCGAAGTGTGTCGCAAACAGTGGTAAATGGACTGCCACCGTTGAAAAAAAATAGTAATAATAATGAATATGAATTTTTTACCCACGACAGTCGTGCTGACAAACCGGGACATTTGAGTCAACCGGCCGGGACGCCTGGACAGCTCGTCAAAACCGGGACTGTCCCGGCTAAACCGGGACGTATGGTAAGCCTACACTTAACCAATAAAAATAATTGCATCGCCTGTCATTCGGAAGATTCATTAACCACGAAACCTTCATTAACCGTTGACAACAATACAGGAAGTATCTACTTAGTACTGAGTAAGCGTGACTCCATCTGTCATTGATATACAAGGTATTCGTGTTTCTAGTCACGTAGACAAATGGGCAGATACAGGTTCAAACAAAGTTTCGTTGTTTGTCTGATATGTGAATATTATGTTGTAGTATTAACCTGGTTTGCAAGATAATATTACGAAGGTATATCTAATGTAGTTGACGGTGTAATTATGACGGAGATATTTAGCATTGACCATGAGCACGGGTGTAGACGCATTTAAAAAAAGTTGGTGTTATGACTTTCACCCCCCCCCCCCCCCCCCATCGTGGCTTGGCCCCTGGATACAAGATGATACACTGATGATAAAATCTCCCTGCGAATTATTTGAATACGAGTCAATGCATTTACGTGATTCGAGCCTTTCATGAACGGTGACTTTAGTCGAGTCAATGACCAGAGCTTGCCTGACATAAACACCACTTACAAATTCATACGCCACATGTTTAAGGCCCAAGTTTGAACTAAATTACCCTGCTACATCGCGGTAGTTTTAAAATTTATTTATTCAATATACTTTAGAATTCAGATTAGAATATAATATACTTAAACACCTAAACAATCATGCTGTCATATTCAATAATTTTGGCAATGACGCTGTGCCAAATAAGTGCATCACAGGAAAACTCAATGTAAGTACGGAATTATGTATGTTGTGTATGCAATTTGTACTGGGAATCTATAAATAAAAATTATAATACCTTGTTATAATTTCTGAGAAAAAGTTATGACGATATTTTGTCTGGAAAATTAGGGTTTGAAAGAATAGATTTTACATTCGTTTCGGGAATAAAACGGGAAGCGGGTAAATATTCACCAATGCATGGAAGCGTTAGAAACATCGTATCCAACTTTTGAAGAATCACCTTATGAGAGCGAATTATGTATGTTGTGTATATCATTTGTAATGGAAATCTGTAAATAAAGAATCATAAAACTTTGTTATATCTTCTTAAGATTTTTCAAATGAATAATTTGTCTCATGATCGGTTGGAGTTTAATATATATAATATTAGAGGGCGGTACAAAAGTGCGTGAACCAATAAGGAGATAACTAATTTCGTTCGACTATTTTATATAAAGTTGTTCAAAGGGACGGAAGCCTATGGGCAGGGTGTGTGTTCATTTGGCTAATACAGACAGTCTCCGAACTTGTAATAGAACTAAAAAAAAAATCGGAATATGGCTTAAACTCAACCTGGTGGTACACATGCTTCGGGGGTACCTAGAGTTCATATTCGTTTAGGATAAAACAATGAAGAAAAGCGAATTCGACTAGTGATTACTTGAACACTTCGTAACGGCAAAATCTAACAATAATTTCGCTTTTGATTACAACATCTTAACGTTTTCTTGATAATATTCTAGATAATATTCCACCCATGTCGTAACCCAATCAAGTTATGAAGGTATTCTTCGGTCCGCGATAACTTTTTGTTATTAAGTTCAATTGAAGAGGAGTATTTCGTTATTATTCACTATGTAGGTATATAGGTATTACAAGTAATAAAAGTGAAGGCGAGTTTAAAAGTTGTAGCGCAAACAAAGCAACACGATTCGAAACATCTGGATCGAAACGTCCGTGAGCAGAAACGTCGGTAATTCGTTGTGAGTAAGGACTAAATAGATGATCGTAATCCCCGTTTTACATCAACTCACAAATCATCAATAAAATCACTAATTCATTAAAATATTCAATGACGCCGATTTAATGATGAAGAAATAATGTTTAGAGCCAGAATACTACTGATGAACGCGTTTTCATTTCAGTTTCAAACAAAGCAAATGTTTTGCTCCAGTTTACTGTTTGAACAGCGAAGGTAAAAGTCAATTGTCATGGAAACAGATATTTTCAGCACATTCACAGGTTTGTTGGTTTCTAATAACTTGTTTCGTCCTTGTGCTCGGAATAAAGGTCTGAACAAGCAATCATTCTAAAGAAATGCTACCTTATGAAAGTATATTATTCTGCCGAGCTTAAAAATGTCATATACTTTACTAACCCAGGTTGTAGCGGTCTGAATAAGGTTTGAACCCGAGACCACTGCACTGTCAAAACAGCCTATATATAGTAAAACCAAATGTGTTGGCCAATAGACAAAACGATACATTTTCTTACTTTTTAATCCAGTTTTGTGATCCATCCATTGTGATCCTATATTCGAGCATTGTTCAATATATTATGAACCAATATTTGAGGTACCATCCATACCATTCAATTGCACTGCATTGAATGACGTTGTTTAGCAGTTTCGTGGTATAATCCAATCAGATCTCTTTCTTCTTTTCTTCAGTTACAATGTTCAACTTCAACTAAGGGAGAAAAGGGCGAACTCGGCTTAAAAGGAGATACTGGAGATCAAGGACTTCTAGGAAACATCGGAATCACCGGGCCAGCCGGGAAACACGGAGCTCCTGGCTTAAAGGGAGAGATTGGTATTCCAGGGCCGACAGGAATCAAAGGCGTAATCGGGGGTCCTGGTGAAAAAGGTGATCCGGGATCAAACGGATACAGTGGAATTCGTGGACCTAAAGGAGAAGCATTTGGTGCATTCAGGGAAATTATAACAGGTAGCTATTATTGAGGGTTTAATCTACGCCGATACGTGAAAATTCGATGTTTTTTGTAATTGAATACAGGCTTGACAACGCGCAAAAATCATCGCTTTACTAATTTCTGTTTTTTTGGACACTGAATATGCAAATGGGTCGTTTTGATATGGTTGTCTATTAGTGATTGTTGTTGATGGAGAAACGTGTATCTTCGGAATAAATTGACTAGTCGATTTTCACATTACCATCTCTGGAAGATGCTTAAAACACAAATATGCTTTTTCCTATATTTTTCTATTTCTTCTGACATCTTTGGGGTTCTATATTTTCTATTTTTATAAATATTGCGTCACCACGTTGCACCGCAATGCTCTAGTTCGACATCTCTCGAAAAATTGCGGCTCACTGCGTCAGATAACGGATTTCAGAGTAAGTCGCATAGGCTACCGGCACATTATCGGTCATTTTGAAGCCTTTTCCCTTCAAGCATTGATCTTTAGTTAAAAAGGAATGGACCTATCGTCCATTGGACCTCCAGAAGTATGTGCACTAAGATGGCGCAAAACCTGAACCCTAACCTGGTACCATACTGTGTTCAGGTTGTGGGCCATCTTGTTGAACATACTTCGAGAGCACCTCTCCATTTCGGTAAATTGTTCTTATTGTAAAAATTTGCTTTTCTGTATAACTTAACTTCTGACCAGTTGTCTTGAAATTTATTGTGACACTAGAAGGGATTGCTTCAATCAATTCAAAAAATCCGGTGATCTTTGGGGTTCATTTTCCACCTTCAAACTTTGCGTGAAGAATTTTTCAATTCAATAATCGCTGATGATATGGTTATGCGATCTGGTTGTTATCGGAGTCGAAACATTTTTGATAAGGTAGAGACTACTGGTACTTTGAATGATTTGATATCACTTCATTTATGTCTTCGCGCCATATATTTAATCATTGCTTTCTTGTTTTAGATGTCATCACTAAATCTGACAATAACCAGAGTTATGGAGAAAGCATTTTCATTCCTTTGGTGTCGGAGAAAGTTTACAAAAGTGCAGCAAACAAGAAATGTAAGGATATCGGAGGAGAATTGGCAAATATATACAACAATAATCTTATGGACAGAATTGCAAATTACATCGGAACCAACAAAATGGAAAAAGGCTTCGTAAATTATTTCCATATAGGAATGACATATAATAGTAATGTGAGCCTTATTAATTGTTAAACGTTTCTAAAAACTAGAGGTTTTTGTATACTATCTGTATAATGGTTACCACGAAACAGCGAAGAGTTGGTATGTATATGAGTCTTCAAACCTAACTAAACTTCGTTTTTCTAAATCCATTTAAAAAAAGTAAACCGGCGCGAGAGAAGAGAGGCTAATTTAAAGTCACCACGCCACTTTTCTCTTTCCACCCAACCACTCTTCTCACTATAATTTCAATTCTTAATACCTTTTCTAATTTCAGGTCAATCTTGTATATTTCCGCAATGGCACTTCGAAACAGGCGAACAAATACAAATGGCCCCCACGATACCCTTACAAAGGACCTGGATCTCCTTCAGACATGTATTTACTTGTTACCAAAGATGCATCGAGCGTGAATCAATATTTGTGTAACAATAACGATATCAGGTGCTTCGTGCTTTGCGAAATTCAAAGACGTTAAAAGATAGAGCCTTGCTAATGTCTAACCAAGATTGTTACTGAACCATCAAGAATATATTTCAGTAAATCTTCATTTATCCAATGTTAGAATTTACCATACAAGCTTAATTCAGGTATGAAAAAAGCGATTGCATACACCAGGGTTGTGCAAAAGAGGGTATCAATGTGGGATAAATGGGTTAGGAGAGGGGGCAGCGGGTGTAGCATAGTGGGATAAGTGTGCTAAAAAGGGGATAATTATGGGACAGGTTAAACAAGTATAGCAAAGTTTCAAAAGTGTATGGCGGGAGACACAGGAGTGGGACAAAAGAAGGAAAGTGGCATAAGTGTACTAAAAAGGAACAAATGTGACATGTCATTAACGAGACAATGCGCTATACTGCGAAGTCATATGTTTAATAATATAGCAGAGTATTTTGTAGCTATTCCATCATTTAGCTCATCTATTGCGCGAACCATGTGAGCGTACCGGATTCACGCAAGCTAATGCACTTCGAAAAGTTTCACCATTTTTGCGCTCCCTATCGGGAAAGTATATCGGTTACGATTCGTGACTTTTGCCCATTCGGCCCGGCTTCGACTCCTTGTCTGCAAACTGGAGTGATTCAAAGTTCAGTACAGTTTCATTGAATTTCAAAGTAAATTATGTCGCAATAATTTATACTAAATCAAATGACACTTGCAAAATATAACCCCTCATCAAGCAAAACTGAATGGTTGATGACATTACTGAAATTGCAACCAGTATAAACCGGTACAATCCAGTTCCGGTATCAACTGATATATCGGGCGAAGCAGCTGAAGCAAGTTTTTGTACGTGTGGTTGCAGACATTGCAACAAAATTATACCTGCAGCCTTCAGTTTTTTATGCGGTTATAGAAAAATCACAACATTTAACTGCGGTATCTACAAGACAAAAATGTTTGAAATGTTTATGATGAATGAAAATAGGATTTAATGGCGCGTAGCGATAACCTATTCATTGTCCATCGATTACTAACATCAACAGTTACACTTTTTGAAAATTTATATTTGAAAAATAACATAAATCACAAATATATGCGCAATATTCACGAAGGTTCCGCGCAGTATGCTTCCTGACTTGCATTTTAGCTTTTTCATTCAGATTCTGAGAGGTGATCGATTTTTTACTATTAGCGATAAAACTTGTAACTTATAAAAATGTTTTACGTAGTTGATAGACCATCTGCAGTGGTATATACGCTACTTACTGTAAAGTGTGACGTCACACCTCTGAATCAGAGGGGCGAGGTTTGTCAAGTATATTTCTTGGTGGAGGAAATAAAATTGTGCTAGACAGGGATAGGATTGACAGGTTTATCCCGGGAAGAGTAAAGCTGCTAAGACGGCTTAATCATATGGCGAACCATGCCCTCTCTTCTGGTTGCCAGTACAAGTCAGGTATGAGAGTAGTTAGCCATTTTTTCATATGCAGGGACTTGATCTCGACTTTTGGCGGCCAAATAAAAAACAAGATGGCGCGATTCAAAATTTTCATCTAGACCAGGGGTTCCCAAGCTTTTTTTAGAACGACCCCAAAGACAACTTTCAAGTGTCCAATGCGACCCCAGGTCAATATATATATTTTTCATGAAACTTTGGAGCTTCTTTCACTGGACTGTTGAGTTTGGTCATTTGGTGATATTAAGTAAAATAAGCTAAAACCAAACAGTGATGTCGCAATAAGCACCTACATTTTCTATAGCATAAGCATAGAGCGACGCCCATGGGCCTGCTTTACAGTAAGCCATGCTACAAACTGCTAAATTTAACATCATTTGTCAAATCTTAGATGTTTTGTACATCCATTCTCTACCATACCTCAGCGACCCCACCGACCCTATGACCTGTTTGCGACCCCACCTACTTATCACTCCGACCCAATTTGGGGTCGCGACCCCTGGTTTGGGAACCCCTGGTCTAGACCGATTCGAATAATTCACTGTTCGATTGGATAAGCCCGGCCCTACACATGAGTTTCTCATTGTGTTAATATGGGTACTGTTTAAGGAATACCTCATATGTCCACATTTTAATACGAAGTGTTATGGAGTTTGCACAGATTATATAGCGGTTATTTAAATTATATATAGTTTGCATATATATAAGCAATGGCAACCTTTAACACTGAAAGTAGTAACCTCGATATCAAGGAGGATACTCAACAATGCAATGATGTCGAAGGAGCTGACAATATTTCTCGTTCGGCGATAAGTAGTAACAACACGGTTGTTAATGGAGAGAATACAAGAGATATTCCCAAGCGGAAAAGACTAAAAATGATTGGTGAAAACAATAAGCACAATAAAGAATCCACAACTACAAAACGTAAGTAATTCAAACGAGAGTTTTTTTATGAGACGCCTGTGCACGCCTTCCCTCCGAACAAGGCCCGTAGAAGAGGCCACAGTTAGCTAATATGTGAAAGAGATTGTAGTTTTGAAAGAACATGAATCTTTCTAGTGCGGCATTGTCTACACAATTTACTACTTAATGGAAAAGGTGGTGAAATCCAAGATTTCACTTTTGCATCTTTTGTAGAAAACACTCTCCAAAAATAAACCCCCTCCAGTGCTCAAAATAAAAAACTAACTAGTAATTATTCAGTTAGGGTTTCGAATGCAGATTTTGCTGGAACTTCAAATTTTGAAATCGTTCCTAATCCGAACCCAAAAATTACTGATTTTTAAAACGTTGCGGGGTGTTTTTCTAAAATCCAATTCAAGGGGTGGTAGATATATTGCCATTAGCGATAAAACTATTTATCACTTATAAGTTACGGTATGTATTTAACTGACATAGGTATATAGGCCACTTTGTCAGACGTTTTTAAAGGGCTGGGGCAATGTTCCCTCTAATTTTTTGTAGTTTGTGTGCGCAAAATTTTTGTGTGAGCGCACTTTTTTGGAAATGACTAATATTTGTGCAAAAACCAATGAAGAAATTTTGGTGTTCTAACCGGGTAATCGGTGGGCCAACAACAAACTCTCTCAACCTGCCAACCGAGAACATTGTTACATTACATCGAAATACGTCAGTGTCCAGTAAATCTATGCGTGTGCGCGACCTCTGAAAACTGTGCGCGCGCGCACACGCGCACACCTTAGAGGGAACACTGGGCTGGGGCGTTCACTGCTCACCCCCTACTTGGGGGTGTCGAGAAATCACTGCTACTGAGCCATGTTTCGTTTACAAAATTGTAAAATACATTCTGTCAATTACTAAGGTACAACTTGTGTTATTTTCAATTTATAAATGTTTCTAATTCATGATTTTTAAGGCAAAGTTACTATCCGAAAGATAGTGGCAGCCATCATTGTTGGGATTACTCTACTGATTATTGCAATAAGTTTACCCGTTACGATTATGAACAATAGTCCGTCAACAACGGAGGAAACAACGACTTTTGATACTGGTTAAGTAGACCATTTATGCTTCTTGATATGCTAAAGTATTGTGTTTTTTCGAGCAAGTTTGGGCATTTTCGATTACTTGATGATTTCAGAATTTAATCTAATCGGATCTCGAATACTTAGAATATATCTAATTATACGCGACGTATAAATCGTATAAATCACTGAAAACAAAGAATCCATCACTCGGACACTATATACCCCTGGTGCTCACACATGATAAGAACTTGTTAAATAATTAACTCAATTAAAAGAAAAAGTCGTATGCCAGAATTGCTTTTTGAAAATGTGGGTTTCATAAGCAATATTGACGGATTCACCCTGACCTCTGGCGTACAATGAAAAACAAGATGGCGGCGAGTTGAAATTTTTGTCAAATGATTTACTATTCAATTCGATATTCCCAGCCCTAATTTCAGTTTTTTTATACGACTACGACGCTTACTCGAGCCTTTCTCTCTTCGTACAAGGCCTGATTTACTATTCAATTCGATATTCCCAGCCCTAATTTCAGTTTTTTTTATACGTCTACGACGCTTACTCGAGCCTTTCTCTCTTCGTACAAGGTCCCCTACAGGCAGCCACTGATATCTCACGTATGTACTACCTTGCTTCGTCAATTTCGTTCAAGCTTTCCTCGGCGTGGCGCATTACTCTACCACAGGTTCGAATCCCATCGGAATAATTGTATGCGGACACTACACACACCAACTGCGCAGAGTCTGATACTATACTTTTCGTATTTTAGGTTTATGTGATATTATAGCCAACGACACATGTTACTGGTTTGAGATTCATGACCTACACAATGTCCCATACAAAGCAGCGGAGGAAATTTGTTTCAATAAAACTTTGGTTCCCGCCCACTTTGAAACCGAAAGCATTTACAATGCGGTGGTGGAAAAGATGAGAATGAAATACAACAAAATTGACGTCGATTTTTGGACGGGGATAATTGTCAATACTAAGGTAATGATTAAATAGGCACGAATTGGACCTATGGACTGTTTCGTTATTATGTTGTTGGCGCTCCAGAAGTATGTGAACCAAGATGGCGGACACCGGAACGTAGTATGTGTACCAGGTTAGGATTGGGCAATAATTTTATTCCAATCTTCCTGATTTTAGTTCTATTACGAGTTCGGCGACTAGCCAAGTGGCTGCCATAGTATTTGTACCTGATATTATTGCCTAACGCCTAACCCTAACCTGGTACACAGTTCTATTACGAGTTCGGGAACTAGCCAAGTGGCTGCTATAGTATTTGTACCTGATATTACTGTCTAACCCTAACCTGGTGCACAGACTACGTTCCGGTGTCTGTCGATGCCAACTAATGATTAAATATTTATTTCAGACGGGGGCTATCACTTCACAAGACTCTTTCATAAAGTGGGGTCCAGGAACACCCATATTAGGAGGAACGTCGAATCTACCGAATGTTTTTCTTTACGTGTACTATAACCCCGATGTCGTAGGAATGGTAAATATGACACCTGATATTAATTTAGATGGTGTTATTTGTCAACGCCAACAAGCTGGTACGTAATGAAAAACAAACGAGAGAGCAATGCTTATATATATGGACACGAAAGCTAAAACGTAATGGATCTTTCCAAACTTTGACCCTCGGAAAATTCTCCCTATACTTTACCATTGCAAAATTGTCAAGGCTATTTTAGGAGCGCTTTTGCGAGTTGGCGTCTGTAAAATGGGGTATGTGTTCCAAACCATCATTATGATTCATCGCATACAACAATCTGTTTTTTGAAAGTACCGGTAAAGAATTTCAGGCTAGTCTATCCCAGCTACACTAATTTTTATTACTGCAATTAAATTAAAACTCCTAGAAAGACAGAGTGATCATTGAATTATCTGATTTTTATTTAAGTTCCCAAAACCCAACTTAAAACTAACGAATAGAGTTCAAAAACGCGAAAACGAGGTAATGTTTTAGGGATAAATTTGTTTTTTCAAGTAAAATTTATAAAAAGACTAAAAATTGCTTATTTCGAAATTCTCCAAATTTATAAATTAGATCGATAAAGGGCCCGTTGTAATTATACAACAGTTGCCAACCAAAAATATAATTGGATCGATGACACCAGATGCTAATTAGTATTCCAACCCGAATCGATAACCCTAATGGAATCGATATCACCATACGCGCATACGTATATAAGGTTTCAATTGGATATTTGGAGGGGTAAGGTATTGAAGAAGTCATGTATTGAGAGGTCTTGTATTAAGAGTCAAGTCGTCCGGATCGGTGTCGTGTCGTCATGTCTTTATCGTTTGTTCTCCGTGTCTATCTACAACATTAAATTACGTCAACAACATGTTCTTATATGCTACACTGTTTTTATTGGCTAAAATGTTTACAATCACGCTTGAAAATCTGTCTGAGTGAGAAAAGTGTCTGAGCGGATGCGAGAAGGGGGCATTGTTGCGTCACTTTTTGCATGTTGCTGATTGGCCAATGTTAAGAAGTAAACAAGGAAGTCGATGCTCGGGGAAAGGTCCATAGTATGGGTATGCAATCTGCCACAGTTGACTACCCGTACCGTAACATTCATGACTGACCACCATTTTCAACTAACGCGACGCAAACCGCCCAATTTCTAATTTCAATGACGTCATCGCGCCAAAAAAAACGAATTCCGAAGAGCCTGCAGAAATTTTTGAAATAAATTAAAGCAATAGTCTTCTAGTGAAAAATACAATATTTACCCACCGCAAATTTCGAAGCAATTGGTCCTGTAGTTGATGAGAAAAGAGATTTTTTCATAACAAGAAAAAGAAAACCAACAGCCACATAATAACAAAACGATCCAATGGGTACATTTCGTGTCCAATAACAAAACGATTCATGAGCATGCTTGGAGTACAAGGTCGTATCGTTGTCTCTCAGCGATACACCGAAAATTGTTTTGTTTATAATTTATATACGTATGCATATTTTGTGTTTTCTTGGTTTGGCAAATAAAACTCTCTCTAAAAAATAGGTGTAACAGTCGAAGGCAGATAAGAAAGGTCGTTTTAAAAAGTCGACTCACAAGAAAAATCGCGCGGCCCGCGAAACCAGTTTTAAAACATTTTGCGTCCGAGAAGAATTTAAAAAATGCTTAAATGTCCGAAATCCGGAATTTTACTGCATCTGCAATCGTACTGTGCACACTGCTAATACAGAACAGTGTTATTTCGTACCATGCGCATATTTTTTACTACGAGCTCATGAAAATAGTCATGCACTGTCCGGAATTTTGCTTTTTCAAATATGGTAACCCTACCCTAATCCCATTCTAGCTATTTCTGTTTTTATCTCTTTCCATGAGGTAACAATGCCTACAGCTAGCTTGGGAGAAGCGAATTACCAATGTCTCAAAATCGATAATCAAAATTTTTGTGCGTGCTACTGCTAGGAAGCTCATGTAAAATGAAGGTGCGGCCCGCGGTTTCACCCAATTATTTGTATCTGAACCTCTTGTATTAAAGGTTGCACACTTCTGTTTTTATAGAAAACTTTCACTCATTATTTGAAAGTATGAAATTCCGACCCCAGCCTTGTGGCTATGACTTCAAAACATGTCGGTAATCCCGTAGTGTGTGTACCATGTTAGGGCCTAATTTTATTCCGATTTTCTTTATTTTAGTTCTATTACGAGTTCGGGGACTGTATGTGTTCGCAAATGGAATATACCGCCTGCCGATAGGTTTCAGTTCCTTTACACAACTTGATGTAAAATAGGCGAATTAGTTAACTCCATATTGGTACACACACTTCTGGAGCTCCAACATGTCAAACTGACTTCACCCCCTTGGTAATGATCAGTTTAGGATTTACATATTTATCCTAGGGGGAAGGAGAGCCGATAATACAGCTTAACCATATGACGAACCACGGCCTCTCGTTTGGTTACCATTCGGCGAGGAGTACAGCAATCCTCTCGCACTTAACTACGAACCCACGCAGAGTAATCGGATTTGCGGTGGCGAGCGTATTCCTAATGCTTAGCATGAGCCACACCACAGCTTCTCAAGTCTGACTATTTATCAGCAAAGCCGTCTTCACAAAGAATCAAATTATTACTTTTCCAATTTCTTGATGTATAATAATAGAAATAACTCGATAACAAGAAAAGTTTAAAATAATGGACAGATGAGAAATAAACAAAATTACAAAAATTAGACATTCAATAAGATGAATCGAAGAAAATGTTAAATAATGAATATCTGAAAACTGAGCATGACCTGGCGGTAAAGTACAGGAAGAATATGACGTGATGTTGAGCATAATTCTACAGTCGTGAATAGGGATGGTCACAACAGAATATTTTACTATTCTAGAATACTTGAATCAAATCCAGAATTTACATTTTCCTGATGATGTAATAACTTTGTAATGTGGCTTGTAATTTAATATCAAATGGCGTAATAGTACAACTTACGGTACTACTGGCAATTCTCACATTGAGAAGTAGAGAATCATTCTGCAGTTCTGAATTTCAATTTGATTGCTGTGACGAGGCTATTCCAAACCAGACAGTTATATTTTAAAGGGACATCACTGCTATAAACAAAATTTATGGACAGAATTTTGCCACAGGAATTGACATAAACACAGCAATAGGTCACTGTTCAGTATATCACGAATTCAAACAGTAATTCTGTCAAGATTATATTAAAACTTGATTTAGTTAGGTTACCAAGCACTTCACTACCAAGATTTTTGAAATTGAAATTGGTGATTCACCTATATGGTTCGAAAAGGTAACATTAATTCTGAGTTGCAATGAATATATTATAAGGTGAGTGGCGAGTTTCACATGATTTGATGCCTCATGGGAAATGTTCAGAATAAGTAGAACAAAAACAAATAACCGAACTAAAACAAGAATGATTTTATTGTTTATCAACGTTCCAAGAACAAATAACTAGAACTAAAACAAGAACGAGTTCATTGTTTATCAACATTCCAAGAATGGATTTGTGCGAACGCCCTGAATCCCATCCCAGGATTTCAACTGCAATGCATCATGCCTAGAATCAATTACTCCTAAAAGAGTAAATTTAAGCAAAAAATGATCATTCTATCTCGGACACTTGCTAGGTTCTAATACACCAGTAAAAATATTCACTCATTAAATGGAAAAGGATACAAAAATTTACAAGATTTTGAATTAAAAATACAATAAATAGGATAAGAGGAAAACGAAATAACATCTATTCAAAAAACGAAAATGAATCCAAAAAAGGAGACGCGAGAAAAAATGATATAAAAAAAGATAACCTGGGAACATGATAAAATATAAAACAAATAATTTGGATTTCGCATTGAAGGTCGCCAGATTTGAATGTAGTATTTGGTAGAAGTACCGGTACCTAAGCTGTGAGTTATGTGCCATCCAACTCTCAAGTCGAACCAATCACTGAATTAACTATCACTGGTGATTACCTGTGTCCAATGGTAACTTGAGTATTGGGTAGGATTGTTATAATCTAAGAAGCTATTTTGAGAGTGAATGCTGTAATTTTGAACATAATTTTCATTAAAAATTTTCCAAATTCATAGCTATGGTGTAAATTTCAAAGCCAATTGTTGCTACTTCATCACATTTATAACAAAACGAGTGTTTTTCGCGTACAATGAATGGTTAGGAAGAAATTACTTTTATTCAAATACAAAATCTGAAAAATACCTACAATCCATATTATTACAATTTTTTTTCACCATGCTTGCTTCATAGTTTAGTATAGCAAGAACACAAACAACCTCAGCCTTAGGTATGTAAGAATAATTAATCATCAAGAAGATTACAAGATTACTTCTAAATTACCTATTTATCGAACCAAACAAGGAAAAAGAATCATAGTAACAATTTTTACTCCAGTATTGATATAAAATAAAGTAAATACAATAACGGACAGTGAGAAACAGGTGAAATATATGCTCAAAGATTAATATCATAACTTTCCTTGAATGTCGCGGGAAACACAAGACATAGGCAGCTCAATATCTATGACTAGGACACACTTGAGAAAGCCAAGAGCAGCCTTTAGTGTCCTGTAAAGATCTCGAAGTTATTTCAGAACAGAAATATCTCTGTGGAATGGAATTTCGAAAATGTTATGGGAAAAATTATTGACATCGAATTCTGATTAACTAAATTGGTTACAAAATAAAATCAATAATGTCACGAAAATTTAGTCAAAAAGAATCAGGAAGGGAATTCAATAAGACATTTATTTACAAAAAATTTGTATATTCACTTTGGTAATATAGGACACACGGTTTTATTGCTCAGATCCCAAAATTGAATCATTGAGATTTCTGGCAACAGGGTTCAATATAAAGAAACAAAAGAAAAATCAGAGCAGTACAAAATATCCATACATTTAAACAAAGTAAGATTGCACATACTACACTGTCTTGTGCTAGATAGGCCTAAGTAGCATCACATAAATCCCGAAAGATTCTGTACAGAATGTTTCAATCCTGTTTCCAACATAGTATAATGAAAACATTGTAAACTTGCTATTGAGAAAATACAGGTTTGTCGCTAGAACAGCAGAGAATTTGGAGGTCGAATGAGATCACGAATAAAATTTGTAAAGGTGTAGGTTGAATTGGAAGGATATCCAACAAATTGATATTTAAAACAAAACGCTTGCAGTGCACCATGAGCTTGGACTTCTGGGTTAAGACACTGCTCTGAAGTGCACAAACGACATTTTTAGCATCTATGAGTGTGATGAAACACACTCCTTTAAAAAACTGTGTTAAAGTTATTCTTTGTAAATATAAATAGTTGTTTGACAAATATTCTGTTTTTGTATATCGTCTAGTCAAAAGCCAATGGTATTTTAATCAGAATGCTTTTTTAATAGATTTTTTGTATATTGTCGTACTTATCAGACTAATTTCAATCCCATTACGATCATAGTATATAGGAAAGAATATCAAATTTATGAATTATTTTATCAATATGAATCTCCTTTGCATACAAGATCGTTCCAAGGGATTCACTTCATTGAATATTTCAACCAGACAAAATTAAATCTTAAGTGCTTTTCCTGATCCCTAAGTTATTTCTAATGATTCATTGTATAATGTCCTATTTTAGACTAGTCTCATATTTGTTCCAGAGTAAAATTTTCCAAACACAGTAGAAGCATTATTTCCGATACCGTTATATCTTTTCAAATATAATTTAATACTCGTGGAAGACGGGTTCAAAAAGGGTCTAACAAAAAAATTATTGGTAACGTGAAAAGGTTTTAACGAATAATGCCAGATTATAAATATAGGAAAATATTGTTTTCATAGAATTAAATCAACTTGTATCAGTAATAACAAGTTAAACTGTATTTCTAGAATCCTCAGGACATAAAATTTGGTGATTATCCTATATGGTCTCGTAATTTTATATCAATTTTCAGTTGTAAAGGATATATGGCAGTAGTTCTCAACTATTTATGTCTCATGGCCCCCTTCCGGAAGCCTTTGGCACTCATGGCCCCCATATTGATCATTCCAGTAGTATTTCTAGTGTTACTTTGATTGGTAGATTCTAAATCTCATTATGTTCAAACAACTCATGCTCAACGAAGTGAAAACATTTTGTGAAATAGCCTTATCAAGTAATGATACTAGGAAGAACAGGGAGTTTTCTTGTAGAGTGAAGTAAAGGTACTCCTGAAGTATGCGCACCAAGATGTCCCAGCATTGTGGCCACCCACCAACTGCTCTTCGGCCCCTTTGGAGAGTCACGGGGGCCCGGTTGGGAACAGCTGATATATGGTGAGCATGATTTGATGTTTCATAATTAACCATGGTCAGATATTTTTCAAGCAGCTTCTAGATTTATACTGAAGGCAGAAAAAAGGGGTTTATTCCTAATTAGGCTCTTAAAGTCCATGCACAATTTCACTGTTTCAATATAATGCAAATAAAATGATAGGAATTTATAGATGGTTGAAGAGAAAACCACGCAGATGGTCAGTCATATCGGCTTTCTGATTCTAACTAGACATCAGTCAGAATTCTGACTACTATCTGCATATTATAACTTTTAAAACGTGATATTTGCTTCTTTTGTAAAAATTGAATTGATGACATCATCATGTTGCCGTAGGAACATAGTTTTTCAAAATCTGCAGAGCAAGTTGGAGATTGTTTTTCGCGACGGAAAGTGCACGCATGACGTCACTGAACGAGTATCCTAAATTCATCAGTTCAGCAATATCCTCATCTGATATGTTGCATTGAGAGGCGTCGGCTGCAGTGGGTGTGCCTAGGGCGTGTCTTCTAAGTGAAGGAGAGGATGACGAAAGCCTGCGTTGGGGCACTGGGGGCCCGGGGTTACTTTTAGGCGGTCTGGGAGGCGGGACTAATGATCCGACATCTGAGGAAAACGGTTGATCTGAGTCACGTATCATAGCAGGGTGTGGTTTAGCAGGACGGGGAGGGGCTTGATCCTGGGGTGGGGTGTTAAAATCAAAACGAGATGAGGGGCTAGCGGTTCTGGGGCTTAGTGGAGGAGGAGCCTCACAAGAAAGAACATGGTTATGTCGAAGTGGAATTTTATTTTGTGGGGGCAAAGGTGGGGCTGACCCAAACGCACCCCTGGACTGATGAGGAGTAGCTGTAGAAGTGGGGGCATTCAAAGGGGGTAATGGCGGAGGGCCGAGAGGAGGAGAGGGGGGTCTGGCAGCCCCAAGACTTTGTGGTGGACGCGGTGGGACTGTGGGTGGCTTTTCTCCTTCTTTCTCAAGATATGAGTCATCGTTGTTGGTCCTGAATGTGAAAGAGATTACAATATAAATATTTACTCAAGGCAAAGGAGTATCTCGGCTATATTATAACATGAAGAATTTTATTTAAAAATTAAGTCACAACTACTGGCAGGTCAGGGCCTAAAGGTACTCCAGTCGTGATGGCCTAGTGATCAGAGTGTTTGGCAATGCACAGAGCTATGTAGTGTGAAAACACTGTATTCATTATTAATTTCTCCAGTCCAAGTATTAATAATTCTTATAAGACTTCAACATTTTAATCATGAAATGGATCCCAAGGCCCTTTGATACCGTATTTCCCGGTGATTAAGTCTACCCGGTAAATAAGACGAGGCCCGTTTTTGAGCCTGAAAAATGAGTTTTTGCATATAACCTGCCAATAAGTCGGGGGTAGTAAAATCGCATCAACATCAGAATCTCAAATTTCCATGCAATGCCTTTTAAGCGGTTGCCGCGTTTGCGCATTGGTTAAAATGGCCTATAATGACATTTTCTTGTAGCATAATATTCAATCTATAATAAATACAGGAATTCAAACTGTCTTTAAATTTTAATCTAATTGTGTTCAACTCGCGATTGCGTCCACCATAAAAGAACATTACCTAATACATGATAAGGCGACACCAAAAAAATGAAAATTATCATACTGGCCTAATGAGACGACCCCCACCCCCCGGAATCAGGCCAAAAATTTGGGTCTAGAAAAGCGACTTATTCGCCGGGAAATACAGTAATTCAGCAGATTGTCAGGCGCTCCAGAAGTATGTGTACCAATATTGAAGTAACTAATTTTGTTGGCCTACTCTACATCAAGTTGTGTAAGGGGACTGAAACCTATAGGCAAGGGGCATATTTACTTGGCTAACAGAGACAGTCTCCAAACTCTTGAAATAGAACCAAAATAAGGAAAATCGGAATAAAATGATGGCCTAACCCTAACCTGGTACATACACTATGGGAGTATCGATTGTCATGTTTAGATTTTTATGATTAATTAAAAGTATAACTAACCTTCCTCCATTCCAATCGTACTCGCTTGGAACTCTTCTTCTCACCCCAGAAGCTGAAACAGCTGTTGATGCTGATGCCGTGGTTGGGATTGTTGGAACTTGAGCAGTAGAGGTCATAGGGTTAGAGTTCGAAGGTCGTGGTATGAGAGGAGGAGGAACAATGTCGCTTGCATAGTCATAAACACCTGAGAAATCACCACTGATACCAAGACGAGGCATGCTCTGAAGAGAGAATAAAATAATTAAACGTTACTCCGCTCAACGAGACAGTAAAGTTGGGGCAAAAGTTTATGACAGACTCTAAACTCCCAATTTATTTTAAAACGACTTAGACTGTACGAAACCAAATAATATAAATGACAAAAGCTTCTACGTAGCCTATACACAATTTTTGGCGCTCCAGGAGTGTATGTACCAATATGGAGGTAACTAATTTCGCCTACTTTACATCAAGTTGTGTGAAGGGATTGAAACTTATGAGCAGGGGTATATTCACTTGTCTAACACAGACAGTCCCCGAACTCGTAATAGAACTAAAATAAGGAGAGTCAGAATAAAATTATGGCCTAACTCTAATCCTGCACACACACTACGGGAGTACCAAATTTTTTTTGTCTGTTGAGAATGGATTGTCACCTCGATGAACTCCTGACTTTCCGTCAAAAGTTCACCATTAGTAAAAGGCTGACATTCAACTTGAGTGTTTAAAATAACAACACAGGTTAGTATTCTAATATCCCTATAATTGTGGCTTTTTTCTCCTATTACACCATTAAATACACACCTGCTTTGAGAGAATTAACAAATAATACTTACATTTCCATGCCCATTAGTAGATGTCTGTCTTTCATATAATGGTCCATTCATTGGATGTACGGGCCTTCTGTCTCGCACTGAAAATAAAGTATGGGTTATTTCATACTGTAGTTATGGACAATTGCAAGGCAATGGCAACCCAAGCAAGGTAAAAGTAAAACAACAAAGATATTCGTATGAAAAGGCATTTTTCAACATTCACTGACTTCTAGATGTATGATACATGGCATGTGTGTCTAAAGACGACGATACTTGGAAAATGGATTTTTAACATTTTATAAATAAATCTTGTTTTTTATATGATATTATATATTTTATGATGATAAAGTAATAGTCAATGTATAAGTGCTATTTCAATACATATGTCTTTTTTTTCGTCAACTCTGTCCGATAGCAATTTGGCCACTTTTGAGTGCGGGCCTCGGCTATGATGAACTTATACTGAAAAAGGGATACATGTAAAGAACCATTCATCCTATCACAATTATTAGTCTCTGCTATTAAAATTAGTGAATAAAAGTTCATGTCGAAATAATTTATTGGAAAATTAAATTGTTATTTCTCAGTAGTTAAATATACAAGGTTAGAAATGAAAATAAATTCAATGTGAATTTAGTCAAGGATCCCATATTTAAAGATAGGAGATTCGGAATAGATTATAAATGTGAAATTACAAGAGATTTGGCTCAATCGAAATAATAATGTTTTGAATGTGAATAACTTTTGACAGACTAAGGATTGATTCTGTGGCAATTTTACCGAACCAAATCACCCAAATAAATCCCCCTATTTATAAGTAGTTTTCGCACTTTCTTTCTACACAAGCAGAAATTGATACTTCAAGGATATATTATTTTTAAAAAAAAAAATCTTCCAGGCTCTGCACTGCCTCAACAATTTGTATGGAGCGTGGGGGTCTGACCGTAAGATGTACAAACTGACTTCACAACAATAAAAAAAGGTCTAGCGCTGTAAACAGTGGTAAGCTGTAGCCGGAACGCACCGGAGCGTCGTTCCTGTTGTTGAATATTTTATTGGATTTGCGTTCCTGTTGTTGAAATAAAATTATATATTGGGAAGTTTAGTTTATCTGGTAAACTATGTTATTAACTGTAAGTTTATTGGAGCAGACGAATAATTAGTACAGCCATATATATATCCTCATTGATTTAATGTAGCTCTATCTTAGGAGAGACCAAATTTCTGTGAGCTTCCGCAGATGTGTTGTACGGTGAGTTTCGGTTGTTATGATTTTCCCAGCTGGCTGTAACCACCAGGCTATCATACATCCCAAACAATCACAAACCAGATTCGGGAATATAGGGATTGAAGACTTTAAGGTAGAGTTCCAGAAACACCAGACACAATTAGTACTACAAGGAAGTATAAATTGACATGCAACCCCAAGAGATCATCTATATTTTAGAAGTTGGGTCTGCCACACCCGCATACACCCTAATGCTAAAATAAGGCATATTGTATGATGTCTGGGCAGCACAATTCATCATAAAATACACTTAGTTTGGTACTCCTGAGGTATGCGCACCAAGATGTCGCACAACCTGAACCCTAACCTGGTACACAACCTGACTTCAGGTTGTGCGCCATCTTGGTGCGCATACTTCAGGAGGTCCCCTAATTTAGTATAAATGAGAACAAATAAATTCTGCCGGAAACAAGTTAGCAAAGGTGTCTGGGCAGCACAATTTATCGTAAAATACACCTAGTTTAGTATAAAAAAGAACAAGTAAATTCCGCCGGATACAAGTTAGCAAAGAAGAAAGCATGCATCCAATATTTTGAGTTGCTCACTTGCAGAGACACAGTCAAAAATATTGGAGATAGGCCTTTGACGAGGTTGATGGGAAGACAAACCACCTGATGTACGATCCCTGCGTCTGAGATTCATTGGCGACGTGTTAGGTGACAAGCTGGATGGCTGAAAAATATTGAACAGAGATTGGTTGATTACCAAATTTACCAGCTAATAAATCGACCAGGAAAATAAAAGCAGACCACTAATAATTTTAGCACTAAATATGATGGTCTTTCCATTTTGAAACCCTATGAGTTGGCGCAAAAAAGTTTCGTTGCTTCTTTTCTCTGTTTGTCAGTTAAGAACAATGCAGTTTTGGATGCACGTTGGCAGATTTGGTTTCGACTAATCCGCAATAACTATGATATTTTGAGTAAAGCAACCCACAATTTAGAATGACATTATTTCTAGCAAGCACATGTGTGCCCCATTTTCCTAGTTTTGTTGCATGCTTTTGATCGTGACGCACACGCAGTAGAAAAATGTGTTAAATGGAACTTTCTCTCCCTTCCTGAGAAGATATAAGAACCAAGCATACATAGGCTGGGTAGACAGCAACGCATAAAATTGGTAAACAACAGGCTAAAAGCAAAGTGGGTTACGGCCCATCAATGATAATTTAAAAAGAGTTGTGTATATTTAACAATTGCAACGACCATATTTATTCTAACGATGAAATAATTAAAAGTGCCATATTAAAATGGTGTTAGTGGGCTTGGGCAGGCTCCAGGACTACAATCAGATTCCCACTTCATGACATTGAATAAAAATTATGTAATTCATTATGTATAAATGTATATAAAGTTCATTTCGTTAAGTATCATTTTAGCATTATCATCATCAGCATCTGCTGGCACAGTACACTATTGGGTACTCCCGTAGTATGCGAACCAAGATGGCGTACACCGGAACATAGTATGTGTACCAGGTTAGGGTTAGGCCAGGGATTCCCAAACCAGGGGTCGCGACCCCAAATTGGGTCAGAGTGATAAGTAGATAGGGTCGCAAACAGGTCTTGAGGTCGGTGGGGTCGCTGAGGTACGGTAGAGGATGGATGTACAAAACATCTAAAATTTGACAAACCATGTTAAATTTAGCAGTTTACTGGCTTACTGTAAAACAGGCCCATAGGCATCGCTCTATGCTTATGCTATAGAAAATGTAGGTGCTTATTGTGACATCACTGTTTGGTTTTAGCTTATTTTACTCAGTACCACCACATCACCGAACTCAAAAGTCAGTGAATGAAGCTCTTATGTTTCATGGAAAATAAACATATTGACCTGAGGAAAAAGCTTGGGAACCCCTGGGTTAGGCCATCATTTTATTCCAATTTTCCTTATTTTTGTTCTCTTACGAGTTCGGGGACTCGACAAGTGACTCCCGTAATCTTTGTACCTGAAATTATGGCCTAACCATGGTACCTATACCTGGTACATATACTACGTTCCGGTGTCCGCCATCTTGGTTCACTTACTACAGGAGTACAAACTATTGTATAAGCAGGTCCTATTGCATAAATAGGTACTGTATAATTGCCTACCAAAATTATATGCATAATTTATCAAAGTACTTTTCTCCTAAATAAATTGAAAATAAACCATTGAAAATGTCCTAATACCAAACATAGTTACATAACTAGCTTTATTTCAGCAATAAAAATTAACTAATACCTGAATGGCAACAGTAATCCTTAAATCTCCATTGTCAATATCAGAACTTCTTGATGTCACATGAAAACTAGGTGGTTCTGGCATACTGAACACACAATAGAAACAATCATATTAGTTGGGTGGCATTATTTGAGAGTAATCCCGTAGTGTGTGTACTGAGTGAGTTCGAGGACTGTCTATGTTAGCCAAGTAAATGAATATACATACCCCTTGTCCATAAGCTTCAGTCCCTTCACACAAGTTGATGTGAAGTAGGCAAACAAAATCAGTACCGCCATATTGGTACACATACTTCTTACAGAGTATTATTCAAAACAATTGGGTCCTTTATTCGAGCTATTTGATTTTTTTCCTATGACATATTTATAGTCTTCCGCTCTGAACAAGTATCTTAACGAGAATATCGGTCAGAGACCGAAGACTTATCGATCGAAACTGCGGTTTCGATTCATGACTCTATATTGACACCACTTGTCCAACTAATTAATTAATAACTCGCTAATTATACGGCATAATTCATCCAAAATCAATAGGCTTCTGGTCCGAGATATGATGAATGCAAGTAACAAGCAGCCAATGGTAGATAAGGAGCTACGCTAATTTAAAATTACAAGAATCTACCCCGTCCTTGCCACCTACTCTATTACACCCTGGGTGAGATGGGCGGCATGGGATTTGACCCTGAGATGCCGCCATAGTTATGTCTAATGCTTTAGCCCAGTGGTTGTCAAACAATGAGGCGCGGCCCACAAGGAGTGCGTAGACAATTTTGTGAGGGGCGTGGAGCTAATTAAAAATATTCGTTAGATTTTATCTTGCCCGGCTCATTTTAGAATTTTTTTATTATAAAAACTTTTCATTTATTTCATTAATTACGTTCCATCTTTGTATTTTCAAAGTGTTTTTTAATAAAACATACTTTCGCCTTACTATCTGTTGTTAGCTAGTTATTTTTGAGATGAGGTTCGAGACTTTTCAAATTCTAAAAAGGGGGCACGGCATAAAAAGTTTGAGAACCACTGCTTTAGTCACAAGGCCACCAAGCTCAAAAATGCCAAAGAGTTAATATTGCGTTATTGGATTTTCTTCAGACCTCGTTTTTATTATTATTTTAAATCATCCCCAAACTTGAAAACTTTCTATATCAAATATAACTAATTATTAATGTACTGGTACTGCTATTTTTAATTCATCTCTGATAAATAGAATGACTGAGTTGTTTACCTAAATTTTTATAAAACAATTTGTCATAAATAGATCAAAACCATACCTTGTTGTAGCTTGATCACTTATGAGCGGGGAATGCGAATTTGGTCGTGGAGGAACAACAGGACTTGCCAGTGTGTTGGTCGGGCTCGACTGAAAAAAAATACTCCGATGGTCAATGGTTTCTTACATTATTACAGAGTTTTTCCCCGAAAATAACACAGGGTCTCATCTTGGGGATGTCATTTATTTTCATTTTTCAAAAACAAAATTACAAAGTACATGATTACGAGATTTTCAAATAAATAAAATATGAAAACTGATATCTATTTACTTCTAAATACCCCGTTTTCCTCTCTCACACATTTTGATTAATCATTTAAAACGTGTAGAAGAGATTCTTGCTATCGACTAGGTCAAAAACAATTTTGCACTATCGAATAGGTCTCATTTTAAAGAAAGGGCTTTTCTATATCTCAGTCTAGGTTTTATTCCCGTGGGTATACTCCTACCTAATCTCAAATGGTATCCTTGATTTTATAGTCTGAGTTGAGTATTTTTAAATTATGTGTTTCAACTATTCAAACGAGTTTAAGGCCGTTAGTTTGTATTTTGTATAAGGATCTTATTCAAATCCTTTGCTACAAGAAGGCTTCGTACATCGCCAGTGGCAAAATACAAATTACCGACCTTGAGCTCGTTTAAATAGTTGAAACACATAATTTGAAAAAACTCAACTCAGACTATAAAATCAAGGATTCCATTTAAGATTGAGTAGGAGCATACATTACCGTATTTCCCTGAAAATAAGACCGAGCCTGATTTCTAAAAACCTGGTCGATAGCGCAAGGCGCAAATTTTTTTTCACCTAGTCGATAGCAAGAATCTCTCCTACACATTGTAAATGATCAATCCAAATCGTGTGAGAGAGAAAAACGTGGTATTTATAAGTAAATGGATATCCTATTTTATAACCATAGATATCTAAGGATAGCAAGGAGCTACAATTTTAGTAAGACTAAAATCTTTCCGGTTTGGCATTGCCTGGGTAAGGTGGTGGCACAAAATTTGAATCCCAGATGTGCAACTTGCAATGCCCATTAACGATTTAACCTCTACGGCACCGGACACAAAATTATTCAGATATGAATAAGGCTCTCTCTCTATCTGATATTGAGTTAACATTGGTCGATAAATCATACCCAAGTCTTGGTACTTCCGTAGTATGTGTACCAGGTTAGGGTTAGGCCGTAATTTTATTCCTATTTTCCTTATTTTAGTTCTAGGGGACTCTCTGTGTTAGCCAAGTGAATATCCCTCCTGCCCATATGTTTCAGTTTCTTTACACAACTTGATATAAAGTAGGCGAACAAAATTAGATACCTCCATATTGGTGCACATACTCTTACCTCTGATGATCCAGGAGCAGGTACAATAGCATTTGGAGCAGTTGCAGAAGCGAGAGGTATCGTAGGTGAATCTCTTCCATTAGATATGATTGTAGGAGTTGTTGAACTAACTGCGATTGATGCCTGGAGACTTGGTTGTGGAGGATTCCTACGAGGCATATTTGGTGATGGAGCTACTGCACGAGGCTGCTGTGTAACAGAAAAATTGAAGTTTAGGTTCTAAAATTTCTAATTGTCAGGTCAGACCGAAGGCTGGAAATGGATGAAAAACATTTGTTACTAAGAGTTTTGAAGGTCTAGGAAAGTTTTTCAAATTATGACACAAAAATTTCTACGTGTCATACAAAAAAATGCTTTTAAATAAATTCCAAAGAAAGTACATTTTTTTATTGTTATAATTTTTTTTTTAATATGTACACATATTTTCAATGCTTTTTTTGAATAAAACATACCCTTGCCTTACCATCTGTTATTTGTAGCTTATTGTTAGGTAGTTATTATCAAAGTAGGGCGCAAGACTTGACAAATTCCAAAAGGGGGCGAGGCTTTCAAAGTTTCAAGAACCACTGTTCTAAAATATCCCAGACTTCAAACATCTACTTCTAACTACCTGAATCTCAAATCCAATCATTCCAAACAAATCTTCTTCTTCATCTTCATCTTTCTTACATGAATCTATAGTCAATTCACTTCTGTAAAGAAACAAAGATTAGTTTGAAAAAATTCACAATATGTACGGATTTGTAAAATTTTAAATACACTCTATACACATAAAGTTAACAAACAAACCAAATAAAATAAGCCAGATTAGCTTGTTAAACTATCCTCACTGATGTACAAAAGCATTTTCATTAACTCAGTAAGAATTAGTGGACATGAATGAATAACAACAGGAAATAGCTGAAAAATGGAAATTAGCCGTTCATGATATGTGTTTTCCCCAAAAATATGACTGGGTCTTATTTCAATTTTCATTCAAAATAACACTAGGGCTTATTTTAAGGGGATGGCATTTATTTTCATTTATCAAGAACAAAATTACAAAGAAGAGAATTGCGAGATTTCCGAATACACAAAATATGAAAACCGATAGCCATTTACTTATAACACGTTTTTACGATTTATTGAAGTTCAACCCCGTTTGAAATGCTAATTTGTGCAAACAAAAAAATTCTGTATCATATACAGCAAATTTTCGCAGCTTGCAAACTCTTTTTAGAAACTCAAGTCAATGAAAAACCATGTTTCCAGCCTCTAGCTGATACGTTCTAAGTTGGCAATTAGAAATTCAAAATCATAATTTGAATTCCTTGCTACACCTCTGTCCGTACAACAACTCCACTAGAATAACCCAAAATGAACATACCCATCATCTTTGCTATTTTCTTCCTCAGATTTTTCACCACTGTATCCATCCTTATGGAAAGGTTCGATCACTACATTCTCCGTTCCTTTTATTTCACAACGACAAAATGGACAAGTTGGAGATGAAGAATTATCCATTTCCTGAAAAAGGAACGATTATTGAAGTTGATCTTCACAAAAATGAAATTTCAGAATATTAATTGGCATTAGTGCTAAGTGTTTTGATTTGACTAGAAACACTAGTCCTGACTTGGGCAAACTAAGACCTGCGGTCAAATCCAGCAGGTTGCGTTATTTCATCTGCCTGCCTGATGCTGCCTCAACCAAAATAAAACCAAATTTTGATGTTTAAGCTAAAAATAGCTCAAGACATTTGTTTAGATTGCGATTAAATTTAGTTTTGGCGCGAGGCTTCTTGCTTATGCAACATTGCGTCGGCCCCGGGTTCAAAATCCTTGCCCACCCCTGCAATGGAGCCATTCCAAAATGACTCCAGCTCCAAATTTTGTAAAAATCAAATGCTGATAAAACAACTTTAGCATATGCTAGATATCTTTTTAATAAGAACGCTTGATAAATTCGATGCATTTTAAGTTTTATAAAAAATTAACTTCTTTCGTCACTGTCAAAAATCCCACTCAATGAGATTCAGAAATTCAACTCCGACTTCCGAGAGTTCTTTTGGCCCCAACTCTGGAAAAACATTTCATAATCAGACCCCGTTCACGACTCTTGCAACCTCTCACATAATGATTGAAATGCAGCTAACACATACCTGCCAAGATTCCAGGCATATTTTACACATGAGATGACCACAAGGTTCAATTCTGACATCTTTATTGTTTTCTGCACAGATTTTACAGAGTTGAAAGGTCGATCCCATTTCGCAGTAGAGTTCGTATTGCTCCTCAGTAACTCGTATCGTTTCATTATCGGATTCAGCAACAAGAGATGATAGTTCAGGATTGGTTGGACGTCCATCAGGAAAGAGATAGCTGGAACAAGGAAAGATTAAAGGATTAGGATAACACGATGATTGCAGCATGGGGATATTTTCATAAGGTCAAACAATATCATGAATACATGGGTATAGGTTGAATTGGAACAATATCCTACGAGTTAACCTTCAAAATGCCACAAAAGCTTGTACTTCTAGGTTTCGACACTGCTCTGAATTGCCAGGGCAACAAAAAAACAAATATATGTTAGGCAAATTTTCTGTTTTTCAAGAGACCATATTTTATATTTGATGGTTTATTTTACCTCATTTCATAAATAGAAAATAAGAAACTCACAACCCTTCTTTCTTTCCATCCAATAAAGCTTGACAAAGTGATTTATTCTGTGGAATTGTCTGCAATATCTGACCATTCAAAGTAACATAACCAACTGCCCATTGACCAAGTCTCGTGCAGCTTAATCGGAAGATGTAACTGTAACAAAAAGAATTGATATTATTAACAGATTGTGTTCTCTATTCTTAAAATTTTAAATTTTTAGGCTTTCAGCCTAACCAGGTCTTTCACAAAGAGCCAATGATAAATATGCATGGGACTACCAATTTAGAGGGACCAGAATGTTTCCTGTCCGGCATTGTCTACCCAATTTGTTGTACCAGATATACTCGCCGATCGGTCGCGCCATCGTATAGGTCACACTATTGGTTTGACACCTGTGAGCGATAATAAGTGCCTGTACGCAAGTGCAGACCATACGATTTTTATGAATAACCAACTTGTGGCGATTTGCACTTATGTCGAGCGGATTAGTCGCACCTATATTTTTAAAAAAAAAATAAGAAAAAATTGCGACCTATCTGCGAGTATATACGGTACCCTCTGTTAACTGGGCTCTCATGATGGCCTTTTCATACTACCCTGACAGCAAAAAACTGTCACAAACAGTAACAGATGGCTACCACCGTATATTGAGGTAATGCTATTTCACCAGGCACCTATACCATTAGCAGGGGCTAATTGACCAATTTTGTCTGGTTGATAAAGATTAAAGTATTTCACTGAAACTCCCAGCTTCAAGGATAAAAATGGAGAAAACTTGAAAACAAAATCATAATAAATAATCTAGAACATCGCTCTATATATTGTGGATGAACTATTGTGTATGATGAATTCAATTTAATTATAGACATCCCCATCACAATGTCAGTTTTTTTATTGTAGTATGATCATTATTAATCTGTTATGATTGGGATCCTCTGGGTAAAATATGTACAAGTTTACACTTCTACCAGTTTTCTAAACTTCTAAAATACACCAGTTTTTTAAGAGTACAGTGCCAAGTTATTGTGTAATAAACTGAAACAATGTCATTAAAGTATAGTTCCTACTACAGATCAATTGTGGAAAGAGACTAGACTACTCTTTTCTAAAAGTAGTAGGCAAATATTTTAGTAAATTTTATCTCACACATGGTCCATGAGATTAGAAGCACAATTTTATTGGCATTGGAAGCAGAATATAATCAGCGAATCGGTGGAAAACAAATATTTTTTCTCAAAGCGAAAGTTGTTTTTTGATATAAAAGACAAATAGAAACTGCTATTATAGATCAAACAAATGCTCATAAAGATTGATACACATTGATACTGGCGGTTGAATATTCTACTAAAACTAAATATACTAAACTAGTAACTCATTCACATATCAATGACTTTGATTTATTATCTTGGATTTCGATAACTCCCTGCATATAAAGCAAGAACAGTATTCATCACTCTTATACCATCTTGTTCAAGCGTCCTAGTGGCAATGGCTACATATGAATATGAAGTACCCCTGTCTATATAATGATCATGATCATGATAACTCATACATAGTATATCACAATCATGCCTTGTAGCTTTGTAATTACTAGACTATGCAGTGTCAACTATATGTTAAAATGACATAAAAGAAATATTATATTTCAGAACACTCCGATACGCAAATAATTTCTTGAAATTGAGAAAATTTATAATGAGTCCTAAATTTTGAAGTTTCGGTTTACTCCTTTATTTCATGTAGCGCTGTTTCCCAGACTTTCAATGTGGAAGTAAACTCGGGAATTGACTAGTGAATGAAAGATAATACTATACAGTGTGAATAACTCTGGGAATTTCAGTGGCTATTAGTAATTTTGCTTAATAAATGAGTCACTTCTGCGTAAGTGCACATTATTTTGCTTTGAGAAATTCCTTTTAAATACAGAAGATATCTGTAACTAGTAAATGAGTGTGTAAGACCTTGACTAGAGTAGATTTCATACAATAAAAAGACAAGTTCACTACAAAATGAAATCATTGTCACTAGGTCTTCAAAAAAACTATTCAGGGAAAAACTTCTTGGAAAAGAACAAACTGAACAATCATTCATAATGATTGATTATTCCAAGTAAAACTATTTCTGTACGAATAAAATTAGAAAATGTTTAAATAAATAACTTAGTAAGTGAACCATGATCTACTCACCACATGTATATTTTGGGACAGGTTTATGTAGTGCTAAGCCGTTGTAAGTTTCATACCACTAATAAACAAACCATTTAAAATTCAAATGCAATGGTTAGAAGCATCAGAATTATGAGAATGGGGGAATTGAATCATTGTAAATTGATATTTCAAACAGAGACTGTGAATGTGTATTGTATATTATTATCGCTGATATCCTTGTGGTTAAAGAGTTGAATTACGGGTTTATAAATCCTGGGTACAAATACCATGCCCACCTCATTACCCAGGGTGTAATAAATTGAGAATGCCAATCGGAAAGATTTTGATTTTGCTAACAAATGTGAATCCTCTGATCATCTGATGTCTAAGTATGAAACGTTCTCTCTTGTGTAATAGTAAATGCAGTTAGTTTATTATACAGGGTGTCCACCATAAAGTGTCCAATTTTGTTATGAAGTCAGTTCTCAATATATCTTAACCAGACTAGTTGTTTTTTAATCAGTAATTGTTTAAGTATTTTTACTTCATTTAATAAATCTGCGAGGGACAAAACAATATATGGTATCGAGAATTTCCCTTTGCAATTTGAAAAAATTTCAAGACCATTATATATCAAGCATACAGCAAACCTAACATTCAGACCATGTTAAAGCAGCATTACACACCACACTAAAGAAAAATATTTGGCATGAAATTCAAAACAATAACATTAACGCAACTTTGGCAAAAAATCAACAATTTAAAGTGCTTGCATATATGGATATTGTTTATTAATAAATAACAGTCCTGCCATTATAGATAATGTTATGAGTCTTATAACCTCCTAAATATTATCAGGATACAATCATTACTGAACAAAATGTCATTTGCGTGGTGACATCCATTAATATGTAAATCAGAATTCAATAGATGAGTAGATTAATAGTCAGAATAGGTTGGCAATGTCATAATGCAATTTATTAAAAAGGGGAAATGCCTATTATCACACCATACCATTAGTAAATTTTTTCCTGATATTGCACAGGCAGCCACTAATTTAAATGGAACATCAAAAGAAGAATTAGAATATTCTTAACTTATCACAACCTACAGATACTTAATAATCATGAAATAGCTATAGAAAATAATTGACAACACTATCTAATGTAGTTATGCCGTAACAGTTAGGCAAGAAATTACCCACTAGATTACTGCACATCAATGTGTGACATTTCTTTTTCGACAAAACGCCTATATTGTGGCTACAACAGTCAGTCTGTGCCTATATTGTGGCCACAACAGTCAGTCTGGGCCTATCTAGAGGGCGATCTGGTGACTAACATCATTGAAACCTATATTTTATGTCATGATTTTTTGAATTTAAAGAAAGCCATAGTGGTATTGAAAACCTAATGTACAAGCGGAAACAAAACAAAAAATAGAAAAAAATCCAGACATAACAGAGTGTTAGATGATTTCATCATTAATAAGTAATTGATTAGGCCATTAAGTGTTTGGCCCATAATGTGGGAGAGTAATAAGATATTGATCTCTGGTTTCTATTTACTATCTTTTCCCTTGTAGTGAATAACACATGGCCATAGATGTGATAGTCGATCTATGATTTGGATATGATAAGACTATTCAAATATGTCTGATTCAATATGGACAGAAGTAAGATGACTACATTTGACACCCAGACACATTAGGGTCATTTGCAAGCACAAAAGCAAGTTGGTTGGTGTACCAATTCTCAAATTTTCAAGAACCTCGGTCCCGTCCAAAGACTCTTGAACCTGGCCCCCTTGGTTTTCGTTCATAAATTGCTCTTATTAATAAACGCATGTCATCAGTACTTTTATGTGCCATGTTTAATCACAGTCAAATCACTTTAAAATATTTATGTCATCGCGATGGGTATGGTATGAAGTCTCAATCTTTGTGGCCCATTGCTGTTCACTTGTAGTACTCTCAACACATTTCCATAATATTTATGCGTCACGTTTAATATTCACAGTCAATTTACTATAAATTAATAGTATCATGAATGGTAACTAGTGAAGGCCTTCGTTTATGGCCCAAAGACAACCCCAAGCTATGAAGTGCATTCCTAATTTGTTATATACGATTTATATGAATATTATTTTTAGTGTGCTAAAAAAACTACAGACAATTGATTACCACAGCAAATTCTATATCATGTGATGCTGGACAATATGCCATACTGGCAAAAACAGACAAATAAAAGAATTACTGAAAACTGTGGGTCTTGCATTTGGTATTATGATAAAACAATGACACATTGTTCGTCATCACAGACACAGTGCCATAGCAACTGACTCAGTTTCTGTCTGTTTGCTCAGTATTGACTGTGGAGATAATAAAACAAAGAAACGATGACATATGAAATGAATTAATAGCCTCATTCGCTTTTCTAACTGGTTAGCTGGTCCGTTGCCTGATACTATCAGGCTATACAATTTCTCCCATCCTGTCCTGAACATGTTTGTGCTTTTTTCTATCAAACTGATTGGAGTGTTTGGTTGTATTAAGATGATCTTTTCTAATAGTTGGGCTTACATTAGGTGAAATGCATTATGCTTCATTTGAGAACATTGGATTTCTCCAAAGACACTGGTGATCTGTAAAGAATCTGCTCGTCAGACTTCCCAACATATATGGACACCAGACTGGATGCTGTTTTTCCAGTTTTCTATATATCTATGATATATCTTACCCAGCAATGTACTATTAGCTAGCGATATCCAAATCATTCTGAATATGTTTTAACTAAAGTAATAAATAGTGTTTTTAACTGTTAAAATCTTTTATATTTAGCAGTTTTATTGAAAAAATTATGGGCTCGATCAGGTTTGGGCAGAGTTTTTGAACCAGGGGCTAAAACTTTTGCCCACCTAGATTGGCGAGTCATGTCAAAAATGACAAACTTTGAAAAAATTTGGAGATTCCAGAGATTCGGAGTCTGAACTGTGACATGTTGTCACAATTGACTTGCTCTGACTACTTTATATTGTGGACGAAAATGTAGCTGAGTCAGCGATATTATGACTTTCGGGCCATCAATAATTTTCTAGAATGAAACGCGTTACTCTATTTGGGTCTACTCAAGTTAAGATTGAACATACAACGCTCGGTTATCGATTTTCGGATAGTTTCCCCATTCGGAGTATGTACTGCTGAGTTATAGCACGAGGACGCGCATCGAAATACTGCCTTTATTGGTGAGAATTCCTTTTTTCATTAGTTGAAGGAGGAACGTGATGAAATGAACAGAGAGAAGAATCTTTTTATATATGTTGATTGCATTTAAAAATACAAAATAGTGGAAAGCAAGTATCTTTTAATCATGAATGTTAGTAGTGTATGCAAGAAAAATGATTCGATAAAGTCAGTGCGTCAACGAAGAAAGCCGAGTTGAATATTGTGTAGACATGACCCTACAGTCAAAGTTTTTTTATTAACCTGCGACTGGGACTCCAAATAAATTGTAAACTTTCCCAGACTACAAATCCCTGGGATATTTCATTTGTTTTGGGCATTTCTCCTCATACCATCGAAGTAGGGGAGAAATAAGAAATGCATGCAGTTTAAGAGAATATCTCTCCTACCTTCCCGGCTTGTTGATGTATTTCTGTAATCTTGCCTTTACTTCATCATAGGTGAGAAAAGCCATATATCCAGGATGAGTTACTGCAAGCATAATCCAGTTCCGAAGCAAAGTCGACCACGGCTGTATACAGAAATATAAATATTGAAGAAAGTGTTATAATGAAAATATGCAAGGATTGATATTACCTATTTGATATCCTTCGCATGCGAAAACTAAGTTCACAAAAATACATATACTTGATGCACATTCATAGATCAGCAACTCTAAATAGAAGCTCTGCCATTCAGATATGGCAACTGGTACATTTGGAGTGGTTAATTTTTACAAATTCTCCACATAGCCCATTAATTTCAATCCACTAGTCAAAAATTGCATCTCATATACCCATGCCCCCATGTTCAGAACTCAGCAGAAAATGTTTGAAATTATCGTTAAAAGAGAAGTACGACTAACAGTTATTCAGCCATGTTATGCTCATTTATGCACACAAAAAGAAGCTCGTATATCCTATTGACTATTATGTGCATATATTATAGAATTTTCCTATTTTGCAACCCTATGTTAAAAATAAATGTTTTTCCCCATGCACTTTAGGTTATATTGCAGAAATAGAATGCCTTAAGCTTGAAAACCTATGTGATACACTATATCGGGGTAGTCCAAGTTTGCCGGCCTGGCAAGCCACACTATAATTTTTGTATTGTACCGATAATAGGCAGACACTGAAATACCAACACTTTTATTGTCCAAACAAATTATTAGTCATTTATCAAGCTAAAACATGAAAAAATTGCATGCAAAAAAACTCACTAAAGCGTGCAGAAATTTTATTATATCTACATTCAGTGTAAGATTTCAAAATCTTCTTATTAACGGAGAAAATGCCGTTTTAGTTTGTCACCGACACAACTTGCAGACCTGGGTATGGGCCACCCTGCACTATAGATAACATACATAGTCTCACCTGAAACAATCTTGTGAAAACATCAAATTCAAAATTGGAAATATATTCATTGCAAACGAGATCAATTGTAGACTTGAGAGCAATGGATTCAAGTCCTGATGATATTGGATGAACTTTATGAAGTTCTTGACGAAACGTTTTCCAGGGTACAATGGTTCTGTAAATATAGTGGCATTTAGTTGTACTGTGTACAAATATTATCAGAAAATTCAATATCAAGTTGAATGCTTTTACAGGGTGTCCCATAAAGTCCCTTTACAATTTTAATTTTGGTATAAAATCAGTTCTGAATATATCTTATCCAGGTTTGTTGTTTTTTAATTAGTAATTGTTAAAGTATTTTTACTTCATTTAATACATCTGTGTGGGCCAAAACACAATATGGTATTGATAAATTTCCATTACAATTCAATTTTTTTTTAGGACTTTATGGACACCCTATACTTCTTCATTTGAAGGCTATGAGAACAGCAAGAATCTATATACATTTAATAATAAGTTGGGTCTACATTGTTAGAGGATCATATTATAATTGTGTGAATCAGAATCAGTACAAAAAAATTCTGACATTTTTAAAAAAATATCTTATTTTTGAAAAGCAACTAAAAGCGATAAAGATGACAATTATCTTTTGTTCGGATCCTATGCATACCATCTCCCCCAGTGTGTGCCAAATTAGGCAGGTGATTCACAATTGGGAAGACTCCAACAATAAAAAAAAAAGTAGCTTGTTATAAATCATTGCCTGCTTGCACATAACCTTGTTCAGAATGAAAGCCACATAAAAATATGTTAATGCAATAAGATACATTCTTGAATAAAACAGTGTAAGCTATAGAACAGTGTTTCCCAACCTTTTATATGAAGCCCCCCATCTGAAGGCTTTTAGTCCTCATGGTCCCCTTGTTTATCATTTCAGTTGTATTTATAGTGTTACTTTGATTGAAATAACCTTATCAAGCAATGAAACTAATATGGAATGGAAGATTTTCTAGTGAAAGTAAAAACAGCTTAGCGCCTGGCGTGGTGGCTCCATCCAACTAGTCTGTGGCCCTCTTGGTGGGCCATGGGCCGTCAATTAGTAAACGCTGGTATAGAAGAATAGAATAATGATAACAGGAGCATTTTTAATTTATTAACGATCTTACTTATTTCCGAACGTTGTTTTCCAAAACTCTGCTGCGTCCGCTTTTGTTATCCTGTACGATTCCCCAATGAATTTACCATCAGGGAATTCAGCTTTTAATTCGGCAAGCATGTGACTGAATATCAGTGAAAGTTTCGTTAAAGCTCTTCGATACTGAGATGATTCATCAAACATTTTTTCTCTCCCGTCTTTGAACAGTTTATTGGCCTGTGATAGTTGGAAAATAATTATATGTTTTACCAATTTTAGAAATGAGTTGAGTGTCAACAATTTAATTTCGTGCTAATCGATTGGATAGGATAAGATTTACATATTTATCCGGGAGGAGAGGAAAGTCAATAAGATGGGTTGATATATTATATGGTCAACCATGACCTCTTGTTTGGTTACAAGTCCATGTTGGGTATGGGTTTAGTTAGACAGTTAATGGTTTTCGGAAGCATGGACTTGAACCAGCAGTTACATGAACCACCCAACGGCAGATAGGAGTCCAGTAATCCTCTCGCACATAACCATCCTCATATGGGATTCGAACCTGCGAGGGAAAGGTGTGGTGGCGAGCGTATTCCTAACGCTTAGCCCAATGCGCCACACCACCATCATTATATTAATATGGGTGTTTCAAAACGAAAGGGCAAATGTGGAAATTTAGAAAAACCTGAAACTTGGAAAAAAAAAAAAGGTGCTCTTTATTAATAATAATAATGAGCTGGTATGTAGGCATAATTTAGAGCAATATTCGCCAAGTAATTCGATAAAAAGTTACAGAGTGTAAAATCCATCTCATTTCCTTCATTTCCCAAATAGACTACAGTATTTTTTGTGGCCCTTTGGATTAAAGTCCTAGAAAACAATGCTTTATCACAATAGTTTAAATATGTTTGACCACAGAATGGCAAAATTATGTATCTAACTGTTCTGGTAATAATATTTTTAATAAGGGATATGAGACAAGTCGACCACCATAATTTTAATTTTGTATAGTTTCTCCTAGTAGCTGCAAACTTTTAATTAAGTGGCCATTTGTGATGTTCATATAAGATGATTGCTTTCACTTCAAAGAGTGTGTCTGAACAGGTACTCTGAACATGTTGAAGCAAATTGTTATAAAATTGAACAAATGTAGTTTGTTTGAGGGATTAGAGTCACAAAACATCCTATTCATATCCCAATAAATACAACATCAATCTAGATTTCAAAGAATATTAATAACAGGCTCTGGTTACTTCAAGACGTCATTTAAACAAAGCAAATGTATCAGAAATGATATCAAATATAATATAAAGTGTTTAATCGCTGAATGGAAGATATAATGTTACAGATAAAACAGTCCGAATTGCTAAGGATTTTGTTATTGAATTAGAAGCTAAGAAACAGCAAATTATTTTGTACCAGGAAGTTTGTTGATCTTATATCTTTATTATTTTATGACTAAACAAAACATTTTACACATTTTACATAATTAACAACCCGAGCTATATCCCAATTGATAATAGCAATATTATTTTAAGTTAATTATGTCATGATAATAAATTAAGTGTGTTTCTCATTTGGAGCTCTGGTACACCCATTTTATACATCTCTGCACAAAATAATATTTTTCGAACATTGGCAAATAGGACACTAGGTTTATGACTGAAAATGCATTTGCCAAAAACAAAATTGATATATGATGAAGTAGTATACTTCGTAATAAAAATCTAGAACCTAATATAATAATATAACCACAATAGAAAACTGGAGACACCAAAGTAAGAAGAAGCAGTTACACACTTAACAAACAATGTATTCGAGTTAACCAGTTGACATTTATTCACATTTACACTTAAATAAAACCAGTGCACTCAATTTTTCGACCAACTTCAATCTCACCTGTTTACATTTCTTTATCAAATTATCCAGAAATATCCTGAAATACTCGCAATCATTCAGTACTTGCAGTCGATTTTCGTATCTGTTGGAATAGAATAATATTGGTTAATAAAAAATTGCAAGCGGAGAGAAATGTATTAGTTTAAGTTTTTATACGAACTTTTTACATGTCTTTTACTACAAACTAGGCTCTGTAGAAACATTCGCTGACATGTGAGTTGCCACTATTTCGGAAGGACGAGAATCTTTACGATTTAGCATTGCCTACGCAAATTTATTAAACACTGATTGAGGTGGTGGGCATGATATTTACAACCTTCAATAAAAACATAGGTATATATATAAAAAGCCTCAACCACCACGCCAAGCCATGAAATATTGCTGGGATGCATTTCTAAAGTCAAAGATAAAATAAAATAGACAAAGCAAGAATACCGGTTATAAAATCCCTTTGACCCACACTCAACCTTATTTCAAGTGGGTACATAACCCCTGTTTCAACATTACTAACAACAAACAAAAGGTAAGATGAGCACAAACAACAGACAAGAACACAATGACCCCAACAGGAAGTCCATTTTCTATAAGGTTCATCTGCGAACTATCAGATTAACCCTAGATCAGGGTGGTCCAAGGTTGTCGGCTCCACGGGCCACAAAATTATTTTTGAACTGTTCGCGGGCCACAATAGTGCCAAAAATAGGTAAACAGTGCAATACAAAACAAACAGTTTCATTGTATAAACACATAGGTAGTTATCAGGCATAGCCATTCTAATCTAATAGAATCCGCATTCAATTTTTAGTTTTCTATGATGCCTATATTGTTATCATATATTCCCGACCAAAAAGTTAGGAAGCCAGATAACAATTTAGACTGCCAAGCACATCATTCAACTTTGCTAGTTTCCCCAGCTAGCCATAACACTATTTAATTCAGTGACATTAGTGATGACAATTCAAAAAAATTTTCTGATTAATTATGGCGAACAAGGCCTCTCGTCCATGTCAAGTATGAGATTATTTGTTTTCAGATGGTCTTGATGGTGGAGGAAGCCGTAACCGACCAGTGGTAACTAAACCAACCTACGGCGGCCTGCGAGGAGCCCAGCAATCGTCTCGCAAATGATTATCCCCAACAGGATTTCAACCTACAAACCAACGGAGGGTAATTAGAGGTGCGGTGGGGAGCGTATTTTTCAACCCTTAGTCACAGCAGATTACATAAGGAAATATATAGCAAATGAAAAACTATTTTTGAAGTGTATTAGCACTTAATTTATTAGTCCTGTATAGCTTCCCTAAAAATCAAATAGGCCATCTAAATAGCAACCACATAGGCCTTTACAGAGCAAATCATTGAAATAGAGATTAATAATACCATATGTATTTATATGGGGAAGCTACATTGAAAATAAGATGAAATTCGATACATGTAAAAAAACTCTTTATTCTGTTGGGCAATGAAAAACCTATAGGATTGAACAAATAGGTGGTAAATTTGTGAACACATTGAAGGATTAGAGATTTTTATATGTATGCTGTGGAAAGGAAAGCCAATAAGATTTATATGGCATACAACGGCTATAAAGGATGTATTTGCAAAATTCTCTTTATTGAAGGCAACACTACTGTATTAAACATAAAGCTAATACATAAAGTAGAACATAGTGTTGTTATGACATTAAATACAAAAGCAAGCACCTACGTATCCTGTATCATGTCATACGCAGTTAAGGTAGAAAACAATGGCTGAGTCATTGTAAACCTGTCAGCAAACTTTGATTTGGAAGAGCTGAATTTGGACTTTATCTGTCTGGTATAAGAAGCATTCTTGGGGGCTCCAAAAGTGTGTGTACTAATATGAAGATAATTATTTTTGTTCGCCTACTTTACATCAAGTTGTGTAAAAGGAGTGAAACCGATTTGGCAGGGGGTATACCCACTTGACTAACACAGACAGACTCCGAACTCGTAATAAAACTGAAATTTGGAAAAGAGGAACACAATTATGGCCAAACCCCAACCTGGTACACACTACGGGAGAACCCATTCTTGGTTCATTGTTCATACAAAATCATATTTTCCATATAGACAATGATAGGAACAGAATGAGCAGCATATACCTCCCTCAACATTTAATTTGTATGCACCAAAATCTTCCCGATTGTGAGTCTACCAGTTTCCAAATTCGCTACAAATCTAGGTTGATTGGGAGTTACTAAAGCCAGTATTTTAGAAATAAAACGGTGCTCCAGAAGTATGCGCAACAAGATGTCGCACAACCTGAATCCTAACCAGTACACACACATACTGTATTCAGGTTGTGCGCCATCTTGGTGCGCATAATTCTGGAGGTCCAAAAAAACTGTTTTGCATTGTAATGTGAAAAATTCAAAAATGATTATCAAAAACTGATAGGAAAGATAATATTTGTATCGTTAAAAGCTAAGCTATCATATAAAGTTTTGCTTAGAATAATAAACTCCTCTGCAAACACCAATCAATATAGGCCTATTATCTGAAGAAGTGTTGATGGACAGTGTTGTCAATTTAAGAGGATCACATATATTGTCCAATTTCAACATGAGCAAAACAGTGCAAAATCGTTCAATTTTAAAAGCAAAAGTTGGTGGTTTATGAATTTAATTCTGGGAAAAATTTTATGAATGAAAACAATTCTTAGAATATCGAATTCGATCCAATTACAGATTAATAAATTCCAGAAAAAACTTCTGGGAAATTATGGTAAAGAAGTAGCATCTGTATGTTGAGCAGTTAATTCATCTAACTTCATTTTAAATTTAATGGGAAGGATGAGATTTTCATACTCATTCCAAGAAGAGAATGACCAAAGCGGGGGTACTGCTATAATATTAGGTCATCTACCATGATTATGTCACCTAACCCAATTTTAAAATGAATGTTATTGGTGGAAGAAGTTGTAACCCATAAGTATATGTTAACCCCCCAATTGAAACCATGGGCAGAGGTTCATTCCACACGCATTTTCTGTTCATTGGAGAGAATTTTTTTTGCAAAATATTTAGGGTGATATTATGACCATAGTAACATAACTTAATTATTTCTAATTACTATGTCAGTAAACCCAGGTTTATCAAACTGGGCCATGTTTGTCAAACTGGGCCCTCGGCCCCCAAGGGGGGCACAAAGGGATTTTCCAGGGGCCATGAGATATTAATGAGGTACCATTGGCATGAATGCATAAATTTAAATTAAATTTACTAGAATTCATAGGCTATTATTGTTTTTTTAACGCATTATTTTTTTTACTTTCGTTTGATGGTTTCCAATATTAAAAGTGGAGAATAAAGTAATTCACGGAAGAAACCTGTCGAAATAAAAACTAATTATTTAATGAAAAGCAGAATCATGAATGTTTGAGAACCACTGTTTAAACATTCAGTGCTTCAGATATAGTTGCCAGTTTTCATCCAATTTCATTTCACTCATCAAAAGCCAATTACAGTTCAGTCAATGAGTTTATTTAAGCCTTGATTAAAAATTCTTCACAAATGAATACAATGACGAAAGTATGAACTCTGCACTGTAGTTTAAAAATTTCTGAGAATATTGGAAATAAGAAATAAAATGAACTCGAGTAAAGTGCAGTCGCAAATTTGAATCAATTTGAAAAATAATTGCTTGGTGAAGATTGAAAAAAAAAGAATGTTTATTACACATAAGGGGGCGCAATGGAATTTGGGAGTGAATCAATTTCAAATGAATATGAAAATACAATATGAAATAGGATGGAAATAGGAGTGATTGCACATTTCGAATTAGTAAAACTTACACTTATGTAAAAATGTTTTTTTTTTTAAATAAAAAAACAGTCAGAAAAAAGGAATACTCAAATACAGTGTCAGAGCCCCTAAAAAAATAGAACTAATGTTATTTGGAACATATTCTAGAGCAGTGGTTCCCTAACTTTTTAGAGTTGGGACCCACTATTTATTACCACAGTTATGGCAACCCATTTAACTTTAATAAATTAATAAAACATTGATGGAGGAAACAAATTTATTTTTTCAAATTAAATAACAGATAACAAAGAACACAGCAATGTTTTATCATCGCAAAACTACCGTGTTTTCTCGAAAATAAGACCTAATTTGAATTTTAAAAATGATTTTAATTATTAAACCCCACCCTTAAAATAAATTTAAAATGTATGGGAAAGGAAACGTTCAATGACCTGAAGTAATGTGAAGATCACAGCACTATTCAAGCTTGTGTGATGTCACAATCACAATTACCGGTAATATATTTGTCACTTGATGTTGTATAGGAAATACAAATGAAAACAATGGCTGTCAGTTTTTATATAGTGTTTATTAAAAAATCTCGTCATTTTCTACAATGTAATTTTATTTTTGATAAATGAACACAAAAAAACCTCTTTCAAAAAAAACCCATAGTGTTATTCCTCAAAAGAAAATAAATCTAAACCCTGTCCAAATTTCGGGGAAACACGGTAAGAAGTGCTGTACAGCGTACAAAACTGCTAAGCGTCAAAAGCCACATGGTCATTCATTGTATAGCAAATTTTTGTTCCTTTGAGAAGATCGTAAAATAAAACTTGCACAGATTAGAATTTAAATTCAATTTAATTTCTTTTTTTTAAAGATTTCCATATTCGAGTCATAATTTGGGAACCGCTGTTCTAAAAAGAATGCAACTTTTTGCAGAGTGCCATGGATTACTAGAACTTTTGGGTACAATCAAACACAAACAAAATATCACATATTCAAGTGTTATCAAATAAATATTCTTCATTTTTGTGAAGGCAATTAAAAAATTTATGAGTTTGTTTTTTGGTTCATCCAGCAATACATCAGTCACGAAATGAGAGTCATACACATATGCTTGGTTATTGTTAACCGGTTGTAAGCAAAATGTCCCCATATTTGATGAATGTTCCTATTCACACACTTGTAGTACTAAGATGTAATGTAACAACACTGTTAGAATAAATTACAAACTGAAAACATTTCTTTGAAAAACATAAACAAACAACTCCTTAATTCAAACACACAATCACAATTCATAAAAATCAACACCGCATATTTTTTGTTAATGGAAAACATACGAGACCAGCAACCTCAAAACAACAATATGTGGAAATTCTCACAAAATTTCTACGAAGCGAATGTGATCACCAATATTACTATTTATTTTTGTAATGGAATTTCTTGGCCCAGAAAAACGTGCAAAATATACACAATGTTACTTGGAAGAGATTGTTGAAACTATGAGCCATGCAATTACATCATGGCAGGAAATCATTGAAAGCAAATGAATTTCTTTCACAATTTGAACTCGTTGTTCTGACTATACTTAATAACATAATATGGAACTCCGTTTGGGCTAGTACCCGTTCATAAAATGTAAAAACTGAATGAAGCTACACATTTTAAAAGCAAGCAAAATTATATGTGATTGGGACACCTCTTTGATGTCAAAACTATGACCCCTTTCAAGAAATAGCCTTTTTTCAGTTTACGACCCACTTTTTTGCCATTTTTCAGTTCGCGATCCACTTTTATTGATATTCTTTCTGAGCGTTTTTTTTTGTGCTTCCCACAATGAGATGTTAATATATGAGAAAAGAAACAATGTATCCCCATGCAATTTACGTACTATTAATGCGAAACTTGATCTCGCATATTGGATATTACCAGATCAAGTCCGATCAGTGATAACGACGCATGATTCTAATTGTTACATTGTTTCATAATTGTTACGTAATGATAATGCCACAATTTCCCAATCTAATCGAAAAATTGTGTAACATTTGGAAATCATTCGTGAACCATCTTTAACAGCTTTGCTACACACCAGTGGTTGGGAATCACTGGCCTATAGTATAACTTTTCTTTGTGGAATCCATTCAGAATACTCAATGTCAACAAGAACAACTTTGATTTAATATCCTACAGTACATTGTTGGTCTATCTGTTTTCTATTTTTCATATACAACAATGTGCCAGCATAAATATGTCAAGAATCGAAAAAACAATACCAAAATTATTATTATTGTTTGAATGAACCGTCCAGAGATGTCCATAACACATTATTAATAATAGTTTGGTAGGCCTACTCTAGAATCCTATCTCGTGAATAAGTTCAATTTTGAATACGGTATGTTAATTAATAAGGAAGTTGTTTCAAAGCGAAATCCCCATTTATGCCAAGTATGACATAATGCTTTCAGTGCCAACACTGTAATTCAAAGAAAGAACAGAAACCAAACACCTAAAATCTGAATTATAACTGAGATTTCTTTGGAACTGGATTATATAGAAACGATTAGATTTCCTTGGAACTACCAGTAGATTATATGTAATGATTACAGCATTTACAGGTACTTATTTTTTTATGTCTGCAAAACATACCTTTGTAAAATAACTCTGAGATGGCTATAAGTGTCAGGAAGTATATCCAATATATATGGTGGACTGTTTTTCAGATTCATCTTCGAATGTTGACAAAATTTGGCAACCTGAAATTTACAAAGAAATATGGATTGAAAACTTTAAATTTTGTATATACTAATTTAAACAGAATAGTTGTCTACTTGTCTTCATTCTCGCTACAGCATTTTGCATTATACGCATACAGGTCCAATAGTGCATAGGCACAGCGTTACGAAAAGCTTTTGCAACCCCAACTGATTATTAATATATTGAAACTAACATTTTTCATAAAAGACGCCTGCAAATCAAGAAAGAATATTCTTCATACTGTGACGCGCCAAAAAGCAATAACATTAGCTATGAAGTTATCATTATTTTACAAACAATAAGGTGGTGCATTATTATATGGCAAAGTGTCAATAAATTTCCTAGATTTGGTATTTATTCGCACATAAGGCACATCGGGGTAAAAGACGCAATGGTTTTCAAAGTAATGATTTTGAGCGAAGGCAATAAAGCATAAAGCACTACCTGATCCCTAAATTAGGCCACCAGTTTATAATCAATTTAAAAAATGATAATTTAAAGTGCACCTTATGGTTTGTAAAATACAGTATTGATATTGTAAATTGTGAGTTCGCTAATTTTAATGAATCTTTGTTCATTTTGAAATAAAATTTCACATTGTCAGTTGTGGCGAACAGCCAAGGTTTCGCAATAACTTGAAACCTCTGATGGTCATTCGTGGTGGCTGTATTATTTACTATTGCTTAATAATTGTATTGATAGATCTAATTTAAAATAGTTATTGATCTGTGTTCCATTGAATCACGTTTCAGAGTAATTCCTAATACACACAGACGAACATGAGACCATAATTACTGATGCATATTGTATGCTATATTGAAATTACACAAGCTCAATCATCAAGAACAGTGTTCTTCAAAGGTTCAACCTTTTACTACTTGGTATAGGCTACCCCACAAATAACAAAGGTTATTTAATTATTAACATAAGGTAGAAAAAATTATTTTGTAAAGTCATTACAAAACTCTCACTCTGGTAACAGGATATTGTGCGTGCTGAATGGACAAAAAAAACATAGAAATTGACATTAATTTGACTATTTATTATGAAAATTGTGTATAGAAATTTGCGAATAACATTGACTTGACCTTTTTTGTGTATCTCGCCGCCATTTACTTATAAGAATAAAATTTGAGAAGAGAATGACAAACACAGTAAATTGAATTTTAGTCACCACTCAATGATGAATGTAAAATAAAACAAGTAAATGGACTTTGGTATTTTGTATAATGTGCTTGGAAATCAGTTTCTCGGGGTCTTTTAAAAGAAGAAACACAAAAATATTTGTTATAGATAAAGAGAATAGAAGATAAGAAAATAGAATGACATATCAGTATAACGAATTGGAAATGGTAATTAGATAGCCCATCCCTGTCAAATATGAATCTCTCAAAGCCTTCTTAGTATAATTAGCAGTTGATAATAAATCAAACTCAGCTTATGAGTCTAGACAGAAATTCAATACTCTAAGTAGGGCCATTCATTTTGACCAACAAAATTGCTACCTCATATGAACCCATGCTAAATAAGGGAAATTGTATTTCCTTTCTATGAGGAAATTGTTCTCTCGAAAACTAGTTCAGACCAAAATATCGGCTGGGTTATCATTTCTATCAAAGCCCTTTCTCATAAATTTTATGGAAGTATGGCCAAATGATAAAATTGATCCAAAGTATAATATGGGTTGAATCAGCGATTCATTTTACACTCTTTACATAATTATGTGAGATATATCGACGCTCCAGAAGTGTGTGTACCATTATGGTGATAACTAATTTTGTTCACCTACTTTACATCAAGTTGTGTGAAGGGACTGAAACCATGGGTATAATAACTTGCCTAACACAGACGGTCCCCAAACTTGTAATAGAACAAAAATAAAGAAAATCTGAATAAACTTATGGCCTAACCCTAACCTGGTATACACACTACAGGATTACCACTATATCTGATCCAATTCTGACAAATTTTGATATTCAAATACTGTAATATCCTAGATTTTTCCAAGCGTTGGCATCTAATCATCATCAAGCTAATCAGTGACATATTATATCTACCATAATGAGAGCATGTATTACGTGCAATTTACTAACAATGGGGTGCGAAGTTTTCAAGATATAATGCAGTTATAAGAGAAAATAATCGATTCCTGAATAATAACATGGTTTCACAATTAAAGAACGTTTCAATTCCAATCAGACAATAAACATTTGCTCTTCTATATCATTGTTGTGAATTTCTATTTTGAGAAAGTCTGATTTTGGCCAGATAAAACATTACAGAATGAAATTTGTGAAAGTGTGATACAACATACGAGACTATTCAATTTCAATTTAATTTCACATGAATAATAAAATACCAGAAAGTGAAATACAAGAAAGAAATTGTTTAAATATGAAAAGATAGCAAGCCAGCATTCGAAACCTTATTGCTTCAATAAGCTTGGAACATAATACGGTAATATGCTGAAACTAGAATCACAAGTAATGTCATAATAACAACCTTGTCATAATGTGGAACTAATGATATAATGAGAAAGGAACAAGAACACACAGATGTATGTTAATATTATGCATAGTTCATTCGATGAGACAAAACCTCGTTCAAAAAATATTTATGTTCATGATGCCAAATTTTAGGATCATTTCTGCAGATAGCACGAAAATCTAGTTTTGACAACTACATAAAATACAGTAAGATGCACATGACAAGGCAGTGAGATTTTGGAATTCTGTTGGACTTATAGGCCGGATTCTTATTTTTTACAATATTGTATTTGGTATGCATATAAAAACAAATCATATATATATTCAACAAAATCTAGGGTACCGGTACTCTCGTAGTATGTGTACCAGGTTAGGGTTAGGTCATAATTTCATTCCAATTTTCCTTATTTTAGTTATATTACGAGTTCGGGGACTGTATGTTAGTCAATGAATATACCCCATGCCCATAGGTTTCAGTCCCTTTACACAATTTGTTGTAAAGAAGGCGAACAAAATTAGTTTCCTTCATATTGGTACACACACTTCTGGAGCGCCGACTTTTTATTTAATAAGCAAGGTAATAGGTAAGGTAAATGAGTAAATTATATAGCATCATTTTGCGTAGTGTATAACCACATTTGACATAAATATGTCACAGTGAGACGCAGCAAATATATGAACAGAAACTGAGAATGCCAATGAAGCCAATGAAGTTGAAGAAGAAAAACGAGAACAATACAAAATCAAAAAAAAAATAAAATTACGACTTTGAATACGGATAAATGCTAATTATATGGATTCATATTAGTATCAAGCTAATGAAGATCGTTAATAGCATTGTATTTATTTAAATAGTCATTCCCATAGATATTTTCAAGATCTATGTTTAGTTACCATAATAAGCAACTCAGTTTTTCGGCATTACAATGAAACTCCTGTTTATTTTCATTTTCAAAATATTGTATACAAACAAAAACAAATTAGGGCTATATTTTCAACAAAATCAATAATAAAAATGTCCAGTAAATTGTAAAAAATATTTTTAAATGTTCATAGGCTACAACTCAAGCCCCACAATGAGAGAAATGAGTGCATTCTCAGAAAAACACAATGTTTGCTCTACGTTTTATTTCGCTTCAAAATAGCCAGAATCTTAAAAACAACAGAGCTAAAATTTGAATATAGACAAATGTCAATTACAACGATGCATTTCAACAACAAGCTAACGAAGATGATGATTGTGAAAATTTAAATTCAAATTCATAAATTTTGTGACTAAAAACAACAGGTGGTCTGAGAACTTAATAAATCGTATGAGACATAATGACAAGTAACAACACATAGGTACCATTTTACAGACCTCAGGAACATGACTAAGGTCCGTAATAAAAACAAACAATAAAAGGCTGGATAAGCACTTTGATGTTATGATGTAATAATACTAGTCTCAATATTTAATACTTTGTGATATAGACAATAGATAAGAAACTTCAACGCAATCTACAATAATATAAAATGTCTGTCATGATATATGAATTATCCTAAATGGCCGGTAATATGAAATATTATTATTATATAAATAAACAAATTATTTTAGACCAGCCTTATTCGGGAAAAGAGCAAAATCAGAAAATTTAAAAAAAATTGACTTGGTACAATTACGGTCGTTTTAATTTGAGGAATTTTTGAAATATTTATTGTAATTGAAATTATTTATTTTAATCAAAAATGAAACTTTTGATAAGCATATAAATTAAATTATGCTTTTTCAACGTTGTTGATAAACAGTGATCTCACTGAAATCTTGCTCTTTCAAGTTCATGTGAATTTGTCACTCTGACAGAATAACTATAGTTTAGGGAAAATTTTATGACAGCCTTTTCCTAGCAGGCTATGTAGTAAATTTTAACAAATTTTGATAAAACACATTTGTTATTACAACATTCTTATAGTTTTGTATTTCACATCATCTTTGTTATTTTTTTAAATACAAGAATGGAAAACTTAGTCTAGCCATTATTAAGTTACACTTGGGTAGAGATGAATACCACCACGAAACCTTGGTAGCGAAATACGTCACAATTGAAATGGGCATAAGATAGTTTTACTACTTGCCGAGTAGAAATCATAACTGTAATATGATTCATCATGAAAATGACTTTCTGTTCATGCAGAAACTGACATCTGATACAATTGAGAAAAGAATATTTCATCATCGTAAATATGACGAACTTGAAACTTTGCCGGAAATGACAAATATTTTTGAATATTGGATTTCGGTGTCAGATTAACATGAAAATTATATTTGAAGTGTTTTGATATATACATCCTGTGTTATGGCACCTTAGGCTTATTAAAGAAACGATCTTTTATCGCTTTTATTAAAACTCATCAAGCAAAAAATGAATTGAAGATATCAAAGTATTTTGTGTTTATATGAATATAAATCATTATTTATCTCCACCGCTAAACAATGATTAAACAAGTGATAAAGGAATGATTTTCAGTCAATG